AATTCACTGAAATGAAATATGTTTTCATAACTAAGAAACCATTATTTCGAATGATCGAATGAAGTGTTCCAAGTTGTTCGTTTCGGTTAAACGCGTTATAGTTTTAGAGAAATTCTCAAAATATTACCATTTCTTTGAATGGAAGACAAATATTTCTTTGGGTTAATTGTTTTCTTTTTTCTACCGAAACTCTGTTAATTTATTCAATCGAGCGTTATTCGAGGAAATAATTTTCTTTTAATTAAACACTTTTTTTTCTCAATGTAGACCCGCCATCGATAAACTGTTATTAACGTTTAACACGTTAATAAGGAAAACGGCGACGCACGCGCTTGTGCCGTGTAATGAAAGGCGTAATGAGTCCTCGAGGGACGGAGCAATTTAGATGGAATTGCGCGATCTCGTAAAGAATTCCGGTGTCTTCGATTTCGAGTTCACCGTTCGACTCGCCGTGAGACTTACCGCCGGAATGCGCGATAACGATTCCGAATGCCTGCGCGCAATCGCCGGCAGTAAAGCATTCGTTGACGATTAGTCGATAACTAGTAATCAACCATAAACGGGCCATTTGCCGGAGTGGAATATCGAATACTCGGGTAGAAGAGTACGATGAATCGTTGGGACGGTTTCAAAACAATTTCGTAGGATGGGTTTCTTGATTTGGAACAAGGGAATCTGGACTTCGGCCGGGTGACCCTTTGGCCACCTCGCGACGTCGTTGCGTCTGACCGCGAGAGAAGAGAGAGAAGGGAGAGAAGAGGGAAGAGAGGCGATACACAAACAGGGGGAACCCCCCACGCGCTAAACTCCCTCTGTGATCTCATTGGCTAAGCGCCAGGCAGCGGCGGTGGAGGGGAAAGTTACCCGGGAAATCTCTCCCCTTCCTTGTCTCTCTCCCTGTCTCCACATCTCGCCCTCGCTCTCGAATCACCAGTGATTGCCGTATCCAATATTCGAGGACAAGTATACAGGAGACATTTTGTGACGTGGGGTGAAGGAATCCCTTTTTAAAAGTTCACTGCGTTACATGAGGCACGAGTGAAATATCTCGTAATTTGAATTTCACTCCTTTTAAGGGGAAAGCGAGGGGACATGATTCCGTTTCTATGCGACTTCATTTCCTTTAAAGTAACTGCAGAGAGCATAAGTTTGATGAATGGGGGTATTTTGATCCTGTTATTCGCGGAACTGTGGTTACAGGGTAGCGAAACCTTCTTTCAGGATAGAGGAGGGAACTAAAGTACCTATAATTCATTTCGATGTGTCTGTTTCCTCTAAAGTAGGAACTGCAGAAACTTGGGGACCGTTCGGATATGTTTATTTTAATGCGGCCATTCGCGAATCGATGGTATCCGGTTATCAGAAACTACCGATTCCCTTGGTCCACTGAGAGGTTCTCGCATCTGGGACCCGCCTAGGAGCGGTGCAATTTCTGTTTATGCACCTGTGCGCCGTTAACTCTCTAATGCACTTGGAAATCGGTCTGAAGTGCGATTTCACACCTATGTCGCTAATCCATATCTATGTAGATATATACGTGTACTGTATATGTAAGAAGTTATATCGAATTAGGTAGGGACATGAAATAATAAGATAATTACTTAATGTAATCATTTCTTTCATAATGCTTTATTAAATCAGTCATATGTACACATTAACTACTAAATCGTAAAGATAACGACACCACTCCCTTAACGCCGCAGCCGATCGGCGACAAATGGTGGTCCGTACCTCCGTCCGTCCTTATATAGCCCAACCCCCACTACCGCCACCTTCCCCTACTCCTCCACTACTCAACCGCGCAACACGTGCTCTGCTTCATTGTACCTTCTCACATTTCATACAATGCCTCCACGCATCATACTTTCCCTTCAGATATGAAATGTTTAAATAAAATGAACTTATTTCATTAATACACGTTGTTTTATCATAAACAATCGAAAAATCGATATACTCACCAAATCGTTAGGATTTATCAATTATCTTTGGCACGTGAAATCGAGATGTCGCGTTTCTGTATTTTTATACATCCAATACTTCACCGATATTCCTTTAATTAGTGTTATTCGAATTCTTATGCTTTTTTTTATGATTTAATGACGTGTTTTAACTCATTGGCGAAAGTTCAAGCGATAATTTCAATTCTTTATCCCAAGTCGTGCTCCGCGGACGACGTCGTTGACGCTCCTCGTCATCTTTTGTTGTCGCGATCAGTGAACGCGAGGGCGAAGGTGATAGAGAAGGCGAAGACGATTCGCGGGACGCTGGCTCAGCACGGCGGGATCGAGGTTAAGCACCGTCGAGCGGAAGGAGCGAACAGTCGATATGATCGCACGCCGCGACATTCGCGACGCTCGCGCCGCCAGCGCCGTCCGAGGTGGCCGCGGATTTCAGGCGAAGCTCGAACGCCCATTGGCAGCCCGAGCGCGCGGCAGGACAAAACTGCGAGGTATTTCAATTCTTTCCGTTTTAACGCGAACCGTTCATCGCACAGTTCCTTCACAGATGCAGGGATATATCTCCAAGTACATTCTCGACCCATTGTTGGTGCCATTGGAGACAATCTAAGAGGCACATCGCCAGGGCGAATCACCAGCCGCGTTTAAACGGTTTACTCAGAGTCGCTTCCAGCAACGATCCCGCGATCGTTAGCCATTAAGTTAGTAGATCGTTAGATATCCGCCGGGACGTGCGCGCCACCTAGGGAAGTCGTCTCCCCTTCTCGTAAAACCTGGGATTAGGTTAACTGCTCGGAGCAAGTCGGCCCCCTCGGAAACCTCTCCGACACTACTCTCTCTCTCTCTCTCTCTAGGTAGTTTCCGTTTAACGATCTCACTAAATTCTTCCGCGCTTTTTACCCGGAAATTAGCCCGTCCTGACGGGATTTTTGTTGCAGGTGGCGGTACGTCGAAGCAGGTGAAATCGATCGGGTGAAATTGAGTCGCTTCACGGTGACACGGCCTCGATTGCCGGGTAACCTGCGAACCTCCTTACTAGTTATCTTCCCAGTTGGGTACCATTGCGTACCTATTATGCCGGGGGTACCTTCGAATGGTGAGCGCGCCACGGGTGTTCGTCATCGGCGTAGCCGATAACGGAAACAGGTCCCGAGCTGACGTTATCGGCGCCGATACACCGCGAGTTATCGTTATCGGTCGAAGCGTGCGTGCCCTGGAGGAAAGAGAACGGGAACGCAGATCGCACGTCGACCTGCTTTTTCGCGAGCCTGAAATACCGGCCATTCGTTTGCCCCTTCTTAGGGGGAGGCCACCCCTTCGAGCGTCGAGAGGCGGCTCGCCAAGTTTCGAGCCCCGAAGGACGAACTTGTACGAAACCTCTTTGTCAACACTTATCGCGGAGGGGAAATACCTCTCCAGAGTATCGTGAGGCCGAGTTTTGCGCCCGGGAAGGAAGTATTGCTGTAAACGTTACGTGTAAACCAGTTATTAAGGGCGGAACTGCGTAAGCTCGGTCGACTCTGAAACTCCGAAACTACGAAAGTTCGTTCCTCGAGCCACTCCGAGGTTGTTTTACGCTCCGAGACTGACGCGGTCGATAATTTTCTATTTCAATCGCGTTAAAGTTTGGCAGGGCCGGGATTAAACCGAGGCTAATTTCAGTGCAGAGGTTAAAGAATGGCTCGGCGAAATTGCCGGGGCTAAGTAGCTTCGATTGGAGACGCCAATGGCGGATCAATAGATAGGTCGATTAATCGGGAATGACGGAAGGTTATAAGCGAAGTCCACCCCGTGAGGGGAAATAACATATTTTCCATTAGTTTCACCCCTTCGCCCCTCTCACGCTTTCTAACTCACTCCATTTCTCTATTTTTCTACGAGGCCTCTCTCTCGCCCGATGAATCGACGACCCGATCGATTTCCTCGACCCTGCTTTGATAACGCGCCAGTCGCTAATCCAGAGATGCGGGCGTGAGTGACACCATGTGCGCACGTGTCAAGTGACAATTAAACCATTCGATTGGTTACGTCTCGATTTCTCTGCAACTGTTTGGAACCGTAACCAGATCGCGGCGATGAATCTCATTTTAAGTCCTGCCTCCTTCCAGCGCGTCCTAACCGACTCGAGACGAGTCATGTGTTTTAACTAGTCCCAGGTGGAATATTACACCTACTGCTTGCAGTAATACGACAACCGGGAAGATTTCAAGCGTCTCTTGAACCATTTTTTCGTCAACTCTTATCATTTTCGCGGCAACACGACCGTCACGCCCAACTACATGATCCTCCCGTTAAGGTCTTCGCAGATACCTCGTCTGAAAATACGCATGACAGGGAGGACTGACCAATAAAATTGCCGAACATTGGACACCATACAAATTATCTGCAATTTGATTGACCAGTTCTTATTGTTATGTTTAAAGTTACTGCCTCGAGGAGCAGTCTACCTTATAAGTTAAAAATTAACAGGAGCAGCCTGTAGTTGTTCGGCGTTACGGTGACGTTGCATAGAAATTGATAAAAGTAAAATATAAAGAAAGGACGATTCGATATTATGATATCGAATCTTCCTGATTATCGCTTTGCTGTAAGTACTGGGTGTAAGGGGGACTCAAAATCCTCTGCTATCTAAATGGTGATTCGTCTTGAGTCGATGTGGTAGAGAACGAACCTTAACATCGGGCAAAGTGGGCGAAAAACGGGAGGTCACCGAGGAACCACCTTGCTTCAGTCCAAAAATCAGTTTAACAAAGTCAAGGAGCGGTGAGACCAAACGCAGCGGACCTGTCGCCTATCCATCAATCCACGTCACGTGGCGTCACGTGGCGTTACATGGTGTGGCGCTGGGTCGACTCGCGGTTCGGCGTCAGTCGGGCCGCGGACTCCCGGGTGGCGGGTGGTAAGTGCGCTCGGCGGGCAGCTCCTCGTAACCGGGTCGCCAGGTCGCCGGGTCGCCGGGGTCGCTCAGCTCGGTTTGGGCCGTGGGTAGTAGAGGGCGCCAACCGAGCGCTCGGCCCCTCAGTAGGGGTTGGAATGCGGAGCCGCGCGGTCCTCGCTGCGCGCCCGCTTCTCCTGGCCCGAACCCGGCCTCGCGCCTCTTTCCCCAGCTGATCGCGGCCCACGTGACCGCCGCCAAACCCGAGGCGCCTCACTCACTTCAGTGCTCCTTCCCCGGAAGGGTCCCGCGGTATCGCGCGCTCTTCAGCTCCGAATTTATTCACAAATCGTGGCGCATTAAGCACGGCGCATTTCGTCGATTCTCCGAAACGCCGGCGGGAAAAGTGATTCCGGAAATAATGTCACTCTAGGTACGCGCGGACACGTACCGCTCGCGTTATAATCACGGTAAATACCTCGTTTTGAGGATTTGCGGTGTTCTGACGCATTCGCTGCGGAAATCATTTCCGCGCACCGCGCGGCCAATTTGATTGGGTACGTATTCGTCGGTGGTGCCGGGTCAGGACACGGGGGATCTTGATTTCGCAAATAATCGGGCCATTTCGACTGGCTATTTTTGGACTTTTCCCGGTGACGTCTGTTTGCTGGGATAACGTTTTTCGGCCAGATTTTAAGGGGATACTAAAATTGGACAAATATTTATCGTGGAGAGATGTGAAAATGCGGGGTTTTAAATGGAGTACCGGCTCTCGCGGATTAAATCTTCCTTTTTTTTTTACCGTCACGAAAGTCGGTTTTTGTTAATTATTTTTATTTAATTATTATCATGCCGAGTTTTTATATCGTGGAAACCCCGAGAGATAATGGGTGTTGCTGCTGCTGTAGTTTTATTGCTCTTTGTTTCTCCAAACGTGGAAGCAGGGTGGAAAGCGTGGCCGTAGTCTTTATTCATTAAGCTCCGGAGACGAGCAGCCTTAATGACAGTTGAAATCGAATTAGCGAATAATTAATGAAGCGTTACTAATTACATTCGCGCGTTAAAGTTTTAACGGGGTCTCGTTAACACGGCGATTGTACATATTCATTATCACGTTTGACAATGATTATGAATCGTACTCTGTTCCGCTTTTAAGTTAAAGTACCTATTCACTGTCTATATTTACTAATTACATGTGTTTCACAATTAACGTACTTCATTGAGTTAATTGCTTTCAGTTAGTTCTGAAGTTACTGTCACTTTAACTGTAGAACGTTTCATGACCTGAAAAATAATTGAAGGGGGTTCATTGACTATAGATAATGAGAACTTGATCGATAATACTAGATCGTACTTGATTTATGAAATTTATTCAATACTGGAACGAAGTGTACCCTACAAAGTTCACTTTCTCTTTGTTATTAAAAAGAAAACTGGAGACGAAAATAGAGTTAAACTATTACAAGCGTCAAGGATGTGAGCTTCGTTGGCTCTCTCCCATTTTCATTCTTGTGCCGACATCACTTAAGCTCGCGGACTTAAGTGTGCTTACCTCGGCAAATACTCAAAGCAGCTATTATGAATGAAATGGGAAAGTGATAATTTTTACTCCTCGTTAATGGCGCCCTTTAACTCTCTACTAAAAGCGAAAAGTTATCAGTACCCTTTCAATCGCTCCACGATATTTTTTTTTGTTTTTTAATCAATTGCCACTTTAAACGGACCATTCATTTAAACAATTGATAGCCACTTTTGCGGTCATTCAGCTTTTATTTCCGTGGAGTTCAAGCGGTGTTAACGTGCGCCATTGTTAAACTTGTATAAAATTTGACAACGCTCGTGGAATTTTAAATTGTCGAAAATAGACACGAGTACACGCCGTAATGGAAATGACCCAAATGGAATGAACGATTTATAGTCTCCTCCGTAATAAGTGTCAATTTACGTCGGTACTCGGTATCTATATTAGTAAGCTGATGTCGTAAGGTCAGTTTCGGCCAAGCGAATGAAGCATCATTCACCTATTCGTGTCACGTTGTATGGAAAGATCCGTATCCACGCAAACACGTACAGCCACGATGGGCAGATAAAGCCGTTTCTTCGAGGCAAGCGCTTCTTACGGCAATACAACGTTGCTAGATTAATATAGAATCCCAATATATCCTGCCCACCTGACTCGGTCTCGAAAACACTTGTACGATTTTACTCGGATTTTTCTAAACATTTTCCAAAATACCCGAAAAAAATACGAATTAATATACACGCACAAACAAGATCATTAATAACATAACTGCATTACAAAAGAAAATAGAAAATCGACGCGTGGCCACCACGAGCGTTGGATGTGAAACTTTTAAGTCAAAGTGAATTATTAGACATTATCAATTGTTCTTAATATTTGTTTCGCGAAATGCTCTTGCGCGTTCGCTACTTATTGTTTTGGGCATGAAAACGATAATAAGCAGCGATTTTAACGATTTCAACTTCGCCAAGGCTTAAACAGCCATTGACTGACTTGTGAAAAAACGTTTACGCACGATAATACTAAAATACAAAAGTGAATCTAAATAATAATTCATTATTAAAAAAAGTCGAGAAAATAATTTTATTTTCTGAAATCGATCCCTTTCATAACGTGCAAACTTCCACCTACCACCGTCCCATATAAAGTGTCACATACAAACTCATCTCCACAGCAAATTGCTAAGTAAACACCGATCATTTTTAAAACTCGCATCGATATTTCTGGTATTTGAGGTGGGAGAAGTAAAGTGCTGCGGTTTTGAAAATACACGTGGAGGGGGTGATTTTTTTAAAATGCCCCTGGAAGAGGGACCAGACTAGACCCGAGGGTGTTATCGGCGTGTTCCCTTCGGGGGATGCAGTGCCTGGAGATGAAGCTGGTCTCGCGTCTGCGAGGACTCTCCTCGACGAGCGTTCCCTCGGGAACGCCGCTGGCCAATTCTTCACCTTCACCCACGTCCTCCTTCTCGTCGTCGCCGTCGTCCTCGTCGACGCCCTCACACTCATTGGCAAAGGAGAAACAGCGACGAAGACGTGCTGACAGCGGGGGAGCCAGCCCCACCAGTGATCGAGAAAGTGACGAGGATGCTGCGCCGGTTCGACGCGTTGCCCGCGACCGGTCCAGATCGGTCTGCGTGCCGGTCCTCACATCTGCCCAGCTGAGGCATCTTCATCGGCGAGCTAGCCATCATGCGTACGTCGAATCAGATCTTTGGATTTCGTGGCGTTTAAATCGAAACCCGCGAGCTGGTCCCGCTGGTTCAGTGACTAATCTTCCTCTGCACACCTGAAATCCGACCCATCCCTTGACTCACGCGTTTCATGATTTCCATATCGATCTACACCTCGGTACGCACATCTTCCCAGCTCAAATATCTTCATCGACGAGCCAGCCACGACGTGTAGGTCGAATAAGATCCCTGGGTTCCTCCTCTTTCCGTGTAGATTGCAAACCTGGTTCCTTTGGTCCAGTGACTGGTATTCCCCTGCGCCCCTACAATCCGGGCCACCTCTTGACTCGTTCTTTTCAGGTTCCTCCGTTCCTCCTGTTTCTCCTATTTTTCGTTTACCTCTAGTCGCGAGCTGCTTCCGCTTACCCAGCGAGAGATTTTATGGCAACCCTGCGCACCTGGAATCCGGGCCACCCCTTGACTCCCTCTTTTCAGGCTTTCCCGTTTTTCGCATACCCCTGAAGTCTCGGGCTCATTCGCTCATCCCACGGTTGACTTCCCTTGGTAACTCCGACCTGGATTCCGCCACCTTTTCGCCTCTGTTCTCCGTTTCGCGGTTGCCCCCTCACCTCCCTTTCGTGGGCTTCTTCTGAAGGGTTTAAGGCCCCAGCCATCTCTTGATCCCTACGTTCCTCGCCTTTCGTCTATTCTTGGGTATTTTTGATCCAGAGCTTCCTTGGTTTTCCGGGGATGAGCTCTCGGTTGGGCTTATGGTCCATCGCGATGGTTTCCTGGTCCGAGTATAACCCAGATCATCCCCTAATCCAACTCTTTGCTCGCCCCTTGGGAGAATCTTTGATTCGCTTGCTTATCCCACGTTGGCACGCGCTCTGATCCAGTTTGCCTCCCGATTTAGCCCCGGTTTTCGTCTTCATCAATCTCTCGACGTCACCTCCCGAACCGCCACCGAAATCCCCACGAATCCGGCTCTTTATACGGTCCTTGATCGGTCACTCTTTCTGCCCCGACTCGCACCCCGATCTATTTCTGGCTCGCCTCTCGATCGAGACTTAATCTTCGTCCTGATCAATTTCGGGCCCTCCTATCCCACTTCTAACCCCTTCGCTGATTCGGCCTTTTATCTAACCCCTGATCGCTCCCTGGCTCCGATCCGCCTCTAGTTTACTTTCTGAGCCAGTCTTGATTCAGCCTCATATTCTTATTCCGCCTAATTATTCTATCGAAGCTCATCTCCTTATCTGGTCCTGCCTAGAGTGTCATGATCTACTCCTGGCATGTTTTCTGAATCAACGTCGGTTCACCTTCTCTTCCAGCCCCTTGAATGAAATCTAGAAGGGAACGTCTCCCTGAAATCCTGATCGTTTCACCTCCTGATTTCTTTTCCGAACAGTTATCTTGTTACGTTACCTCAGACTCTGGGAGAGCGTCCTGGTCTTCTCGACATATTTGGTTGTTCATATTTTTATTCTGGTTCAGAATCGCCTTTAGTTTACCTTATTAACCAGTTTTTCATTCATCCCCTGATTTCCATTCCGCCCTGTTATCCTACTCCGGATTACCCCCTGGTCCAGTCCTGCTTAGGGTATCCTGGTCTTCTCGTGGCATGTTTCCTGAATCAAAGCCCGGTTCACCTCCTTGCAACCCCTGATTGAAATCCCGGCTAGACTGGACTCCTGCCAGCCGGGCTCGGAAACTTCCCCTGGAATCCGTCCTGGAATCCACCCTGGGATTCACCCTCAACTTCGCCTCCCCCGCTGCGTCTCTTGCTCATTAACCTAGATTTATGCACTCACGGTGAGGGAGGAAACGACCGGGCCGAGGGGAGAATGCTTCCGAACACCTATTGCAAACATATGTGGAAATTGCTTCCAACACTTTTATACGTTTCCGCGAACCAACCCCACGGGGCGGCTAGGGAGAAGAAAGGGAAGCATTAAAGAATTATCTCCCCGCTTGATTAACATTCTCCGAGCGACTCGTAATTAACGTTTCCACCGCCTTCCCGGCTTGAGTATTTGCTAATTGCCGATCGAAGAGGCGACGATTTCAAAGTCATTATTCATGGACTTGGCGACAGTCTACTCAATTGAAGAATCTCGCACTTTGACTCTTTTGAACATTCTAAATTGGTAGAATTAACACGATGATTCCCTTAACAAGGAAAATACCGCGTTTTAGACATGCCCAAATATGAACAGATTTTCCATATTTTTTAGAAAAACCTGGGGGTTAGATATACGATAAGTAATGAAATAACCATAATTAGATTTACGGGTATACAGAACAAGTCGACATTTTCACCGGCTGCTGAACCAAATTCGAAAATATAGAATAAATGAATTGCTTGGAGGAGCGTAGGTGGAATTGAATGGGGAAAGGTCACGCTCAAGCGGGTATTAATAATAATTCGCGGGTGAGACCTCGAGCTCCGGTTTATAAATCCGAAGCGAGATACGAAGAGGCGCCTAAATTATTAGGGCGTTCATTTCTCATCGCTCCTTTTTGTTTCTTTTTTTTTCTCACTCTATTCTAGGTCGTCGGCCACAGATACGATCTCCAGGAGAGGAGTTCTATCGAGACGATGCTACGGGAGTGTGGAGATGGTAAGGAGGATCGCAAAGAAACCGAGACAATGGGGAGCGATGCACTTTCCGAGGTAAGGGCTCGTTTCTCTGGTGATTTGTTGGTGTGTTTTAGCTGCCGCAAATAGAACAGGACGGCTCGGATGGAGGCCGGCGATTTCGCGTGGAAAATGGCGATTCGCCGGGCGAAAAAGAGGAGGTACGCCGATGAAAGCGAGCCTCCCTTTGGCCCTAAAGTACTCGAGCGGTTACCTATCCAGGGGAGACCAGGGCAAATTGACCAACTTTTGTCGGTAATACTTAATTGCCGAGGAGATAATGAGAATTTTACGAACATATACATCAAAATGTAGGGGCATACATTCAGGCACAATAATTGCAGTCCAAGATTCTTTAATTTACTCGCAAGCTGCCCTGGACACAACGGAGGTGTAATTTTATATATATTTATCAAGTGGATGAAACTTTGTCGTACCGAATATTTTGCCATATTCTGAATGATTAAAAGACAAAAACCGCGCGAGTACTGGGTACGAGGAATTATTCACTCACGAGGTAATACGACTTAATGCTGGAAATCATTAAAAGCATTGTTGTACAATGTAACACAGTGAAATTGCTCGAAACGGTGATAACGATGATGCTTGGAGATCATTTGATAACGGGAGATCATTTGGCATAAAGGCCAGTGGAATGTTAGAAATTATGGAAACATTGTTACGGAAATGTTAATGACGAACGTTGATTAGTATGCGGTTAGATTGTTGTCTGGAATCAGTGGAAATCGGTTTTTGAAGGAGGTCATCGCTTTGCATGAATTTCGAGTGAATTGTTCCTCGGTTGGGTAATGGGTGCGAGTTTGATAATTATCGTTTAACCTGATTAAGTAATTTTATAACGTTTTTGGGTTTCATGACAGATGTTTGGCTCGCCCAGTACTCCGGTACTGGAGAATCCTGAGTACCAGACAAGGTGGTACTTTAAGTATTTCCTGGGACGACGTGAGTAATTCCCCCTTGATGTTGATGGCGGTAAGCGAAGGGGAGGCCTCGGTGCTTTTTCATCACTTTGTTTGTGTGTTCCGTAGTTCACCAAAATTACGTGGCCTCGGATCAAGAAAAGAACCCCCTGTTCCTCTCGGTCGTCCTCAGCGAGGGTGGCGATCAATGCGTGCCACATTACAGGGCTATTCTGTGGAGGCGGACGGTAAGTATTTCTGTGATCAAACAAGGCAGGGATGAAAGGTACATTTGCAGCGATAAATCCCGAGAACCCTCCTGTACATTTATTCATAACAATCGCACCGAGTCCACCGAAATAACTCGCGTCAGGATGATTTCAAAGCAGATTCACGATCTCAATGCACCATTTAAATGGCGGAACGCCCAAAGACTGTGAAAGAATCTAGACTACTTTTAAGGTGACATCTGAGGTGTCAATCGTTTATCAAAGTTTTCTCCAAACTGATTGTATAGAAACGTTTGAAATTTTCCCACGTGAAAATAAAGGCCCTAAGAAAGGTCTTAATATTGATAAAATTTCATTTTCTTTAATAGAAAATGTAAAAAGTGTTTATAAAGAAATTAAGAAAATGAAATTTCATGGGCGCTAGGATCTTTCTTAGTACCTTTATATTCACCTGATGAGATTTTGGAACGATTAAGTACATCCAGTTTGAAGAAAAGTTTCATGAACGAGACTCCTTACACGTCACTTTTATGACCTTAAGAGTCTACTTTGTTGGGTTTGTTTAGTGATAGCACTTTTATCGCACGTGTCCTCGTTCCAGGGCGCGCAAAAGATATCCCTGCCTTACTCGGCGAACAAGACGATGACCGTCAAGCACATTTTGAGGTAAAGAGGCTCGCATTACTTGGAATTAAAAGTTTCGCCCCTTCGGTCGACGATTAGGGGTTTCAAGGTCTGTTTAAATTCCCAGCAACTACTTCGGCCTGGAGAAGCTCGACAAGGCTCCGCGAGAGTTGTTCTCCCCGGAACTGCAAAAGGTAATGCGGCAATTAGATTCATGACCGAGTTACGTATAATTTCCGCTGATGTCGACAACGACGGACGTTCCGCAGGACTTGCTCCTGCTGGAGGAACAGGAGGGCTCGGTCAACTTCAAGTTCGGAGTCATCTTCGCGAAACCAGGGCAGACCACTGACGACGAGATGCTTTCCAACGGTAGGATGATTTCGACGTCGTATTGGACGTCGCGTTTCTCCTCCGACCAATCAATGGATCAATTTCCCTTTCAGAGCAGGGCAGTTCGGGCTTCGAGAAGTTCCTAGACGTCCTAGGCGAGAGGATTTGTCTGAAAGGCTGGGACAAATACCGAGGAGGATTGGACGTGAAGGGTACGGACTTTCGTGAATAAAGGATCAGGGGATGGACTAGGAATTAAGGTCGAGCAGAGTTAAGCAGCGACCAGGGTAACCCCTGAAAAGGGAACGAATAGTAGAGAAAACCGGAAACTCCTGTAATTATTTACCATATCTAAAGTTTTCCTCTCAGATTTTGCAAAAAAATTGGTGGGGTCACCTGTTGCGGTTACATCAAGGGTTGAATTTTTTTTTTACATTCAGCATCTTCTGAGATTCCGTCTCGATTGACCTGGTTTCCTTAGTTCGAAATTTTTTCCTCGTTGGTTGTAACTCTTTCCTTCGACTCCAGGAGACATGACGGGTAAGGAGAGTGTGTACACCGTTTATGCCGGCCATGAGGTGATGTATCACGTAAGCACCATGTTGCCATACTCGAGGGACAATCCCCAGCAGCTGGAGCGGAAGCGACACATTGGCAATGACATCGTCAACGTCATCTACTCGGACGATCCCAACTTCTTGACCACGTTTAATCCTAACTGCATAAGAAGCCAGTTTACGCGTGAGTAAATGACGTCCCATCGAGGACAGCGACAAGATGGAAAGAATATAAACGACATACCTGTCCTGAATCTCTCTCGGTGTACAAAGTAGTCCACGAAAAGTGTCACGATTTAATATCTTTCCCACCGATTGAATCACCTGATCAACTTAGCGCGTGTCCTTGCAGACGTCTTCGCCGTGGTCAGTCCTGAACCTGGCGACGCAGGTTGGCGGATTGCCATCTACTGCGACGAAAGCGTGCCATTGTTTGGTCCAAGTCTTCCATGTCCACCTGTATTCGGCGATCCGTCCAACCTCCGGGAATTCCTCTTGGTCAAATTAATCAACGGAGAAAAAGCCGCTTTCGACACGCCGACGTTCTCCAGGAAACGCGAGAGGACTTTGGACACCCTCCTGAAGGATATGTACCAGGAACAGATGCCGGACAGCAAAGGCAATGTAGGTTCCTTGGGAGATGACTAGACGAGATGGAAAAGAGTAGCGCACGTCCGTTCATTTTTTAAAATGCCGAGCCAGAAACCTTCTTATGAAACGGGGATATGAAGTGCCTTATGCGCTCATCTTGCAGTCGCTATGAAGGCGCGCTCCTGCTCCCTGAAACATTTTTCAATAGCTATTAAGGTTGAATAGATTTTGTGATGGAGTTATTGAACCATCAGGTATAGAGGAACTCCTTTGATCTCTCGGAGCAGACTTATCCGACCTGCAATTTCATTTCGTAGAGCATGCTCAATCGCCGGGCCCTGTCGGACGTGGTGGAAACACCGGGTCGACGGCGAGAGGAGACCCGTGCCGTGGAGATGGTGCGTGTCGGACAAGCCCTAAAACTGGAGGCCATCGTCCGGGGGATTGCTCCGACATCCCTGGCCACTGTTGGTCCTTTGAAGCCGAGGCCATGGGAGCCTCGTTGCGTCTATCCGGACTTCCCGGGAGAAGTAATTTGCGGCGATGTCTGGGCGGACAGACGGCTCATCCTGACCTCGGAAACCGGGACCTATCTGCTGGAAGCTATCGGTAAACTGAAGCCCCCTTGAAAAATTGAAAATCCACGCGTTGCTATTTCTATCTCTATTTTAATATATCATTAATATGATTTATTTTATGTACTCTGGACTGAGAAAAGAAAAATGTCATTGAACCAAAGAATTATTCTGTTAATTCAAGGAATAATTATTTCACTCAAGTAAATTCGAAAAAACTTGGACGCAACGTTTCTTCGTAATTATGAGAATTTATTTAAGTTTATTTGAGTCAATTAATAATTCTTTGTACTAACAAAATACTCTTTCTAATATTTCTTGCATACTTTTCATTTGATGGTTGATGTACATTGGTGTATCATCTGTAGGGAATTGAAATGTGTCTCACTGTTAGCAGTTCGTTACATGTTTCATGTTTCGATTATGGGTTGTCTTTATGTCGTTGCTTTGGTTGAGTTTAGATGGGCTCTCGCATAGACTGCTCTTCGACAAGACCGTGCCCATCAAGCAACTAGACGTGGTGGAACAACACGGGATTTTGCTATTTCGTGCCGGGGAGAAAGGAAAGGAGAGCAACATCCATGTCTTTAGGCTGAGCGAACTGGAAACCGAGGCGATGATGAACGCCACCTTGGACGATTCTGAAGATTTCGTTGAGGAACCCAATGAACCTCGGATCCGCAGCTCATCGCCAAAAGTTCCCATCGCCAGAAATCGCAATCACGCTAAGGAGAGGAAACTGGATCGCTCTCGAGGGTGCCATCTCTACGGCATCACCAGACCGGACGCATCGCACCTACGCATGGTGAATAATTTTTGTTTACGACAATGATTTGAAATTAATTTTTATTCAGCAAATCAAAGTAACAATACCATAATTTGTTCACTGAATTTTCAGTGCATCGCGGTTGGACGAAGATTGACGGTGCTGCAATGGAAACACAGTGCAGCATGGACGACCTGGTGCTCGGCTGCAGATACGGACACCGTTGATGGATTCCTGTTGGTCCGGGAATTCAACGCCAGCGAGCCACCCTTGATCGTAACGATCGTCAGTGGTACAGAGCCAGGAACCGACTGGACCATTTGCTGCGGTCTTCGACATCATTTTGAACTCATCTGGCCAGATGGAGCATCTCGCTCCCTTCACGTAGAGGGGAACGTAAAGCCTCACGTGGTGGCGGCTTTGGATCTGCACGAAGACGAGGAGCCTGAATTGTTGCTATGTTACAACAGTAAGTCGGGATGCTAATTGTTTCTTCAGGTGAGGCCAGGTCTGACGATCTAAAAATGCAAATATCTCTGTTTTAGACACATGCCACTTCCAGAAACTGACCGACGAGAGCATGGCCTCGACGGAGTTCGACTTCCATTGGAACTCGGTACCCACCGCAATTGGTTGGTACTCTTCCAAGCTTATAAATACAACTAAAGAGTATTTAACCGTTAAATTAAACTTATGTCCTATTCGCAGCCTGCCCGTTCCCGTACGTGATCGCCTTCACCGCCGACACGATGGAGATCCGGTTGATCATCAACGGGAATTTGGTGCACACAATTGCGATGCCTAACTTAAATCTGATCTCGTCGAAGCACGACATATTCTTCGCCACCACATCCCCGGAGTTCCTGGGGTCCAGGTGCGACCGCATCCGAGTGGACTCCAAATCCGACAAAGATGAGAAAAACGGGAGCCCGCCTCCCACTCAAGTCAATTTCCGTACGTTCTAGATGCTTCTCATGAGCACATTTACTGATCTTCGGTACATCAAGGGTATTTTCTTCTCATTAAACTTTTCACTTTGCCCGCAGCTTCTGGGCAAGGCGACGTCAAACCTATGAGGATCTATCGGATACCTCTGCAGACTCTGTCCAGGACCACTGTGACCACTTGTGGCCAGGGGCGCTGTCCAAGTCCTGGAGAACCCGAGGTAGTCTCGGCACCGCCAACAGCCGACTCGAAGAAGTTCCTGAGCGTCGAGATGCCCAGAGTCTTGAGCAGGTCTTGCAGCAGCAGTCCGACCCCCAACGTGCCGCCTCCTTTGCCTGGCAGCGCGAAGTAGGCCGTCCCAGATGTAAAATCGTCTCCATGACGGGCAACGGAACAGTTGTGACGATACGAAGAGGGTTAAACGGTCTCTTCTCTTCTCCATTCCGCGGTTAGACGCCCGCGAGAAGGTCCTCCTCTCGTAGAAGGGCTCAGGATTCGGGGCAGAGGTCATCTTGAAATCCAAAGCCAGCCGCGTGAATTCCCGCGAATTCTTCTATTTTCTTCTTTCGGACAATTCGCGCGGATCGGTAGGAACCATCTAGATGCTCTTCCACTGGGGTTGGCGAGTCCCACGAGGACGCTCCGCTGGGTCGTTGGAAAACGTCCCATCTAAGTCCTGAAGAGCAAAGGTTTCCATTGCGAGTCATTGCTTTGCCGGAAATTATTCGTGGTAGGATAACCAGAAATATTGGATATTACTTCGATCGAAGTAAACGTTACCAGTGGAACGCTTTGCTACAGGCGTCGTCGCTGCCGTCTATCTGTCCAGGACTCATCTTCTTTTCGTTACTCCTTCAGTGTCCCGAGGCACAAATGGTAGGTTGAAGGAAACCTGTTTTTCCCTAAAAATTCACGTATAGTTCGGAAACTGTTGTTGAAGTTCTATCCAGGATTATATCCCGGGGGGATATAAATTCGATTCGCCTCGATTTAAGGCCGTGGTTAAAGAAATAAATATCGAGTTCCTCGAATTATGCATTTAGTATGTAATAAGTTTCCTTTCATTGAAGCGGACTTTTATTCCGGAGTAACGTGTCAATTCCAACATTGTTTGCCGACTGCACATCTAGTCAAGCCTACTGGTTTTCTCTCCGTGACTATCGACTACCTGATCTATTAAAAGAGAAATAGTTATAGTAGTAATGGTAATAATAATAAATGTCGAAATTACATGAATGTACCAATTGTAAGTAGCTTACGTATTAGCCGCTAATGGTCTTAGCGTGGTGTGTTTAACTTTGTCGGAACCAAATCTGTCGTGGAAAAATCTGTACGGAAAGTGAAATTACTTTGTCAATTATCGGTAGTGGGTGTGTTTCGTGCAAAATTCTGTCTAAGGTAGATTGCTTTTACCATAAGCTGTTTGCTCTTCGAAATTGAAAAGATCAAGATGTACCGAAAGATGTAGCCACTTCTGTAACTGTTTTATCGATCGAAACAGAATCGTACGCCGCCCGCGAAAATTTGAATGTCATTGCAACACTTCTTTTTCGTTTTAAGAAACAATTTTGTTATACAGCAGGGGGAAACTTCTTATGGGAGGAATGTATCCAACAAAGTGGTATAATTCTGGAATTCTATGGTAAAATACGCCGCGGAGAAAAAGATGGTGTCGGAAGATATTTCGGTACCTCTCTCTGCTGTCTGTGCATGTTTCTGCGCTTGCACATTCAACGCAGTACAATCTTAAGAATAAGTATAATTCGTTAAAAATACGTCAAACATGCAGCTGTAAAAAAATGTGTAATCTGGAAAATTAATTTATTAAATTTCTCACTTCGAATATTTGAGGTAAGTTTTGATCGTGAACAAAACTTTTGAACGTACACTGGCATTCATTGCAGAGATGACTATGCTGCAGACGATAACGATCTAAAACACGAGAATATCACTCGATAACGCTCGAAAACGCTCTGAAAACACTTGACAACGCTCCAAAACACTCTAAAACGCTCGAAAACACTAAAAACGGTTGAAAAACACTCCGTAACGCTAAAAAACGGTCTAAAAACGCTCGAAAACGCTCTGAAAATGATCGAGAAACGCTCGAAAACGTTCGAAAACTGTCGAAAAACGCTCGATAACGCTAGTAGGGAAATGTAAAAATCATACGCGAAATGACTCGGCTTATATCCGCAGTTAGGTAAGCCTCGGGAGGATTTTTCGCAGTATTCGACTCTCACGCATAGTCATCGAGTGTAGCGCCGAACGCACATATACTCAATATCTCGACCTGTAGCTTGGCGCTTGGCTGGTTGGGACGCGCGAAGATTTCTAGGAGCGATCGTACTCACGCAGATTCGCTGCATGAGAGTTCCGTACGCGACACCAACGCGTGCCCCAAAGCTCCGCATGACGTCGACTTCGAGGCAGCAATGTACTTAATAGTAGTAGATAAGTAGATAAAGTCAAATGGAGCGTCACGAGTGTTCTTCCTTTACCATCAAGAGCGAGCAGTGTCGGTAAGCGTAGGTAAGGCACCACCGTCAACTGCCGCATGGTATTACCGTCACGAGTACGTGAGCCGCCAACGGTCACTGGTAGATGGTACCGTTATCGCGAGTGCGCGAGCTCAATATCAGAAATTCGTTGCGCCGCCCTTGGGGGCAAAAAACAGTGAAAGCTAACGTACGAAACCAGAGGGCAGCACAGGATGTGATCGCACGATCCCTTCCGTGAGCAATCTCCCAACTCATCTCTGACGAAACCAGAGGGCAGGACAGGATGCGATCGCACGATCCTGCCCGTGAGCAATCTCCCAACTCATCTCTGTCTCTGTTCATCGTTGCCTTCCTCGCGGACCTACTACCCTCTCCGGCCGCGCGGCGTACTAGCGGCAGGAGCAGCGCGGAATTTGAATCGCCCAAGGGGCAGAATGGATTTCTCAAGAAAAATAAATGTGTATAAACATAAACAATTAATTCAAATTATTTAAGTATTATCGTGAAGCGTCTCTGATCCATGTATTCCTCGAATAAATGGACACCTGTGAATCATTGAATGAGCATGTAAATGAGCACCCGTAAATATAAGTAAGACTTTTCTTATCCGAGTTTTTTATAAACGCAAATCTGAGTAACTTTTATGAATTGAATTCATTCAAAATAGGTATCCAAAACGAAAAATACTATTTTCTATGTCGTATTTGAAATTAGAACAATAAACTATTTTGGATTTCCCGCCGCTATTACGCCGCGGGGTCGAAGAGGGCAGTAGGTCCGTGAGGAAGGCATCGATGAATTCCAGTGTACATATTTTCATATTCCTGAGGAATTAAGCTGGTTTTTTCGAAGTTATAACGATTTGTGTCTATTCTTTACATTGAAGTTGAAGGTTCTTTTACAAATAATTTCCCACATACTTATGTCTTAAGCAGAGTTTTTGTATTTTTATTTAGTACACCATATTACTTTAAACTTACAACTAAAATATGATTTTATTTAGGAATATTCTGTTTACAGTTTGATATATTTTGTTACAGTTTAATAAAATTATTGAAGGCTCGTCATGGCGACTCCAATCAGTACTGCAAAGGACAGTCTCGATGCAGCCAAGAAATCAAATATAATACCAAATCAGGAGTATTTGCTACAAGGCTCAGTTTTAGATAATGCCGTTGAAGTTTTGCTCCATAGGTTAAGAGGGTTATGTGACAATGTAGATAGTGGCCCTGAGACATTTCATGATCATGAAATGTGTTTCAGTATTAGAAGGTATGACGATATATTAATTGAAATTGTTGAAGTAATTAAAACATACTATAAGCTAACTACTTTGGTTTTATAGTAGTAAATTATTCAAAATATTCTAGGATTTTCACTTTTTTTAGGGGTCCTCCACCCGAACAACCTCTTCTATTAAGGGTTCGGAGAGCTCTAGACTATCAAGACATGCCTTGGCAACTACGCTACATTGGTCAACCTGAGTTAGGAGATAAATCTCGTCCTACACTAGTCAGAAGTAGCATAGACATAGCAACTAGTAATACTGTTGTTGAATTTCTGACAGAACTTGGATGCAGACTTGATTTTGAATACATTGTGCGTGGCTACATGTTTCGTAAAGGAAGAATGAAAGTTACTGTTTCAAAAATTTTCAAAATGGGTCAGGGTAAACCTCCAGAGAGTGTGGAGCCTATATCCCAAAGTTATCTGGTCGAGCTTAGCGTACTTGCACCTAGTGGACAAGATGCAATCGCTGAAGATATGAGGATATTTGCTGAACAACTTAGACCACTGGTGCAACTTGAAAAAATAGACTATAAACGATTAGTACACTGATTTTTTTTTTATATTATCAACTCTAATATAAGATCATGCATTAAAATAATTAATTGATCACCAACATGACTGGTATATGTGTGATAGTGAATAATACAAATTGGTATGTAAACCAATATTCTGCAATTAATACTTTATGCCCTACTACATGGGACACATTACTATACCTTATAAATAATGGAAGGTATTTTTAAAAAGTGATTTATAAAATAGTGACAATAAGTAACGATAACTAAGAAGTTTTTTTTTACGAAAACAAAGAATTTTAGACGAGTTTAATACATCCCGTTTGCATCGTTAATAAAGATAATTTGTTCGCATAGGAAATATATATTCAGTATATTTATTTCTTTCCGTCGAGTATATACACGTAATTGACGAACTGCATGAAATAATGGGATCTAGCCATCATTATTCAATTGTAACTACTTGAGTCAATCAAAAGTTTGACGTGTCGATTTCTTAGTTACTTTCTTTGAAGCGTATGATTTACCTTTCATTATTTGTTTAATATTTCGGTATACTTTTATAAATCTCATACCCACATTCCGTGATGAGAAAATTTAAGAATGCCATTCATTAAATTCTGTATATGAGCAAAGATGATATGAGTTTCGCGTGTGTGGTGTGTTGCTAATTTGACTAATATGATTAAAGATTAATTGATCTCGAATCGTGCGTTCCCGTATATATTTTCCTTACAAAAATTAAATTTTATCCTAACTTGATATTCTTCTTCTAAAATTTTATTTAAAAATTTCCCAACTACAGATATTTCTGACTCTTTTCTTGTCATAGAAATAAGTGTGAGGATGGGAAAACAAGATGGTGGCAACAGCGTTGCATGGATATTATGTTCACAGGTTCCAATTTAACCAAGGAGGGAGGTGAGGTAGCGAAGCTCTCCAGTAACTGTAGCTTTTTCACACGAGTGTATCTTTGTCATATTCACGGCCATAATAGAAACGAGAAGGATAGACTGGTCTCGCGGTAGGAAAAGTGGAGGTGTGCATCGGCAACGCCGCATTAATCGATCTTCGGTGCTACGATTGGCGCCTGTTAGAAAAGGAGGCCACGAACGAGAATCACCGCCATTTTGTAGCATTCTTGCGTGAGTGGCGTATCGGGGAGGACGTGTTGCCGCTGTTCCTACGAAACGCTCGTTATTAATAACAGATTTTTCGTCACAGTGTAAGTAAATTCTATTTCATAACGATACTGTAAAATCATTGTTTGTAAGAAGATAATGTAGGAGCTGAAATTCATCATAAAATCACCGAAAATTGCCCGAAGGTTCTATGGCGTCTGTTCGACGTGACTCCCAGCAACGCCCTTCTCTCCTTGGCCGTACCTGTGCATTCTCAAAAACAATTGGCTTCAAAAATGTTGTGGCATGATCGTGTTCATGTTTTTAATCCCGAAGAAATATGTTGAAGTCAGTGGAAGAATGATTTCGTTTCTGCTATCAAGTTATAGGGTGTAATCTTCCGATGCGACAATTTCTTTCCACCGCAAAATGGCCGACGGCTTGCCTTTTACTTTCGGTAAAATATTGACACTTCGCGGCCATTTCACATTTTTTTTCTTGATTAACTTTGTATGTCCTCTTCAGTACACGTATAGTACAAGGATGTGTTATAAGGAGTATGAAAATTTTCCTAAGATTTAATTACAACAGCTCTTATCGAAGACGAACGTGGCTGCCAGTATGCCAGGTTAATTTTTATTGCTGGAAAATGGTCTTTTTTTTTCTTAGATTGCCTTAAATACATTTGATTCTCCTGTATTACACTTGATAAACAATTTGCATTTCTATCCTTTTTTTATTGACTACGATTGTCAAGACTGACGTTTTAAGTATACAATATTGCATAAGAAATATTGTATAATTCATATTATAAAATTACACACTTATTTTACTGAAATATATAAAATTCTGTATTCGGTGTTATTGATCTTTGTATAATCTAATAAAATATAATGATTTATACTCTTACGCAGAAAAGATGTCACGTTACCGTGAGTGGGACATTGCTTGCAAGGTGTATGTTGGTAATCTGGGCAGCAGTGCTAGTAAACATGAGATCGAGAGTGCATTCAGTAAATATGGTCCATTGAGGAATGTGTGGGTCGCCAGAAATCCACCTGGATTTGCTTTTGTCGAATTTGAGGATCCTAGAGATGCCGAAGATGCAGTTAGAGGACTTGATGGAACGTCAGTATATTTGATTTTTTTTCTTATATATGAATCTAAATAGTTTTAATGGTTTGTCTTGAAAAAAGATGATCAAAATGTGTAATCAAAATTCCAGGCGCTGTTGTGGAACTAGAGTAAGAGTTGAGATGTCCTCTGGCAGGAGCCGTCGTGGCGGAGGTCGCAGACCAGGTTCAAGATACTCCAGGTAAGATATCTGTAAGAATGGATAGTTGGTATTTTACAGCACATTATAGCCAGCCTGGATGGCAAAGTGAGTCGGCAAGTAGGTATGCTGTGAGATAATGGCTCGGAGTGTTGGAAAAGGTGCACGGAAACCTCAGTGATATTTAATTCACCTCAAACGTAAAACATTTATTTTATTACTCATATGTAGAAGTGTTAATAGAATACTGCATTTCTTTTATATATATTTTTTTAATTCTTGAATTTGGCACTTAGGTTATTATCAGTATGTGCATTAATTGTAATCTCTGTCATGCAGATGACATTTTGAACAAAGCTGAAGGTACTTCAGATGTATTATGAAACTTTAAATTGGTTTTTAATTTTTTTTTGCAGTAACTTTGTGCATAATGAGTTCTGATGAAATAGCCAAAAAATAATTTAAACTGCGTTGCATGAAAACTGATAAGAGCAATTCTGAGATAAGACCATGCCACGGAGGCACGTGATAGTTACCACTTAGTTTACTCTTTAGTGCCCGCTCTACCGCCGTACCATTTCGCTATATTTAGAACGAAAAGAGATTCATGTATCATGTATCTATCTGAAAAAATTTATAGGTCCAGATCTCGCAGTCCCCCTAGGAAATCTCTGGGTCGTTACCTGAGGTAAGCCTTTCCTAGGCCCCTTTGAATTTTCAGGTGCGAGTAGAGAATCAAAGAAAAGAAAGAGAAAGAAAAACCGGCAGATCGGCAACACTAACAGCAGGAGAGACATACAACACGTTTTCTTAATTTTTTTTAGGTCCCGGTCAAGGAGTCCGAAGAGATCGCCCATCGACCGATATTCCAGGTAATTGATTTTTCTTTCCTAGTTTGAACAATTTTTCAGAGCCTTTGCCAAGCAGTACAGCTGATTTGCGTCTGTAAGTAGGTATCCGCAGAGTACCGCTTATATTGTGATCATTGCAATTTTAATCGCGATACCGAGGAAGGCATTGAGCCAATCAAAATAGAGTCAAAAAGACACAGAATTGTGTGTTATCCGCAATTATCGAGTTAAACGGTGGCAGAATCGCGTCGATGTCTTTTGAGCGGGAGCCAAAGGTAGCGCGATCGGAGTTCTTGACCTGTTGATGTAGTAACCGGAGAACTTGCAAAGATCACAATCGGTGTAATTCTTAGCAAGTGCTCTTGAGAAATGTGCGTAGAGATCGTAGTGTACACGGTGACGGCAAATGCGAAAGTACAGCATCGGTGTTCGGTGATTAACTCGGTGCTCGTTATCCGGAGTATGTGACGAATGCCTCGGCTTAACACGACGGGCTGAGTTATTCGGTTCGCATAGAACGTAGCACAAGCGTCGTTGTTACATACCGAGTTAGCTCGACGCGTGCTTTCTGTGGTTAAAAAAGCCTAGCCGGCAGGGTCGAGGGCACGACGACTGCGAAACAGAGCACCGGGACTGTACGGATGACGGGTCGACCGGAGCTCCCTCGCCGAGAGGGACGTTCCGCGTCGAGGCCTACTCTGGTCTTGGTCTCATACTCGTGAAAGTGGGCAGTAACCTCTAGAATCACTTAAAAGAGAAAAGGGCTCACGAGCGAAATCGGTAGAGGTCTCGACGGGCTCTCGAATACGAGATAGAGAGGGGGACCGTCCTAGAGTTAGTGGCCAGGAGTGTGGTTACGATGGTTACATTAGTAAAACTGACGTTTGCAGATTCTACCAGCGTCAGCTCCTAGCTCTGCTCGTCTCCCCGCCACTACTACTACTGCTACTACTACTACTACAGCCACCGTGAAAAAAAAAGTCTAGCAATCGAAAAACGAAAAAAAAAACCAATATTGCCTGCCTGCCCACTAACCTCCCAACCAGTCACCATCAGTCACCACCAGTCACCGGTAGGAGCCAAGTTGTCCGTCAGTCACGTCGGACCGAGACAGTCCGTTTTGCTGTCCGTCCGTCGGTTCGCCTCTTCCCCGAACAAATACGACTTCTTCGGCTACCACGACTCTTCTAGCGGCTAGGAGCATCGTGCACCCACCGAACCGCCAATGCGCGATACCAATACTCACGTCGAATTACTATGGCGCGTCCGTCCGTACGTGTCACCCCGTACGCCAGTACGTCAGTACGTCAGTACGTCACTCTGTGTGTCGCCGCCGTGTCAACCTCGCCGTGTCAACTACTCTACTACTGCTACTGCGCTCGTCCGCCATCACGTCTTGTTAGCCGTTAACTTAGCCGACCGGGGCGCCACTTCTCTGCGACCGAGCTATGCAAAATGATCACCTACACACCATCCCACCACCACCCAACCAAGTACCACCACCACCACCACCACCAACCACCACATGTCACAGTTCTCTGGTATTTCACCGATTTTCAACCGTCTTTTATTAGCTTTTCAGAGCCGGGCCAGTCCTCCGAATGGGTTGACGAAGTCGACGTGGATTCGTTACCGCTCTCTGGGGGATTCGACGGTTCAGTCCTCTTTGGGAGATTCTCCACGGTTGACCGGATTTTTTAAGATGTGGTCATGTCAATGGTCCAGGAACTTTACGAGACTGAGCTTTGGATGGTCTTTTGTGACTGTGATACTTTGTAATTGGACTTACCTAAATTGTTACCATTACCGATCGTTCGAAAAGAGGTGTACGGGGGAGAGGAGACTTTTGGAGATACCTCTAGGGTGCTGAACATTTTGAGAATACAAAAGGAGGGGGGTTGCTTAGAGGTCTTTGAGGGTCTTTATAGACAGGTTTAACAAATCTGATAAGGACTACACGAATTGAGAGCTCAAGGAGGATGTGTGTCTATAAAGGGAGAGCGGTAGCGAACCTTAGATAAGATATCAGCGATGGGAACCATTATTTTATCCTTCATCGTTTCTGTTAATTCAGTTTATGAATTCAAGGGTCAGTGTTCACGGGAAAAGCTGAGGTACGATTTAATTCCCAGAATGATGTGAAAAGTGATTGTTCCCTTCGTTGAGACAAGGATGAAATAAATGAGAGTTACTTTGTGAACTAGGATAGTATATCCTAGGGATTGCTTGAAAATCCATTTCAAGCACTCTCGACTCGACTTCGTCTGCCTAGAGAACTGGCGAATTACAATAACATTTACTTTAAGTCAAAAGACTCTTTTGATTTTTAACTACTAAATTAATCCACTTTTTTTTGTTGGTTGGTTTACCGTTATTGGTGAGATGTCATTTGTATTAATTATCTAATTATAATTGTGCCTAACTAGTTATTACATATGTATATCACCCTTTAGGCGAATAGGAATTAGTCAGTCCTAATTCGATTTCATTACCTTGTGATGATTTTTCAATACCCATTTGTGTGCGTAGCGGCTCCCTCGGAAGCAGCTCGTTCTCGGTTTTGTATTTTTTTTTTTTCTTTTCCATATTTCCTTCTCACGTCCCTCTGTAATTTTGAAACTGAAGACACGTTGATGATAATTGTCAAAAGTCCAGGTAATTAGAAAAGAGGGCTCATCCGAGAATTCCGAGCTGCGATAGAGCGATGCCGTACGAGACACGCGATTCTCTTCTTCCGTTCCCCAAGTCGAGACGTTACAACTCTTTTTCTGACTTTCTAGGTCGAGGTCTCGCAGCAGTCCCCGCCGAAGGTCTCTGTCCCGCAGCCGCAGCCGAGATCGCCGCTCGCGATCGGATTCCCGCGAAAGACGGTATTGAAATGCTTCTAGAAGTTAATGCGAAGACACACGACAGACTATCATCCGCCCACATTAGATGGTTTTTTTATAAAATATCTACGTGAAGGAAACAAAAAAAAAAGGAGGAAAGGGCCTACCTTACGACGCGCGTTAACTCGCACTTCGTGAAAAGCTTCTCCGTCGCTAAGCCATTCTGAGCCAAAAAAAAATGCCCTCGTCGCGGTTGTTCTATTATATTTTGACCCCTCGTACGGTCCTTCCCGATTAATTTCGCGATATACCCTGGATTTCGAAAAAGTTTCCGCAAAATAAGTATTGGCACTCGCTTCAAATGTTTAAGGAAACGCGACCTCATCCCACGTTCATTTGTCACCCTTTGCAATATGTATGTCGTAGCCAGATCGTAAAATCCGGCTTTTTGTAAAACGCGGCCAGATGGCCAAATCTCTGTTCAATTAACTCTTATTTTACAATCCGGCTAGTCATTTTATAAACGACATGCGACGCATTGTCGAATTCATTAAATTACTGTCTGTTTAATATTCCGACTAAATCGTTTCAGTCATCTTATAAGACATCTAGTCTCAGTTCTGTTTGAGAATTTACGTAATACTTGATTGATTACGTGAATAAAATGAAAAATGTGGTCCTAAACATTTCACCACTTTTTGGTAAAATGTGTTGGTTAAAACGTAATTTAAAAGATGACGAAAACGCCTAGTCGCTTTATAAAATGACTAGCCTAATTGTAAAATAAAGTTAAGTGAACGAAAACTTGATTACCGGGTTAGGTGTTTTACAAAAAAGCCGTATTTTACAATCTGGCTACGACGTGTATATGTAGATACGTATATTTGTTCTTTTCATAACATGTCGAGATATCTCGCGAGTTTTAGTATGACGGGATGTCCATTAATTACATAGCGACACACACCACGAGACAGAAACTCTCTACCACGAATCTAAGTGTGTTCTATTTAATTACAGTTAGGTGCTAAGAGTGCTCGAGAGAGAACAAAAAAAAGAGAGAGAGAGAGAGAGTGGACGGACAGTATAAAAGTGCCGGATGGAAGAAAATACGGAAAAGCTCTTTTTATTTGTATATAAATTGTGACTATACCATTTACCACGTACACGCACACCTTGCACCGCGTGTACACCTCTCTCGCATGTAATACTAAGGACGGACGAGGTAACTATACTTACGTGTCGGCATCAAGGGGCGAAGAAACGTCTCTCTCTCGATTGGGGATATGAAGAGCTACCGGCACGTAGCTTCGAGTCGCTCCTCTTGCACGCGTTCATTTTACACGTGGTAATGTGGAAAGAAATACACGACGTGACACGGTGACACGCAGCCTAACTGCGTGCACGCCTGGCCGATATAACATTGGACTACTCTGTTTAACAATCAGTTGTGCGGATTAGATACTCGATAATCAAATACACGATGCTGAGATTTCTTGATAAAAGGAACATAAAAGCGAGAGAGCCCCGCCGCGTCGCGGTGATTCAAGTGAAGAAACAACACACAATTGTTTTACGTTGTATTAATTATTTTGTACTCTTAACGAATCTAAGATTTAAAATAAAGCTGTAATCTACGACCTTTCTTGGTAGTCGAGTTTAATCGTACCTTTATACGTAATGTAATTCAAGATTTTTGTAGCTACGAGTGAGAGAGTAACGTTTTGAAGGACACGCGATACTTCGATGATTAGGGATAAGGCCGTAGAAACGTGCTATGGTATTGTAATGTAAATTCGGTACAAACGGTTTTTATCATATATGGCTGGAAAAAAAGAAAGTATTGCTGCGAAATACATTATCTCTTCTGGAGTTTAGGATTTATGCTTTGGAAATATACCTTAGGGTAAACGTTTCACTTTGGGATGCATGTCTATTCGGAATATTCATTATGGCTGTATCTGTGCCGTATTTCCGAGAGTTAGCAAGCACAGCCTGATCCCTTGTTGGCATACGTGATAATCTCTTATGGGTAGCGCCAAGTTTTCGTCGAAGAGCTTCAATATCTCCAAGTACGACTTCAGGGCACCCGTGTAATCACCGTTCTGGAGTTTCCTCGAAGCCACCCCGAACAAATGATCCGTATCTTGGAGAGCTTTCAACCCTCTCAGTAAATTCGTGCTCTTTCTGCACTTGGGACAATTGATCATGAACTCGTTGGAGTCGGTTTTCACGGGAAGAACGTTTCCGCAGGTTGGACCCGTGTCACATTTGAACCTGACAGCAAAGATGTTACCGATAAAACAGCCCTGATTATATCTTAATAATCGATATCGGCAGTGCAGCATGTCGCAAAGGTAGTCGCGACAAAGGTAACAAAACTTACTACCTTAAAATTCTTGGATCAAGTTCATCCAGAATAGGCCAATGATTGGCACATGCTTCGCAATTGCAGTCAAACCAATACTGTAGCCTCAGTTTTCTCTTTCTCTCAGACTCCGGCGTAGTGGTAAATATCGGTCCATAATTTTCGCACACTTCGTTCCCAGGATAAATAGTCTTCACAGCCCTCACGACCATCGTCGTCCCCGTGAAGTACCTATTACATGAAGTATAATTACTACGAGCCGCATCAATATTTCTTAAGCGGATCTAATTACCGAACGACTCCAGGATTACAGCTGTGGTTCAACAATGCCGTGGTAGGATATACTCCACCACCTATGAAGATGCTCTTCGCTCCTTCCAATGACTTGTCTTTGGGTCTAACCAGCTCCGATATCTGTGAAAAGAATGTTTTATTGTGGGTGAAACCAAGACAAAAACACCTAAACCAGGAATATAAAATATCCACTATGAGTTAATTAAAGGCTCTTGGCATTTAATTAGTATTTTTGAAAAATTCATTAATCAAATGATATAGTATCAAGGATTTGAAATCATTAATGATCCATTGATATAAAACACTTACAAAGTGTAAGTGGTTGTTCTCTATGTATTAATTAGTCTCCAGGTGAGAGACGCATGTTAGTTTATTATCTTGTCGACGTTTTGTCTAAGCTGCAGTGGGAATCAGGAGGCACTTATATAATTGTGTTTCTTTTTGCTAAAAGTGCTTTTTATATTTTATACAAACACACGGTTCTCACCAGGAAGTTCATTCATACGTGGGAGTAAGCGTTGCGTGTTGGTTACATTTTGATTGATGATGAGAACAACTTATGAAAGATCGTTTAAACAAGTCTCATGTACATCTCGGGTAACTTGGTTAAAATATACTTGATCTCAAGATAACAAGACCGAGAGGATACCTCGTGGGAATTGAATTGCAAAAGCTGCAGATTATGCTGCAGCAAGTCGGCAACGAAGAGTTCAGAGGCGGAAAGCTGTTGGCCCGGAGCATCCGGCGTTCTTTCATCTTCCGGGAAATATACGGATTTAGTTTTTAATAGTCTCAATAGCCAGGCAGCTATGTAAGCTCGGTGGAAGAGATCCTCCGAAGTCCTCTCGTCTTCGTGGGTAACTGAAAGTATTGCGTGTATCGCGAAAACACTTTAATTATATACACGTAACAACTAGGTTTGTCCATCTCAATTATACGGACAAATGAGTGAAATTACCTAAATTATGGAAAAACTCGTAATTAGTTCCAATGTAAGGTCGATCTCTCGATACCTCTTCGGGTTCCTTGGACCGTAATTTGTCTCTCAATTGCCACAGCTTCTGGAAAGGGTGTTTCACAATTGCCTTGAGAGCCAGTAGACAAGTCACGGAAGCATTAGACGACCAGAGTGCACCGAGTAAATCGCACTCAACTTTATGAGTTCCTGCATCCTTGTCCCTGCACTTTATACTGCAGTACGCAATGGAGCTGCACTTGTAGCAGGTAGCTGGTATTGGAGCTATTATTCTCGATACGCAGAAATGGCAGTGAGTGAGCCTGAAAAATGACAAAATAACTCACATCACATATTCACTTTATTTTCAATTTCAAATGCTATCCTTATTTCATTGCGATGATGTATAAGTTAAATGGCGAAGACCTGACCTTTAAATTGATATTAATTAAAATAGGATCATAAAAAAAACCAACGTACCTGTACTCTGCCAACAAAGACGCGCAAAAGGGCCGTTCAGTGATTAATACTTCTCCAGGTTCAATTTTCCTGGTGGCGATCCCATGTCTTCCTATAGCGTCTCCAGCGTCCTTTATTTCTATGGCGATGCTGCATGGAGGGTACAAAGGGTTGTGCTCCTTAATCCGAGGCAATTTATTTTCGCTTTCAGGACAGGCTTCCAGTGGATCCTTAAAATCTGCCCCGCCACTCAGTTGACGGCTTTTTTCCATTACGGCGAGCATCATCCGCGCGTCGGATTCAATTTTCTGTTTCCGGTCCAGGGGAATTTTCGCGTCGTCGAGGGCCTTCAGGGTCCTTTTAAAGGCCTCCACGGCCTTGGCGTGTCTTTTCAAGGCTAGCAAACACCTGGCCCGCCTCTCTTCTAACTTGTACATCATGTCTTTGGGGTAGTTGTGACTTATCGCCTCCTCGATGTCGGTAAGAGCGAAATCGTGTTTCTCCAAATGGTGGAGGGCGGCCGAGCGGTTTGCCAAGATCACGCCCAAATCTATAATTATCGGGCGCTTTTCATTAATTTCTTCTCAAAGCCGAAGGAAATCTACATACAGAACACTTTCTGTACTATTGAGATGTTTCTTAGTAATAAATATAGCTCTATTAAGGTGTTTTGAAAGTGCTGGGAGTTTTCGTTTGTGAAACTTTTCTCCGAACATGGTATACCGAATCGTTTGAAATTTTACCACGTAAATATGGAGGCCCCAAGGAAGGTCTCGACACTCATATATATATTTCAATTTGTCATTTGCATGTCGCATTAAAATTTTGTAGGAATGAAAAGTCCAAAGGGGTCGAAATTAAATAAAGAAAAATGATTCATGTCGGATTTACCTCCTTTCGGTGCGTAGAGAGCAGCATTCGAGTAAAGTTCCAGAGCTTTGGAATAATCCCCGCGACCGAAAAACTTGTTGCCCGTCTCCTTGAGCTTTAACATCTTATCGGGGTCCTTTTTGCCGACACTCGCTGCTTCTAAAGGAAGACGATAGGTTTCGGGGTAAGAAAGGATGAAGGCCACCCTTTCGCCTCCATTTTCCAGGCTCGAGAATTTCCTGAAATCAGCGTGATCGATGGATCCCCTCACGGCGAGTAAATTGGTCCGGAAGTAATTCCCGATCTCTGTATCGGGATCTTCTTCCAACATTTTAATGTTTACGGATGAGAATTAACCCAGGAAAATTAGAGGCCGAGAACTTTACGCATTAGGAAGGGAAACGGACACGTCGACGACTTTCAACGGTCGACGAACCTAAACTGTGGGCGGCTTCTCGGTTTCTCCTAGTACAACTCGAGTCGAACTATTTTTGTGCATCTATTTCCGCCATTCTAGATGCACCGGTAGGTGCAGTTTTCCCCAACTTTGATTAGGGGCCTAGTGCGACGAAAGAATGGAAAAATTTGTCAAGGATTCGATTCTTTGCTTCGAAACTTATTAATGGACGTATCGATTTTAGGCAGAAATCATTTTTGGCATGCTAACATTCTTTAGTTATTTTAAAGTGATTAGTTGTTTTGGAGGCTTATTAATTTTATGTATGTTTTTTCTTAAATTCCCTTAGAAAATCTTCGATATAGACTAAAAGAACCTGGCGTCCGGAGAAGGTAAACTCCAAAAAATCCAGAACCCTTAAAATGAATCTATACTTGTGCTTTATACGAGTTTATAGCGTGTCTTAATTTCAATATTTCTTACCTTTCCTTTAATGAAATTTAATTATTATATTTAGTATACTTTTGCACTGAAGAAACATTTATCTTTGGAGCGAATATGAAAGACGGCCTGTTACCGCAAGATGGCGCCGTCGTTTATTTGCATCAAAAGCATCTCTGAGTGATTATATTTTAAAGATACAGAGGAAGAACGTTTTATCGGTAAATTCAAAATGGTGGAAATCAAGATGTTACCGTTAGAATACACATTACTACTTCTATGTCTGAATGTTTTTAACGAAATACCAATTTACGTCCTTGAAAATAGCAAATGAAATGACCTTCTATGTATTTTAGGCAACTGCAGTTGTCTATAAATTGCACAAGTGTAATTTAGATCATTCTTTCTCTGCGGTCTTCACTTAACAGGTGCATGCCCGAATTAAACATAAAGATGTATTCTTCAGTCCAGGTGAATGAACCTTTAGAGCTTTTAAGATCTTTCTTAAGAAAGAGCCTGGTCTAAATGACACAATCCGAATGTCTATACTAATGATGCAGTAAATCCTTAATGTATACGTTTTATTACAATTGTTATACTGTTAGACTTAATACGTAACAAGTACACGCGAGGTACCAGTCTAATTAAAAGTACAATATATACAAATCTTAAGTAATACAAGAGTACCTCCGCGTGTACTTGAACAAGAACGGGTTTGCCTCGGAGAGTTTCCTTTAACATTTTTACTGCCAAAAATTACGACATGGCTGAAAGCAAGGAAAGTCGATTAGAAATCCTCGCTTAAAATTCCCCATTGTTTCAAAGACGAGATAGAGAGATTTTCGCAACGCATTTTTCTCTGTGTAGAAAAAGCAGAATTAGCAAGGAAACTTGGAGAAACTTGGACGGCGGGTGTAAAATCGAAAGTAGAGATTTTTTGTACATGGCTTCCCAATAAATATACAAGGCAGTATAAATAAGAGCTGTTAAACTTGTGCGATGCATGCTTAGAATATCTTCTAGATGAATTAAGTACATAAAATAAATAATGTATATAAATGGTACATTCACCGGTAATTCAGCAGTGTAACGTGATGTTTGGTATATTAATAATAAATGTTTAAAATCGCTTATCCATACCACCTTGTCTTTATCAGATTTTATCGTTAGGCACCTTTAAGGCACTCGTTATTGATCTCGTTGTACGGAGTTTTGGTTAATCATATTAACTCTTTGCACTAACGCCGTTAGCCAGTCAAATTATTACCACAGAGGCAACTCTGTCGTGCAAAGAGTTAATTGTTACTAAATTGTGCTAGTTCCTCGACATCGATTTACGAGTTCTCAGGTATCGGGACGGAAATGTCAAAAGTGCTTAACTGACCGACCGAAATCAACGGGGTACAAAAATAGCCTCCAAGACCAAAAAGGTTGGTCCACGCAATGAACGAATTGCACACCTGGGCATCTACTTGAAATAGTTTTATACGAAGTCACAAATGTGTTACGGATTACTAACATTTATCAACGACGAGAACCAATCGGAAAGAAAAGCTTCGACATTTTTATATATGTGATTCCATGTTGCGAATAATGAAATATAAAAAGTATTCATTCATCTCGTAATCCCTTTCACATGTGCTTATCGAAACATAGAGGATACCGCTGGGTTAAGAATCTAAACTATGCTATAAACGTACATCTGAAATAGATAGAAGACTAGGCAGACTACACCCCAACAGACATGAGATGGTACAAACACGCTGTACTCGACATTTACAATATACGTGTAAGACGTGCAGCATAAGACAAAACGTCCGTTCCATAGACCATTTACTGTCATTATTAGCCATACCGTTATTAATTTACAATCGACTTTACGTTATAATAAAAAGGATATCGATAATTTTCCCTTCTGGAATAACGTGAGTTAAAAGTACTGAACTGTAACCTGAACAAATCTAAAATTTATACATCCAAAAGATTTTCCGACGTGATGAATTAAACCACAGAAAATTCCATTACCATCCTACCGGGTATACCAAATATTCCGAACGTAGCATAGAATGGCGACTTTGCGCATTTACAATAAATGCCCTATATTCGGTTGTACAATCAATTGCCCCTTACGCTTATTAAACAAGCAATGCTAAATAAATTACACGTAACGTACAATTAAAACGCGGAGGACATTCTGTCTCATAACGCAGTTCTTCCGGATTTAGGGTAAATGTTAATCATTCATTCCTTCATTCATCTCACCCAGCGTTCACCGGGAGCACCTTTGTCCTTCGTCCTGGCGAAGGATTCGCGTCTTCTCGCCCAAAGAGCCGGAGAAATTAGATTTCGAAGTCTGTTACGACAGCGCCTTCAGAAGTCATAGGAAGCCTCGTCATCGAGTTTGGTCTTGGCGTGCAGAAGTCTGTAGAGTCCTCCGGCAACGACGGCTCCCACGAGAGGTCCTACCCAGTAGACCCAATGGTTTGTCCAGAAGCCCAGGATCACGGCAGGACCCAATGATCGAGCAGGGTTCATGCTACTGCCGGTGACAGGAACCACCGCCAGGTGAGCCACGGTGATGGTGAGACCAATTGCCAGAGGGGCCCAGCCCTTCGTGTCGGTCCTTTTAGGATCGGTAACTGCGTGCACCACCAGGACCAAGAGGAACGTCACGATGGCTTCGATCAGGACTCCTTGCCCACTAAGGACATTCGGACCCAAGGCAGTGGCACCCAGTCCTCGACTTGCAGCTTCTGGTGGAATCGCCGCCTGAAAAATCAGGATTACGTTAGTACATTACACAGATATGACACGATCAAGATAAGCACTTCCGGGATGATTAATTACACGGATCAAGTCACCAGGATTCATCAGGTTAACCATAAATTTGGATAATATAGAAATTAATATATCGTAGCCAGAGGCACTTTTCGCCATTTTCACTTTTTGAAGGGGTGCACCAGGACGAACCACGGATAATCGGCTAGTTAATGTACAGGGCGATTCACAACTCACCATCCACCGAGTATATACAGACTCCTTCGACAAAACCTAACAAAAAAAGTCATACGTCAAAACGTTGGACGGTCAATTACGTATTTCACGTCAAATCAATTTCTATGAAGAAATGTATGAAATTACAAAAATTACTGTACCGACGTGTCCGATAACAATAGACAAGTAAGTAACTTCTTATGCTTTGTAAACACGCGAAAATATTTAATTCTCATTGGCTGTTCGTAATATTCAATAGTTTCAAACCTATTGACCTTACATTTTGCCGTACGATTTTTTTATTTGATTTCCCAAATGGAATCTATATATACAAGGTGGACGATGAGTTACGGATCCCCCTGTACAATGGTATCACGAGTCGTAACCGATCTCATTTCAGAATGTTCGATAGATATCTGGGAATTCTTCGCTGGTCATTGTTCAGGTTCACGATCTAAACGGCGAAGTGTGGCGAGGATAAAGGGCCTCGCGATAACCATCGCGCGGCCGATCAGATCGGGCAGCCTTTTTGCAGGCTTAAAAGAGGCGATCCAGAAACCGAGATCTGCCGATCGGCACGGAAGGTGAGATCGAGGAAACCGGTTGGGAATCGGGGTGTCGCGGCTTGCCAGGGGTACGTGGTGGTTCGCCGGTTTAATCGCTCTTATTGGAGGATGACACCGTGGCACGCTCGCGGTGTATGTAGAGGCGAGCCGTCGTTGACCAGTTCTGATGTAACGGACCGGACCGAGTCCGGGCGAACCGTCCAACCGGACCTTAACCTTGGACGCGGTGGCACTTCGATTAAGTAAGAGAACGAGTCGCCTTTTTAGCCCCCGATACCGTTTACTCGCGATAACGGAGTGCTCTGTGACTCGTACCTGCCTTTTGACAAATTTGAGACGGCAAAATGGAAAAAAATTTATCAATTCCTTTTTCAACAGGATTCCTTGGATTCCCGATAATGGGACGATATTGCGATGAAGATTATGGAACGAATCGGCAGTCTGATATATTTCATCCCACCAAACACGGCTATGTATAATAACAATAATATAACCATTACATAACGTTTGTAGCATGTAATGTAATATACGTATAACATATCAGTAACATGTTATATGTTTTGTTAATATTATGTAACTGCAACGCTTACAAGTTTATAACAATGTATGTATCATATTAATATATCTTTTGAATAACATTCGTTATGTATCGTGTTATTTCAGTGTTATGTAACTGTAACGCAGTGTGCTTGGTGGGATATTCTGAAAAAAGAGAAAATCAAGGAATTGGCGCTTGCTGGTTTTTCCGTTTCTGATTTGGTTTGGCTTTCGCGATGGGATAATGTATCCCGAGAAACATTGTCGCAATATTCGCTATCGGGAATATCTAAATTGCGCGTCACCTAGTGAATTTGTCATTTTCTGAGAAGTACTCGAGTCTGTTCTTTTTTTCTTTCCCCCTAAATCCAGGCTGTTCGTAATGAATACGTGACATTTTTACAAATATTTCAACTTGCTTGTACACTCTTGGGATGTCGACAAATCGAACATTATGTAGATACGGTTCGACACGCGGATTGAAGGTAAAGCAAACTTCACGGTGCTACAGGTGCGTGCAACATTCCACATTAATTGATAGTCCGATCTGACGTGATAAGGCCTTTGACGTGACGTGATAAGCCTCGTATTGTACAGTTTCGAGATTTCGACATCACCGTTAAGTAAACCCTCTGGTTTTTTCTCCGGCATTCTCGTTTCTTTCCGATACACGCCGGGCTCTTTCGCAGTTATTTTTGCAATTTGGAGATTAATTTTGTTTTTTTTTTCCGCTCAATTTCACGAGCCATTGCTCGGAAAATATTCTCGAAAAATTTCTCCTACCAAGAGGAGTCGAAAAATCTCCTCCAGCACTGTACTAAATATAAATCGGGTAAGGTCGCTTAGCTTTGGACCGGAGCCAAATTGAGTAAGGTCATGATAGACCGGGTCAGGAGATATTTTGGCCTTTACAATTCCTCGGACTAGAAGGATTTAGTCTGCTCAAGAGTGACACGAATCCACTGGTTATAGGTTTACAGGAGCGAGCTGTGCATCGTAATGTCCTGGTAAAACTACGGTTAAATGGGGTCGAGATGGTGAGTGGACTTTTATTTTCGTCCTTCCTGATGTCCTTACGAATTAAGTACATCGTTGAACTGTGGTTTTGTCGAATTCGTGCTAATGCGATTCGTCATAAGGTGAAAGGCCACTTTAGGATCTTGTTGAAATCTCCCAATGCAAGCCGAGAGAGAAAAGGTTCAATGAACATCTCGTTGAAAATCCTTCATGGCTTGCTACGTCTTCGCAGTAAATTCTGAAGATCCTTTTAGATTAAATACAGCCGTGAAATCACAAACGAAACCTTTCTGGATTAACACTAGTATTAAAAAAAAAAAACGAAAAAAGTAGAATAATTTTCTTTCCATTGAATTGTAGGCTATCTCTCAGTATATTTATTTATTTACGTTTCCCTCATTCAAAAAGAACCTCATAAATTTTCGACTCAATGAAACCTAATGTTTATCATTATCTGAACACTTACAACGGATATCCAAATTTAAGTTGAATTAATTATACCCAAGATCTGAGATGACAGAAAATTGGGCAATGTTACGCAGAGGGTCTTCGAGCTGTCAATACATATCTCCGTGCTGTGCCTCCAGGTAAAGCAAACGTGGGAAAGGCAGCTCTTTACGTTTCCTCCCCAGAGTTCAAATATCGACTGATGAAAGTTACCTTCTCGACGTTTCAGGGCTACCTGGGTATCCGATGAAATTTCCAGCGAGAAACGGGAAACGTTTAACATAGAGTTCACTTTGGTTCAAGGTCCGATTCTCTCTCGGCCTTAAATGGATGCAACCGAACCCGGGCATTTCGAAAGCGATCTTACCACCTCGAGTATAAGCTCACCTGGAGAACGGCAGCCCCGGCGATGGCGCCGAAACATTGGCAGAGGATGTAGAAGAGCGACTTGAAGAGGGAGCAATTGCCGCTTACCAGCAAGCCCACTGTCACGGCGGGATTCACGTGGCACCCTGATACAGGGCCCAGCACCTGGAAAAAGAAGGATACTCAAAATCATTTATTATATCTAAAAACTGATGACATTTTTTACTAATCAACTGTTTAGCTATGATGGATCTCGCCGAGGAGCAGTACCGCATGTACGAACAGAGTGGGAATTGAAGATATTCCAATGTCGCTTTCAATGCGTGGTAAAGTAGAGGAGCGTTTTGTTGAAAAAAAAAAACGCTCACTCAGAAGGACGCCGCTGTGATGGTAATTGTTTTAAAGAAAAAAAAAACAAATGTCCGTTAGGTAGAGCCACTTCAGGGGGATTTCGTAGCTAAAGGGTTCATTTTCAATGAGAAGCGAGGGAAGGGTATCGATATTTGAGGGTTCTACTTGAAATTAAACGACCACTTCGAGAAGTAGGGAGAGGAAGGCTAATCGAGTCACTATTCCCAGGAAAAGAGGACAAACGAAATCTAATTCCAAGGATTTGAATAAATCGGTTCGCGAAAAACGGAGCTACGAGTCGCGGTAAGAAAAGATCAGAGAGGGAAGAACGCTCGCAATTTGGGTCCGATGAGCGACCAGACGAGCGCCGGGAGGAAGAGAGACGGAGAGAATCGCGATTCGCGGGGAAAAGGAGAGTCCGGATCCAATTTGGGCGCGAAGAGGTGGCGGAGCCCGTCGGCGACGACCGCGGCTACGGCCCAGTTCTCATGCGCCGCGACAAGGTCCCCGGGACCCGCGGGCGGTCGCCCCCTCCACGCATGCGCCGGCCGTCCCTCGTCCCATTCTGCCGTTAACGCCATCTCGCGCGCTCTCGTGCACTATTGCGCAATCTTCTCTTCTCGCTCTTCTTGCCGGGCGAGGCACCGTCGGAGCTTTCGTGCAAGGGCACGCCACCTTCGACTTTCCTTATCACAAAGTGAGCCCGATTCCGTAAAAAGACGGTAAAAAAGCTGCCACAAGTACCCCGACATTGTTGGAATACTGGCGAACCGATTTTGTAACATTTATAAAAGAAAAAGACTAGAGAATCATCGTTCATGAATTGTTCATCAAATCGTCAGCGTTTGGGAATTGTCGAAGGAAATCGATGACGATTTTTTTAATGGAAATAAATTTTAATACTTGCACGTTGTTCGCAACGGTATTTATATAAATCTTCGGGTATCAAGTTGTTTCGCTTTCGCCGAGAGTCCGTGTCTATCCGGCAGGGGTTAATTAGAGCACGCAGGAAGTAGCTTTAACATCAAAGAGTGAAAACCCAGGAACAGGAGACGCGGAAGTTCCTCGAGGTGGAACTTTTTGCAAATTGTCACGCGATGTACACAGCGAGCCAGTTTGCCGTTGCAAGAACTGCGTAGGACCGTGCAGCTAACAGCGGCGCAATTACCGCGAATATTTTCCGCGACGGAATCGCTTTCCTCCGGGGCCATTACGGTATTAATGGTTACAGTTTGACGCTATAACGTGCACTTCGCTACCGCGGGAAATTACGGCCTCTCGTGAACGTTAACGAAACTTTATTTTGCCTGAACTAAATGTCCCCGTCAATGGGAATTTGGCCTTCGGCGGATGACGCCGCTCCCCATTATCTAACTAATTGCTACCCAATCCTTGCAGTTTAAGTAGAGCGAGATTTGCTTTAGGAAATCGTTTCAGAAAAGGAATCACCGAGATGAGATCTAGAACTTTCCCACTATCGGAGACTCGTGTCTCAGTGGTGTTAATATTATCCCTACAGTATGCCCTCAACTTTATAATAATTACATACTAACAGTTCGGAAAGTTCCTGGCATTAATTCTCTGTTATTATAAAATAGTTAACAACGACGATAATGGTAAATTCACTTGGTTCACCTCCTCTCAGAAATACTTGGAAAAAGGCTGGGAGACTTTAACTCCAGAAATATTAATACCGAATGAATAAAGCAAACTGAAGCGACAGAAAGTATGTTCACTCGCGCAACACTCTTTACCAGTAACAATACATTGCGTGTCGTTCATTTGATCGAGTAATGACAACGATATCTTCTTAACCACATACTGATTTCCTAAATCAGCAAGGACTTTTTTTCTAAAGGAAGCTGACCTATGCTTGCACCTATTTTCGACGTAATTGTATTCTTGCGGTTAGTGCAATAATTACCACCGTAAGTGCAAACCTTTATCAGCAATATTGTCTTTTGTTACAGCGCAAACGTCTTTTTGTTGGTTTTCCTGAGGCTCATATGAGACGAAAATCTTTGTATCGGGACTTCTTTACTATTCTACTCCTCCAGTTAAAAAAAAAACCGCAACGAAATTATTTTCGCACAGAATATTGGGGCCCCCGAAAGCGATCCGGGGCCCGGGGGCCCCTCGACCCACAGCCCGAAGTGTCTACCACTTCGCATCCGCGCGAAGTTACGTGCCCCTCGCCCACGGACCTCTTTATGAATGGTCGCCGCGTGAACCATTAGCCGACCAAGGTTGACGGCGGTTGGTCAACCTGTGGTCCATTTAAAGCGGGAAGCCGCCAAGAAAGGGTCCGACTACAGAGCTTCGGGTGAAAAAGGTCCGCACAAGGCGTTGCAAGGTATCGCTAGGCGTAATAAAACGTTGCAAACCGTACCAACGTTCCGCAAAGCGCCTCAAAGTCTCACAGAGCATCACAAGGCGTCGCAAAACGATGCAAAAAGTAGCGAATCGTCGAAAAGCTTATCAAGGCGGCGCAAAGCGTCGAAAAGAGTTATAAGGCGTCTTAAAGTGTCGCAAAGGGTCGTAAAGGGTCGTAAGGATCACAAAGGGTCGCAATGTGGCATAAAGCGCCATAAAGGACCACAAGGCGTTTCAAAGTGTAGGAAAGTGTTGCAAGATCTCGCAATGCGTCATAAAGCGTTGCAAAAAGTCAGAACGTGTCGCAAGACGTCGACAAGAGTCACAAAGCGTCGCAAAGGATTAAATATTGCCTCAAAGGGTCAGAAAGCGTTGTAGAGGTCACAGCGCAAAACATCGCAAAGTGTCTCAAAGCGTTGCAAAGGGTCGCAAGGCGTCTGAAAATGTCGCAAAACGTCACAAAGCGTCGCGAGACCTACCTGGAGCAGGACAATGATCTCTCGCGGTGGTCCATTGCGCAAGCGCTTTGTGGGAGCGGTCCCGAGGGCCTCGGGGCACGACGCGAGATAACTCGAATATCTGCCAGAGGATACGTCCTCGTCCTCGTGGCTCGGAGAAGATCCTGGAGGACAGGCGAGAGAGACCCCCCAGGCACGCCCGCGGGATGACACGTGACGCGTCCCGTCATACGTCATATGCCATCCGAGTGCACGTCGTCGTGCCTGACCCGGGCAGGACACGCGGGGCGAGAATCCGAGGATGATCCGAGCACGTCGCCTCGGGCTCCTCCAGGAGCCGCGAAGGTGAATTTCAACGTACGAATTTAGTGACGTCATAGCTCTTCTCCATCGTTCAAAATTAACCCGAGGAATCGTCGGAATCGTGGCAATTGCATACTCGAGCGAGACTGTCGACGATGATAGATATATCTGATAATCGTTTTTCAGGTTTTTAGGGCCCACGCAACTTATTACGCGGTTAAAGCCGATGTCATATTTCTGGAAATCTCTCCGTGATAGCCTTAGGCATAGTTGCACCAGCCGATTATGTATTCAGCTTGTATTATCGTGAGTCACCGGCATCAAATTTGGATCGGAGTGACAATTGAGATTCGCTCTCGCCGCGCGAGAAGGCAGGCGCGTCGAGGGTCCCTCGCGGCGGCCATCTTGGATCCTTCTTTCCCGTCTCCGCTAAGTAACATCCACGCACAATCGCGTTTTAAGATACTCTTACGTTCAAATTAGAAAATTTCGACGTAGACGAGTGAACAATGTAACCGTTAAATTTTCAGGCATCTCGGATGACGTCGAAGGCTTAAAAAATTCAACGACCCCCTGCGAGCACTGACCTGGACTTTTACGGATAGCCTCTTGGACTAGCTTCCTATGTCTAGTTACCATATCTTAAATACTCGCGTTCAAATACTTCGGTATCGGGTTGGACGCTTATGGACATATAGAGGCACGGATGAGCGCAAGAGACGATACTCGAGCATTCCGTCACAATGGCGGTTGCGCAATGCTCATCCACTTGCCGCACGGCCTATCGGGGCATTCGAGGTGTCGAAGGTGCTCCTTCTCCAGCGTGCCTCCCCCCCGCGAGTCGATTTAATTGCAATAAATTAAAGCTTGCGAAATGCGAATCGGCGAAATCCTCGGGAGCGGGACTTTTTGCGGGCGCAAGCCGAGGGCTTTCGGAGCAGCCGTCGGTGGCGTCCTCGGAGTAGCGTCTTTCGAAACGAGAGCGCGCGAGTTCGGAGGCGCGTTCTGGATGTCGGATGGTGGTTCGAGAAATGGATGGCCCACCTTGGGATTTACTCGTTCCGATGACGAATGGAGAGAGCGACCCGTCCCAGAGGAAGAGGGCCCCTTAATCGAAGGAGTTCCGCGCGGGGTCTAGGGCGTCACGACTTTACTTCAAATTTGATTAAAAAAAAAAAAGTGTAATTAACCGTACGTGATATCAAATTGTTGAGCTAGACTTCTTCCAAGGCTCCTGATATTGACATGTAAATATTAACGCGGAACGTGTCGAGGATACGTTAAGGATAATGCGAGAACGTGGAGGGGCGGGGTAAGCAGCTAGTATAAATAAGAGATAATAAACGTTCACCGTGAAAGTGCGAAACGCGTAATCCACGTCTTCGCGTTTATGGTAATCGTTTAATATTCCTGATTTTTAAGACTTCGCGTTTATTCCGAACTGACCGAGAGTGCGGTTCCATTATCGGCGAGTCGTATCCCGTCGACATTTTCACGCAACATCGGCCGACACCTCCGCAGTCTCCATTTCCTTTTATTTACATGTACAAGGTGCAAAGTGTTTCGCGTGAGTATTATTCGGGCGATCTTTGAATGTCGAGTTTTACGGCAAAAGTTTCGCGAACGGATACGGGGCGTAATTACGTACCGAGGTAACGTGAAAACGTCGAGATTCTTCGGCTTCGAAAAAAGTTGAACGTACTAGTCCTTACCTCACCGTTTAAAAAATACCCGCACACTTATTTTCGGAGGGTTACAAAATTGTTCAGATCGGGAGATCGTGTCAGATGTACTTTCAGGTGTCTCAAGAATGATGACTCGGGGGGGAGGAAAGGTATCATCAAGTCCGGCGTATACCTGAAGATCCCCTGTGCATCATTTCGGGAGGCATAAAACGATCGTAATTCAAAGATACCGAGGTAGAATTCGGACGGCGGGCGTCATTAAAGGCCCATCTCTTCGGCACATCTCGACCCGCCACCTCCGCAATTTCGGCCGCGAGGAAGACGCGGCGTTTACGTTTCCGAGGGATCCTTGAAAGCGAAACTGCGCGAATAAATTCCGCGAAGGGATCCGAGCAAGCAGGGAGGGGACGCAAAGTACGCGCGGCGGAAAGTCAGAAGTGCCCCCAAGAGGAGGAAGGAGAGCGCGAGGCGGAGAAAGAGAGGAAGCAAGGGAGAGAGAGAGAGAGGACGCGCGATATCGGGCCGAGTAGGTTGTCGGAGCCTCCGGGGCAGAGTTGCACCATCCCGCCAGTTAGACCCCCTTGGGCGAATCCGCGGCCTTATTTACCCTGCCAGCCGGCAGCTACACCGGCTGCCTTAACTAACCAACTAACTAACCTCGTATAGGTTATGTCGGGCTCGCGTTGCATTACTCATCCGCTCGCTTCGCGACGCGTCACGGGATTCGCGAATCCCCCCGAGGAGATTCGTTAGTTCCGATACGGGGAAATAAAAATTAGGCAAAACCAATCGTCACGACCGACGAGCAATGAGGTATACGTGAAACGTTATGCCCTCTGGAGGAGTTTACAGTCTTATTTATTCTGCCAGTCGGCAACTACGGCGATCGCCTTAACTAATCGACTAACTAACCTCGTATAGGTTATGTCGGGCTCGCGTTGCATTACTCATCCGCTCACTTCACGCCGCGACGTGATGGACACGTTTGTCCATCGCCGTAAGATTCCCCAATACAATTTAGGATATTTAAATTTTAAACAATACAAATGTTATCCTTTAAGTATGAAATTAATCTTGCTACTCGTTCAACAAGTGAAACCCACAACTGCCCATTGACATACCCTTAAAAGAAGTAAAGGTTAAGTAGACCAGAATTACCGTCACCCGTGAAATTGATTACAAAGATGACGTGACTATTCGGTGGGACGGTCATTGAAAGTAAGATCTTTGTCATAATGCAAGTTCTGAAAGGCGTTCTTCTCAGGCCGCGGGCTCGGAGAGCCCTCGGGGGTAGTAAGAGTGGTAAAAGGACGAGAGATCGTCGCAACTATTCCGAGGTCGTATCACGTGCGGATACGCACCTAGAAGAGCAAAGAAGTTGCAAAGATTGCGTTAACGCGTAGGTTGTCCGAGAAAACGACCCGAACGAGTACCACATTCATTCATTCACGGCCCTTTCATCCGCCAAGCAAGCTGATTTCTAATTCTGGGGCATAAAAGAAGAAGAAAAAAAATCCACAAGCTAGAACAAATAAGAACACGTTCTCTCATTAATTTCGAAGATTCGCACGTTTTATGGATGGCGAAAAGTGTCCTCGGACGGCATTCCGACACCTCCCTGGTTTTCTGTCCTCTTCGAGGTGATCCATTCGACACGGGAGAATCCCAATCAATGATCGTGCCATCTCGGTGAGAGGAGAAGATGCGCAATTAATTTCATCGAAATCCGAGGTCGCTCGTGGATTCGAAAGGACTCGTTTCCGGATGATCCTTCGACGGGAAGGGGGACGATCGATGGCCTCCGAGTATCGACGCGATCCACTTTTTTCGCAACGCACCTGTCTCGACGAGCACTCGATTGATCGCGATCGACGCGGTCGATGGTAGCGATCTTTAAATCTCCGTGTCTCTAGATTTGTAAATCCTTAGATCTTTAGTTCCACGCCATTAATGTCATCGGCCTGCCTAGCACGATCCTCCATTAGAGAATGATTTACCTCCTCAATTACTCGCCTCTTCTCCCAGGTGTTTCCCTCCTCCTTGGCTTTTCATCTCGTTAGCAAATTCAAATCTTTCCGAGCAATCTTCAATCTCCACCCATTACATAAAACCGCGGTAACACCTCAAAAATTAAAACTGCCTCACGAAAGAGATTTGATTTCTTATCCTTTTTAAAAACCTCCTAGGACCCATCGCAAGTATCCGTCAAAGTTTGAAACTCCGATTAGAGTCGGTCCAGAAATATCGGCAAGTGTCGCAACGCGTGAAGTGAAACACTCGCAGCGAAAAGCGCCGCGATTGGGCGAAATCGATTGTGTCCCTGCACCGGATACCCTAGGAAATAATCGAAAAATTTTCACTTTTCTTCTCGATGCAGTAAACCGCACTCGGCGGAACAATTGCGGGACGGTTCTGGGCCATTACGAAGTTGTGCCATTTCGTCCGAGGAGGCTAACGATGAATCGGTCGGGGAGCAGCTCCCAGTTAGTCCTGAGACTTTGGAGTTACGTCGTCATAGTCGAGTGAATGGACGACCTCTCCCTCTTCTCTGCCCTCCCCTGGCCCTCTCGGGCGTACACGTGTATTCCTGCGACATTAAACCTGCCTCCATTGCGTCGCAAAAACCTAACTAATCGGCGATTTACATCGCGGCGATCCCTAGGCACCTCCTTTGAACCCGGGGGTTACGTGATCGCCCAGGAAGCGATCGACGACACGAGGTCGGAAAAAAACTCGGCGAAAAGACAAACCTGCCGCAGGTTGGTTCAACGAACGTTTGCCGATGGTCGGTCCGAGACGACGTCCAATCGACATTTCGATAAGTGCCCCTACGAGGGTCCCAGTTGGCCTCGAGGATGGCACCTTGCAATTAATCCTGGCCTGCGGCACGTGACGTCCTTTTCCTCTTCCTTTTTCAAGACAGTCCCGAAAAATCGTTGGAACCACTCCGATAAATCTCGCGGAATGGCACCATTGTCGATACCACACGATTCCTCGAATGCGTCAGAGTGCGCCAGACTTCAAATGACGAATCCTTAATTGCAAGCGATGATCTCTTCCGCTACCTTTTTGCGGGTCCGAAGAAGAGGGAAGATTGCTTTTGCAGGAGGAGTTTGCAAATTATTGCCCCATTCGGCAGGATAACAATGAATTTCTCGACGATGTGTCAGAATAGGCGGAATTCAAATTATTCACCTTTAATTGTAAGTTACGCTCGACGCTTTCTGCTTCCTTTTTGTCAATCATCTCGGGAAGCTGCCGAGGGATTACTTGGCAGGCGGGATTTGCCGGCTGATAATATCGCGTGGGATGATAATAAATAATTCCTCGCGGTGTCAAGTTGTCGGAACGGTTGAAACTTGAATTACAGACTCTTCGCGCCGACACGCGGTGGGATTTTATTTCTCGGCACTTTAAAAGCTTACGTCGAGAGGTGGAAAATATTCGGATTATCGTAATTTCTCAGAAGCTCGTTCAGAATTTGGCGTTCCCGGGAAATGTCGTAAAAGATGTCCCGTGGGACGACAGGGCGTCGAGGGTTTTGAAATTCGAATTATAAATCCTTCCTCAGGTCTCGAGTGACGCTCGAGGCTTTATTCCTATTCTGCGAGTCTTTTTAGGAAGTCACGGAGGACGTTTTGACAGTAAAAAATGTATTGAGAGATCATCCATTCTGTCACTGTCGTAAAACGTCGGAAGTGCTTTCTGGGACCAATGGTGTATCACGTTGGGTGATGACCCATTTATCAATCAGACCTGACTTCCGTTTTCGATATCACGGATATAATATATCTAACGAATGCAATACGTGGCTAATAAGATATTAAAGAGAAAACAGCTCTTACGTGTGCGACGCTCGCGACGGTAAGTCCAAATGTGAAGGCAATTTGTACAACCGAGGGGGCTATTGTCCATTCGATGCAGGATGCACATCCGATCAGGACCAAAAGGAACGTCCCCAGAGCCTCGGAGAATAATGGCAGGAGGATGTCAACTTTCGAGACCTCGTCGAAGCCGACGAAGTCCTTTGCGTCTGGAAAAGATAAATCCATTATAAAAATGCATCATCGACTTCGCCAAGTCTCTGGCCTCTGATAATAAAGATGAGTTTCCAGCTAATATAATAAAGGAATTCATGTAAAAATTCCATACTTCTAAAGCCACGCGTACTTAATAATAAATAGAAGCAGTATTTACAACTCAAAAAAAAAAATGAAACATCGACGCGTTACATGGCACATTATATTTGTACCATAAATTTGGATGATAGTCCTTCCACCTAAATTGCACGAGAGATATCAGTTGACATTATACATCCCTATATTCTCAACGAAATATGTAACTCTTCATGATTTCTCGTAAAAATAATAGGCATCCGCCTTGCACTCGGACCAAGGACTACCCTACCTTGTAGATCGAAGAGTCTAGGATAAGGTCAATAGAAGCGATTCTCAAGCCGCTAATGAAACTATCCTCGACACCCAATCCATGGCCATGTACCATGCATCACGACCTGCACTCGTACAAGGAATGCAGTTAATGCGCTCGGAAAGACTCGCCAAATGAATTCTTCTTACTTAAACCGCGCCGGTTGCGCAAGGATCGGATCTTTGAGAAATAATTGGCGGGAGAGGCCCGGCTTCGAATTTTCGAGGCATTTTTCGGATCCTTTCGACGCGAGGAATACATTACGGACAAAAGGTAATTCTCCCCGTCATTTGCTTTGCAAAGCCGTATGCAGGCTACAAAAGGAGCACAATAACGATCCCTTCGGTACTTACAAGTTGCAAAAAGATTTCATCAGTAAGGTACCTCCACCAGTGAGTCTACTCAGCCCGGAATACCTTTAATTAGTGCCAAAAATAATCTACCACAGCCTAGCTCACAAGAAATCCCAATTTTTGTTTGCAGAAACGTCATGCCTGACATCCTCAAGATTCTTCCAAGAAGAGCATCTCCTACCCGAATATAAGTGTTCCAGGATTTATTTGTACACTTTCGTATATATTGAAAAAAGAGCGAAGTAATGATTTCCTCTGCACAAAAAAGTGCCAATATAAAAAAAAAAAAAAGATGGTGAGCCCACGAGTGAAGAGCGCAACACTAGACACCTTTAATTAGGACCTCTGAATCCGGAGGAATTGCACAATCCGCCCCTTACGTGGGATTGCAGCGAACACGCTCGAAAGGACTCGGCAAATGAATATTTTATTCGCGCCGCGAATCGCTTGCGAAACTGCCGAGTCTTTGAGAAATAATTGCAGGGAGAGAGAGAGGCGAGGCTTCGAATTTCCGAGGCGTTCTTCGGGTGCTTATGGGACCGGGAATAAAACGTGTGCAAGGTGTAATGCACGGTCGCCTCGCTTTTTCAAAGTGCCGCTCCCTTTCTCCTTTCTTTTCTCTCCCGTGGTACCGACTTAAAGGTCCTTCGATGAGGCCTTTTTTTCAAGCCGCCAGAGAGACCCAGGATTACGTCCTCCCCGAAGGAATAATGCCGCCAGATCGCGATCCTTCTCGTAATAGGTCGAGGCGTGATCAAGATCTCCCAAGGAACGAACGTCACGAAAACGATTCTCTCGTGTAATTACTACGAGGAACTTCCGTGCTTCCAGGTAAACCCTCGCAGCGCCGATAGTTTATCGCGGACCAAATATTATTTTCGTGTCGAGTCGTGGACACGGTTTCGAGATGATAAGATTATCTAGAACGATACTATCATGCCCGGTGGGAAAAAACTGACGGGATGAAACATCGAGACTGATGATTTTCTCGCGTACTGTGTAAAAAGGACTTCTCTGTACGTAAAAAAAAAAATATGTTGCGAACTCGTAATAGTTTCTAATACGTTACACAATTTTTTACTAGGGCACCGGAGAGAGGATTTAATACATAATTTTCACCACACAATTATAGTTCGATGATAATGTTAATACAATACTGCCAGGAATTGAATAACAACGCTCGTAGAAAAAGTTTATTACTTCTTTATATATAGAATATTGATTAATGAGCGGAGGTTGTATATGATCTTTGCTGTGCAATTATTGTCGGACAATAGTTTATACAAAATGATGTCTGGGAGCGAAGGGCAACAATTCTGATGCACGTATCTGGAGGATTTTGGGTGATAAAAAACGATAATTGTCAAATTTTTTGGTGGGATTTAAATCCACGATGATATAGTTAAAGCCTCTAGTTAGACTAGATGAACCGAAGTAATAAATAAAACTATTGATACGCGTATATTAAAAGTCGAGGAAGAATAATCAGTCGAGGAAGGCAGGATTCGGCTCATTTCCCTGCGGATAAAAAAAGTCATAAACGAAGTCGGATTTCACTGCGCCATACCAGGGAAGAGTTAACGGAGCATTGTCTTAGAGCTTTGCCATAGATTCCCCGAACTCTGTTTCTATTAGCGGTAATAATTGCGGTAAAACGGCCGTTTCGCCGAAAAACCGCGCGAAAATCGACTCGCCGACAGCCTTTCTAATTTTCCTGTTCTGGTGGACGCGGTTTACGATCGGCGATTGTTACGTGTCCCGAAGCAATACCTTTTGAGTCTACCCCAGGGAATATAACGAAACCTCGGCGAGTAACGAAACGCCTCCGTTAAACGGTCCTAAAAGGATCCCAAATCTGGACGGCGCGTTTGACAGGACTCTTTACCTTTCGTGACGAATGGCCCGATGTAATGGATTTTCATGTACGTCTTCTAGATGACTGATAATAATGTCATTTTATCGCCGGTTACATGAACCACTTGTGAGCCAGCAGCCATATTACCCTCGTTAAAAAAGCACATCCACCTCGACGTGTCCCGTCCGCTCCTTCGAAGAAGACAATGCCTAGTAAAGGTGCAATAAAATTTTTTTTTCCCGTACTCACCGCGGTGCATAACAAGGGCGTAATGGAATTTTTTGACCAATCTCAGTTGAGCAAGATACGATTTCATCATACTTCATGTTATGGTAAGTAGCGACAGATTAAAAAAAAAAAAGAAAAAACGCATCCACTTCGACGCGTCCTATGTGCTCCTTTAACGAGGGTAATAGCTTTCGTCATACTTTCGTGGTGCCTAGAAAAAATGCAATGGGTTTTTTTTTCATGCATTCCCGCGGTGCATAACGGAGGCATAATGGAATTTTTTTTTTCTTTTTTGACGAACGACTGTTGAGCAAGAAATGATTTCATCATATTTCTAGTTACGACGCGTCGCGACAAAATGTATTTGGGCACTTCGCTAATGGAGTGTGAGTGCTCTTCCGATAAGTGCAATCGTGGATCCCCTACTCCGAGGAGGTACAATACGTCTAACGGAGGTTTATTTATCGCCGTTGAATGATAAACGTTCGATTTAACCAGGTGTCAAGGACAAGTAGATATCACGGAAAACGTTATACGCGGAAAAAAAAAATGAAATCACCGTTAATTAGGAATAAAGTACAAGCTAGAATTCGGTTTAAGCCCCATTCGGATATTCCACGAAGAAGAAAAATGTGCATCGAAAAAAAAAAGAAGCATCGTGTGCACAAATGTAGGTCTTAAATTTATAATCATTTCGAATGCAGATTCTTTTCTGTCGGGAATTCTATTTTTGCGCCCGGTGGTGCAACGAATTTATGAATCACCTATTCGAGCTTAAATAATTGCGCCGTTAAGAGTATGTACCTGCAACCATGTTGCAGGGCTTAATGCGAAAAAGGAAAAAATTCCGATACATTTTCATTCGATTACTCGTGCACCCACATGCGACATAACGCAATCACGGCCCCCTTATTTCGGCAATGTGCATACGGCTATAATGAATTTTTATGTTCTTCAGGTAACGCGTATGCGTTTCATTACTCCGCTTGTTACATATAGCACTGGTGTTCTCGCAACCATGTTGCATCGATAAGAGAATATATACATCGGATCACCCCTGGACCCAAATGCCTCGCTGTACATGTACTGAACCCGAAGAACATAACCAAAGCCGCCTTATTTGCTCATTTGCCCGTAACAAATGTACTTTCACCCGGCCACGAAGAATTATTCGGTTAATTGTCGAGATTTTTCTCGATTGCGCCTGCCGCGTGTGCCAAACCATCAATATTTGTCGCCCATGTCGGTCGGTAAATGTCAAATGACTCGTTAGTACCCCGACTCCGTAATTGTGCTGTCTCACTACTTGTTACGTGTAAAACTCGTCTTCGTTCTGCTTTTTTTCAAGCCTCGTTGCATTCAATTACTCAGCATGTAAGTTTAAACGATCGAACCTGGATATCGATTTCGATCATTTTTACGCCCGATTGGCGTTAGAAAAGTTCCCCCCACCGCTTTCCAATCACTGATCAAGAAATATCAGTGTCCGACCATTATTATGATCGTAGATCGATACAGAAATGAAAATACTGATGGAGTACCTAATTTTGAAAATCGAATCGACGCCCAACTCTAGTAGGCTTTTTTGCGAATAAGTCCAAAGAAATTGAGTCGGTCAATATTTACTCCATAAGATATTGTGAAGGTCAATATAACGCAATTTGTGCGTAATTGCATTTTAATTGCATGCTTTACGGAATTGACGATCGTCCCCTCATGGAAATGAGTCGATGATCGTCAATTCCGTGAGGCCGACGATACGCGGATTAAATTATAATAAGTCACGAGGAATATTTTCTCGATGAGAAATAAGTCTTGGTGTACACAGCATCCAGATGCACCGCACGTGTAGCAGACGTGATATGATCGCGTTACTTCGATTGCGTGAGGACGCAAATATAAAACCCAATCAATGTGGGCGTACTCCTTTCGGACGAGGAAAATTTGTATTCGATTTGTTGTTAACTTCACTTGTGGACTTGCAGCACGTGCATCTGATACAGGGTGATCGCAGTCGTTTTATATACGTGACTATGCGTTTTTGATGTAACATAAGATTACAGACCCCAGCTATATTTATGATGAATGACAACTGAGAATTTTCGTTCATTTGTACGCACACTTATATATCCGAGGCTGAACGCTCTCAGCACGATGTAATTTGCAAAGCTTACCAGCATGTTGGTAAGACATTTTTAAAGTCATTTCCTGTAATTGAAACTATCCTCTTATGTGTGAAGATTTCTATGACAACACGCAAGTGGTTTTCTTTCGATAGAATTGCATTTCATATTTACTCGCAAACTGTAACTCCAGTACACTTGTAAAAAAAACAGTGTGGAATAAGATGGTAAATTATTATCGTCCATTTTTATAACTCAACAGTATAAGACTCGATTTAGAATATTCGTTAGATGTGAAAAAAGAATGTGAAAAGGTTCGGTCGATTACGGGAGACTTAGGATGTTCTATCTCGAAAACCTCCGGTATAAACTGTTTACAAATATTTGCATACCCACCCAATAACCGAGTCAAAGACACACGATTTCCCTTGACCTTTCCATCTGCCGAAATGGATTTCACTGTCCACTATTTACGGATTGCGTGCACGGTACTACGCCAATTACGCGGTAAGTATAAACGAGCAGTTGAAAAACAACGAACACCGGACGACATTGAGATTTAACTAACCACGGTGTGCGATTCTCTCCGTCACGTGTTTTTTACTAGTGGTCGTCACTACCGGGTTTCCCTAGGTTATGCTCGGAGTCCATTCCCTGAACATAACATAAATTACATGCTTACTTCCAGCGCACGTAATACGCTTCGAGAATGTAAATTAAACTTAAACAAAGCGCATGACTTACTCCGTTCCGTACACCGCATTATCGTCCACGCGTGGACGCGATACGACAGCATCGTCGTGAACCCTAGCTTTATGTAATGTATTATTGTTACTTGCAAGATATGCATCTCTTCGATAAGTAGAAAAGGCAGGTCAAATTGTCCACCGACTTGCATACGTATAGTTTCGGTTGCAATTTCGTATCTACTCGTTAAACTACCCCAAAATGCACTTTTTCAATTCTTCCTTACCATTTCATTTCACTAACATCGCAGCAGAATAAATAATAATGAAATAACAATGGTACTCGTGTATTGACTTAAATTATCTCTGTAATTATAAAATACATTTCGGACGTATGTACTTGGCGCGGGATTTTACAGTCGACGTTTACCCAGATCTGGCTTCAAGCTTTTTAAAACAGAGCACGTGTGTCCCTCCCGACCACAAATGCTCTACTTTTGCAAGGTATTCAGGAAAGGTGCACTCGGATGCACTCGTTTCGGGTGACAAGTACGAATTCGTAACTACACGGCCTCTTGTATCTGCATACATTGCACGTACCGATATTATCTCGATCGTTTTGCTTCGACGCTGTCCCGAGAAACGTGATAAATTTCAATGTACTTCCAAAGCGCAAAAAGTGCAACACGATGGATGGATTCTTCTGCGCCCGCGTATCCTTGCCCGGTACACACCTCGCGAGATAAAATCTCCATCTTTTTATTAAATTAAATAAATAAATAAAACATCACGTCATTCCTCGGCCAGAACTTCGATTCCTTTTCTGATGTTTCGTTTCCTTCATTTTCGCTTCTGCATTTAATTCGAGAGGAGTCCGACCGTGCAAGTGCATCGCCGTGGAGCAGAACGCACTAGCCGGTCCATGGAAAACTAAGGAGAGTATACCGGAATCTAGTTCACTCTACTCGGGTTCTATTCTAGATTTTACCTGAATCTGCTGAGATTTACCGATGCCTGATTTCACCGACACGATTCAAGAGTTCAAATGAGGTTAAGCCGGGGATTAAACAACGAGAACGATCGAGCTGCTTATCCTGCTCGTATTTGCTCAATTAGATCGATCCAAGAAAAGTATTAACAGATACCGTTAATCCCTTTTCACATGTTATCTAAATACAAAAACTTGTCATTTTCTGTACCTTGATATATATGTACCGTCGTCGTAAATTCGATTCGTTCAATGGAAAGATTTTAAAAAGGTGTGTTGAAAGTTACTTGTCACCGTGTCATTTACCGAAAGCGCAGCCAAAAAAACTCTGACCTGTCATACCACTTCTTTTTCTTATTTCTCCGATATACACGAAACGTGTTCAACGGGTATTACCGAGTACCCCTGAAATGTCAATTATTAAGGCTTGACGCAGATTTTGGACTCACTGTTCACTTAAAAGTATCCCAAAAATCGGGTCAAAGATCATCGATCATCGTCTGACCGAATTACGTAATTCGCTGCTGAAAATTCTGACGTGTTTGACCTTATGATGTTTATATCCCTCTAATATATATGAAACATAGTCACCAGATATTACCGAATACCTCTATAACGTCTAATGTCCGCGCAATTGATGTCGAAAATTGAATCCACCGTTCACTTAAAGGTAATCAAAAATCAGGTGAAAGATCACAGTCGAGGGTCTATTTGAATTGATATCTATGATTGCCTATGATTTCATATGATAAGCAAGTGTGATTCGGTAACACGTGACAGTCGGCCATAAAATTAGGGTAATGTTTTAGTGATTCCTGTTCGCGATTTCGAGCATTAAAATCGACAATTTCCCGAGTGAAAATCCCCTCGGTCACAGTTCACCGCACGGTGTCAATTATGTAGATCGCAACCCAAACCCTGACCTGCCATATCACGTCTTTTTCACATCCCTCCAATCCACACGAAGTGCACTCAACAGGTATCACCGAGACCCCCGGCAATGTCAATTATCAAGGTCATCGACTTGTATTTTGGATTCACGGTCCTCTAAAAAGTCTCCCAAAAGTTGGTTCAAAGATCGCAGATCATAGCCAATTAAGTAAACCGCGGTCAAAAGCCCCGACCTACATCGTCAAGTGACGTTTATATCCCTTCAATATACACGAAACACATCCAACAGATATTACCATGTCCCTTATGTCAACATAATTAGCACGGATATCGGATTCACTGTTAACTAGAAAATAGCCGAAAAGAATCGAGTCAAAGATGACTGATCACCGCCCAAGGTCAATTAAGTAAACCCCGGTCAAAAGCCCCGACCTACCTCGTCAAGTGACGTTCATATCCCTTCAATATACACGAAACACATCCAACAGGTATTATTAAGTCCTTTTGCTAATATAATTAGCACGGATATCGGATTCACAATTACCTAAAAAATATCCGAGAAAAATCAGGTCAAAGATCGCCGATCACCGCCCAGGGTCGATTAAGTAAACCGCGGTCAAAAGCCCCGACCTACCTTGCCACGTCTTGCTCATCTCTCCTGGTCAGTCTACGGTCGCAGCGGCCACGTGTTGCGCCTCTCGTCCCAACCGGCGCGGCACAGCCGATCGCGGGCGACTCCGACGTCGGCGGGTCAAAGTCTGCCGAGAAGCCGCGGGGCTTGGAGGGATGCTCGAATCTTCGAGTGTGTCCGCGAGATGCGCGATGGCCACGCTCCCTCTCTGTCCCTCGGAAAATATTTCCCAATTCCGACTCGGCGGAAGAGGGCGGAGAAAGGGAGAAAGAGAGACGAGAAAAAGGGGTTACAGAGAGGAGGTGATATCCGTCTCCGTCGAATCTCGCCGGGTTTGGTATAGGTGGATCGACAGGTGGTCGAAGGAACCGGAGCGCTCGAGGTAGCGTCCGAGGTTTCGACTGTAAGAGGGTATGTGGGCTATTGAGTGCGCGCCCGCGTGTTTCGCCTTCATATATCGGCTTCACCACCGCCTCCCCCCTCGGCGCGGAACCTCCCCTCCAGCGCGACCTCCCGCGCGCGCTCGCTCTTCCACCGACTTTGCCCGTCGGCTAGACGCGATTTGGCCACGATTCCGCAAACCGACGGATCGCGGAGAGAGGGCTATCTACCGCGTTTTTCCACGGACCTTGCTAACCGGACGCCATGTTCCCTTCCGACCGCTTCGTCCTAGATCACGTATAAATGAAAATTATCAAATTTTCAACACGATCGTTCTTGACTTTTCTCTCTCTTTCTCTATTTTTTTTTTTCACTAGTCTGGCTCTAAAGACCCCCGGCAAAATGTCGCACGGTAACTTCTGCATCGCGAGCGGTAGCGGGGATGGTAAAGTCATTGCAAAGTGCACTTCATGACTGCTGCACCTAACTTTATGGTATGCGAGGAAGAACGGTGGAGGAGGCGCGACTTCGAGATGCTGGGTCAAAGTCGAAGAGTATTGTAACGACACGGGTAGATTGATCAGGGAAACGATGTTTTGTCAATTGTATTACGCATGTCACGTGCGGTCACGTGACCTTCGGGGGAACTTGGATCTTTACGTCCAAAGATGAAAAAATGACGCATTACGAGATCGTTGATAGAGACGTGGGTTAGAGATAATTAATGCAATTAATGCGTGGATACATTTATAACATCGGACAATGTAACGAAGTGGAAAAAGTGGAATTTACTTTTTTTTCATTAAACCTGTATTTTCTTCTATTCGTTTTTCTTATTTTTCAAAGCAGTTGTTATTTCCTTAATAATATGCAATTCATTAGCCCTCGGTATAGGTGTTTATCAAGTCGTTTCCCCCCTGCAAATAATTTCTCGACTAAAACGCTTTAACTTTAAAGTACGGTGATAAACCCAAATTAGTTACTTGTCCAGCCATCTCTCACACTTGTTAATTCGTAAACGTAGCAACGATTTTGACTCATTACTATAGGTTCGCAAACAGTTATTACCCAATTACTTAGACCTCCGATTTCCCTAAGTTCGCGATTTTTTTTTTCCCACTATTTTCAATTTCACCATTTCCTGTTCACCGGCAATAACTAGACTTTGAAAGTGCTTGAAGAAAGCAAAAGACATTTTCCTCGAGAGAGTAGGAAATTAAGTGCGACCAGCGCATTTTGCATTCCTGATGGATTTCTAGTTGTTATGATATATTGTTTTTTTTTGCAAAACATCTACAACCGGCAGCGGTTCAGGTTACAAGTTATTGCTTCTCGTCCGAACGCCCAACTGCGCCGATTTTGCTCATTGTTGATCTATTTCGCCGATGAAAAATTGAAATATTAAAGGCACTCCCTTTACCAACTGTTACTTGACGCGCGAGCATGCATTATTACTTTCGCCGGAGTATAGAGCGGGAGTAATTCCGCCTTGTGGTAAAGTATAACGGCGAAAAATCAGCGGTAATTCGAGGCCGACTCAACGCCCGTGCAAAAAGATTTCCTCCGGGAGATTTCTTCCGCGAGTAGCGATCGAGCGACTCGATAAAAGGGTGCAAACGAGCGGACGTTCCGTGGGAATGCAACGTTTTAGTGCCGGATTATGTAAGAAAGATCGAAGGAAACTCGTCGAGGTCCAACAATCGGCCCGACTAAAAAGGTTTAATTTCCACAAAGGCAATATATCAATAGATAATCAAGGAAACGCTGTTTATAATTTTTTGATAAACCTTCCATTTTTACTGCACAACAATGATATACTTTCCCAGGATGCAATAATTACCTATATTTAAATGAGCTGCTGTGCGGTGTGTAAAAGAACACTTATTGAATGACATTAATAAACTTTTTCGTTTTGAAATTGAATATTCCTCATCAAAGTCATACATTATTCTTGAAGACTCGATAGGGAATATTAAAGAAATATCGCGCGTAGATGGTATCCCGGCACCGAATAATTCATCTTAATTGGAACACTATCTTGAGACAACTCTGCAAATAGCACCTACGATGCACCTGCAGCTGTACTGGCGAAGCCTCTAATGAAAGCGTACGCGTAGATACAAACGTGCTTACAAACAAGGTAAACGGTGACCTTGATGCCGTACTCTCTCGTGACGTATTAATAGTCGGTTCTAAAAATTGACATAAACTTTTCTTCCTCACTTCCCTCGATATCCGTATTTTCCCGAGATTCTAACATTTTGTCAATATTTTATAAAACACATAAGCATCGATACCCGCGCAAGCAAGGTCACCTTAGAGAACATTTTCGTCCATTTTACCGAGCTATTTCTAGTAAAATAAAAGAATTATTTTACAGCTGCTTTATATTAATACTTTCAATTAATCGTCCTGGAATACAATTACTTTTGTCATTTATGCGCTGAAATTGAATTTTAACCGCGTCGCGGTCTCTTGCTCTCTCATCTTCATTTTATTTTACAATTTCATCCCGATTAATAAACTGTCTTATTTCCTTGATACACCACGTCGTAAAACGATGATTTTATGAGATTATAATTAATTCCCAGCTATCTTATGGGGATTCGTGCTTTCCATATGCAAATCCCCTCATTAGTCGGAGATGGCGCACGCGCGTTATGAGGTTTGAATGTTATGTACACCGAGAGCGTTTACTTATATAAATTAAACAGGCAAGGGTGAAGTAAAACGTCCTGGTACTTTTTTAATGAGCGACGTGCAACGAAATTTACTAGTCATAAATTCTGATCCGGCACTTAACGATCATAAATGTGAATAATGGCACGGAATGGTACAATGCTCCTTATATCGTCGCACCATGCAGCGTTTGCCGTTTGCCCATTCTTGGATCGAAGTATTGACTTATTGCTCCGAGTCAGAAATGGACGACTTTATTGGACAGTTGCCTGCAGACATGGTTTACACTTTATGCATATCCGTGTTTGTAAAGTGTATATTACCAGTCACACGAGTATGTTCACCTTCGTTGGTCGAAAAATGTCTAAAGACTCTAGACGGGTTTAATACACTGTTAAAAATATTCATAAAATTCATGCACTTTTGGTAATATAAGGTTGCAGTAAAACCACAAATTTCACGGCTTCAAACCAAAATTATTTAGAATTCAATACAGATTTCTAAATAAATTTGTAATTTCACAACATAACGTCACGACTTTGAGAAATTGTATAAGAGAATTAATACACATATGTATTAGATTTATGACGTACGTTTATAAAATACATAAATGAAATGTTATAAAATTACAATATTTTTTTTTTAACAGGGTAGAGACAATCTAACTAAATATTTCCAGTTATAGTTAAAGTGATGTCATAAATAGAATGACAGAGATAATAGTAATCACCTTCGAACCGCCTTTAATTATACGATTGGGTGATTCAGGATCAGTCGGGGGATACTTTTTTCGAATATGCAAATCGAAGTGTACGGCTAAGCCGATATCACAGTGACCCACAATGCCAACCCGGTTATCGTGGAACTTCGGATCTTGGAATTGAAAAAGACTCGCCTCGTGGAGCCTTGAGCAAGAAGAGGACTAGGAAGGGAACATTCCGGAGGACCGGTTGTGCGAGGATGAAAAATTACAGAAGACCATTTACAAGCCGTTTACCGCATTAACGGTGCACCTCCTGCTGCTTACCGATCTCGATGTAGACGTAAGGTCATGGTTATCAAGGCGCAGGTGTAACGAGTAATGCGCTCTTATGTAACGTCTATCCAGCGATCGCGGCATTTCTGATCTTGAAAATCACTCGACCGACAGACCCGTTGAAAAGGTTTTAAAGACTTCCATTAAAATAGAAACGTTACTACCATTAACTTCTAAATATTTTTCAATTAATTTCAAAGAACGTCAGTATGAAATTGTAATTAGAGAGGACTCTTTAAAAGCCGTTTATTGTTTCAGCGACGCACCCTTTGCTGCTAACTAATCTTAATGCAGATATAGGGTTAAGGTTATCACGACACAAGTGTAACGGGGTTATGTTATTATATAAGCGAGCATCGACGTATCTACGATGCACGTGCACGTACTCGTAATCGTTTTTGTACGTGCTGCAACAATTCCGCATGTACCTGCATTTTAGTGCGTGGCTACCGTACCACAATTTTATTTCATTTATATTTATTGCTTCAACGTCTCGTAGGAATTTTTCCTTTGATGAATCAAGTCAGGAATGGCGTTTAGAATCGTCAAGCTCTTGAATAGAGAAGTATGTCACTTTTATGGCGCAATTTTCAGCGAATACTATTCGCACATAGAGATAATGTATAATGTAAGCTTCATCTAAAATGTTCCTTTCGTCATATTACATTAATTGAAAGATGCAATTGCTGGCCTCTCGCTTGCAGGGTAATATAAGCAATCCTTAAATTCCATAAATAATTTTCACAAATATATTTCGTCTTAATTGTTAATGTTGATGTTTACTAAAAATTACGATTACGAACTCAATAATTGCACTCAAACGTGTAAATTAAAGAAAATTGAAAAATCGACGATTGCGTCGTGAGATTTTGATTAGACGATCTAGTTTAAGTATCAATATATTTTTAATAGACGTGTGAACCGTCCTCGAATTTTAACTGTTAAATTCACGCACGTCATATCGGAGCTGTGTGACAAAAAAACGACCGTCATTGTTAGTGATTCTTTATTGTCAACCATTGTGTGAGCACTTTAATTCAGCTCGTCTGTTAGGCATTGTCTCGCCTTATTTTCATTAGAAAATGGTCGCGAGTCATTAAAATCTGCGACAATGGAATAGTAATCGGCAAGCCGGCTGAATCCTTTGGGAATAAAAAGAAACGTGTTATCAATGCTAATGCCCGAATTAAACGGTAACAACATGGAAAGATTAACGCGATTTTTAGAAAGGATTAATATAACGGAGAAACGAGTGTTGGGTCTTGATAAAAGGGGTCAATAAACAGATTTTACCATTATCTCGTGCTATTTCAATAATTATTAATTAAACATGCAGTTAACGTTCTCGCAACCACAAGGTTTCGATCTACTGCTATTCGCAGACTTCGCTTCGGTGATTAATACTCCTGGATCTCACATTAACATTACTCACGCTACCGGAATTTTTCCACTTCTCAGAAAACAACAAGGTGGAAAATGTAAAAAACCGCACCTAAACAACAGAGAGGAACAGTGTTCCTCGCAGAAGAGAAAACGCAAGAATGGCGTCAACAGTTTCCATGTACCCAAGTAATTTGCCATTTATTTGCAACAGGTAATTCGTACTCTGCCGTAAAGATGATTACCTAATATTATCACGTTACTACTCTAGAATTAACAACGGAAAATTAGATGCCAATCATTCCATCCCGAGAAAAGAATTTATCCATGTCATTTGAATTCCTTTTTACCCCAACATTAATGTTTTATACGGAAAAATTCTAGTTGATAATTACTACGAAACCACATTTCTTAAACATTCTTTCAATAATGACTACAAACTCATCTACTTTGCTCATGCATACACCCATAATGGATTTCACGGATTTCTTCAGATCCAGACGATTTCATTGTCATCGTTTAATGACAACGCGAGCAATAATCGTTTTCTGCGTATCATCAGTGGTTTACTCACCCGTTACCTGTTTTTTCAGAAATCAACAATATGCCGGGAGTAACGCGAAGAGTTACTCAATAGGCAAAAAACGTAAATAAAAACTTATCCGTAAATAGAGAAAAAGAATTAAAATGGAAATAAGATACAAAACTCAGCAGAGCCTTATCCGTTAAACAACAAATATTCACGTGATTTAATTGGATATTATAGAGAATGATAATTTAAATCCTAAATTAAGCATGTCCAGAATAAGTAAAGCAGAGTTTTACTTAAAAGAAACACATTTATAAAAATACATCTGTTTTTATGTTATCTGTGTATACACAGTAAATTATTCCTTTAAAAGTGCGTCATTCGCAGAAACGTACCGATGGCAAATGGAGATTAAATAAAAAAAGCTTTCACTCCTTAAATTTCGTAAAAGCCGGACTGGTGAATTAGTCTTATCTTTCATATATCGCCTCGATGTCGCGAATGTATCCCACGAGGAAAATTCACGCAAGGCAGACGGTTTTAGCTCCGAGCTTCCAAATCGCAGGTCATGCACCCAATAATTTCGGACACGCAACGAATGAGTGGGTTAAACGTGTTCATTCGCCCCTTAAAAGTGGTTTATGGGACCGCCTTTTCATCAAATGAGCCATTGATTAACGAAATAATTCGCGCATTCGGGTCAGGGTAATTTTAGCTCGCGAGGGAAAATTGATATTCCCAGTTATCGAGACTGCCGTAAAAAACGAACTTACAATTAGAGCGCACCATTGATAACGTATTATTCCTCGATACGTGGCCACGCTTACTATCACGAAGCATTGACAGAAAATAATTACAGAGCACAGGTCACGCTAATTTTAACTCATAAAGAAAGGGAAGCGCATTCCAAGCAATCGATTATTAGTCATTTTTCTTAATTATGCTTTCATGATATGTCCCTTCATGTTGAATTCTGATTATTTTGGGCATAACAATATCAGTACATTAAGATGAATACAAGTAATAATTAACTAGAAAATTAACTAAGAGAGTAACGCACTAACAGCAACGAAAATGCTAATTGGAAATTATCTCAGTACACGTAAAGAAATAGTTCATAGTCGTGATAACAAATTTTTCTTGCTTCAGCAAATCTCTAAATCATAATCATTGTTACGTTCGCATAAAAAGTTCGGTTTGAAAAACACAGACAAGAGTTCTAATGAAATCTCCAAAATCACATTTAAATTGGACGAGTTTCTCGCTGAAAAATGTATTTGGCTCGAGACTATACCGAGTTTCTTAATATCAGCATCTGAGAATATTTCCTTGAGCAGACGTAGGCGACATTCCCCAATTCCGCGCGTACGACCCTTCCGTAATTAATCGAAACACGAGGGTAAGTACGGTTCGGCTTTTACGGGCCTGCAAGGAGCACCTCGTAATTTTGCGCACGCAAGGGAATCGCCGAATTAAACGCGGACGCGTCTCTCCGTTAAAAGGCGGGCTTAGCTCTTGGGAGCGCCCATTGCTAAATGAAACGATTCAATTAGAGCGCGGCCCAACCCTCGGCGGGTTACTCGTGTACGGAGAGTAATTGTGGTGCCCGGGCTCGGAATACCGGGTTATATGGACGGAAAGTGCTGGACTCGGGCACCGTGAAACCGTCTACGTTAAAAAAGACCGGCATATTGCCCGGCAGGTCCCCCCGAGGCGACTTTAACGAGGGCCCTCGACACACGAATCGTCATTGCGACATATTCATATTGTCGAATTCGCCCGGCATGACCGCCGACAAGCAAACTCTAATTCAATTATTAACTGGACTACTTTTCGCTCCGAAACGACGACCGATATTTCGCGAATGCCTCGATCCGATCGCCGACTAAAAAGAGCCACTTATGCTAAGAGCCCATTTCGAAATTCCACCATGTCTCTATTTCTTTTGATATTTCCATTTTTCGATAGTTTGCGACCTACTTGTTTTCTCTTCCCGATGTTTCCGAATCCGTTCAGAATGTCATTTATTAAGCGCTGTACTTCTTGTTAAAAATCAAACGATTTATTGGGAAATTCTTTACTGTAAATGCTGGACATTGATACTTTAGATATTTAGCTGGATTATGTGGATCTGGAATCATGGGTCAATTTTTTTCAGTGATTTTAATACTCACGAACGGACGTTTCGTTGCTCTAACGAGCGATTTTCATGTTAGAAAACGGGATAATTAGGTTGAGAACTGTTGCAGCAGAACGGGGGATCGTAATTTCATTAGTTTCTTAGTTACTGTCTGATCTAATTACACGGCCGATATCTCACGGTGATAGCGTATAATGAGAAGAAAAGTTGCTCAAAGGAGAGTCGAGTTTCCAAAATCGTCTACCCGGTTCTAACGATAAGAGTCAAATTCCCATGAGCGGGTGAGCAAATATGACTCTTGCCAAAACCTCGTCCGACACTGGAAGGAAAAAGAAAAGGAACGTTCTGCCAAATCATAGGCTCATGGTGAAATCATTTCTCAGAGGCGTATTCTTGTCTTACATGGTGTTACTGTCACTCGGAATAGAAATTCGTATTTATCGCGAATTATATTTACATTGTGGGCGCGCATGAATGGGGGACAAGGATTTTTAGGCGTATTAACAATTTGCACGGCCACGCGGGGGAATCGATAGGTCGCTATTCTAGAATAACGCGGCAGAAGAAAAAAAGGCGAGAGCGTGTCCAAAGATCTTGTCTCAAGGGACTGACACATTGATTAATTAATAAATCCCCGGGAGTGGATAGGAGGCGGAACAAATTGCGGAGGCAAAAGAGTCAGAGAGATCTGGGGGTCGCGTCATGGTAAAACGTAACGAGACCGAATCACGTAATGCGAACGCATTAAGCAAATAACTCAAGGAACGCACGTAAATACCCTGACACGGGTATCTTGATCGTTACCTGCATTGTAAACATGTATATCCGGAGGTCTCCTTATTCTTTATCGCTTTTCTCATAATTTTCGAGAGCATACACACGGAATGTATACAAACAGTGGCTTTGCGCGGTCCGCTGCACGTTTTGCACGGGCGAACTCTAGAGCGGTTTATATTTACCAAATAGTTTGAAACTTTCGTCCGCGGGATATTACGATTTTGCCGGGACAGAGAAGTCTTGAAGACCTAATGTGGTCCAAAGTTTAAATCTTTTCTTTCCAGAAAAGCGGGTTGCTGTGATTCTGGGCCTATGTTTCGGCGAAGTGGCTCCGCGGAGCGAAATAGTTTCCCCCACTCCTTCACTCCTTTCCACCAATCAGCGGGCGAGCTGGGGAAAGTGAGTAGGCGTGGTGAGGGTAACGAAGTGGTGAGAGAAGCTATTTCGGAGCCACTTTGCTGTTTTCAGAAATAAAAATTGGGTAATTTCTAATATCTCGATACTCGTTCGTTTATCATCGCAATTATCAATATCGGTCTTAAAGGTACATTTGTCGTCGTTTAGGAATAAAACGACCTTTAATGTGAGGTTCTCAGGGGAAAAACGGTCATTTCAGTTTCCAGAAAAGAATTAATTATTCGAAGTTAGGTGGTGTGACTATTCCAGAGCAACGATAATGAACGGAAAACTGAATGTATTATCGTTAGCAGGTCCGTGTCAATGGATCGGGCAAACTAGATTTGTAAATCCATGCTTTCTTAGGTATTAAGTGGTAATGTCAGCGGTTATGTTCAAAGCTTCTGAGCTCACTTTACAGTCGACTGAATATTAGATGGGAGTTTCGAACAAACGTTAGGAATTAGAAAAGACCTGTGATCGTTTTTTCCAAGGACTCAGACATTCCAGTAAACTTTACACATGTTTGCTAAACCTTGAAAAATTAGGACCAACCTTTTTGTTGAATCCGAAAGGTGAAAAGACCTTCACTGGTTATTATCTAATAATTTATAAACTTTATTTCAGAATGAGTATGCAAATTGGGACAAACAATCCTGAGGAGGATCAAGAGGATCTTTTATAGAAAAGCTATCTCCCCTTTAATTGCGTCTCAATATTTAAGGTAATATATTTCATCATGGAATAAAATTATTACATTTTCCTCGATGGTAGCCCGGTAAATTACCGACGATCGACAAGCATTTGAAATGCAAAAGAATTTACCACTGTTGTATGTGAACTGGATTTACGAGTTTCTTCGATCGTAATTACGCCGGCAAGTAATCAAAGTCAAGGTGAATCTCGAAAATTCTAACATACTTTCTAAACAACCCATAACGAACAATCTGTAATAGTTAAAAACGTTAGACAAATTTATATAAAAAAGGCCGATTATTATAAAAGCCCAAACTGAAATGTTTTCAAGCCAAACTACAATCCTTCCATTTTATCAGTGCTTCATTAAATTTAAATCATTAAGATGAAAAGTACATCTCGAAACTCCGAACTTGCGCGGGGGTTTGTGGCGCCACCTGTCGGTACCACGGCGAACCCTGTGCCAATTTTACACTCCCTGAACTAGATCGCTCACAGATAATACAGATTTTACTTTCCTCCTCCGAAAATTGAAGATCGAGTCGACTCAATGGTTGAAGGAAGAGCTAGTAGGTAATCTTAATTCCGTAAAAACCGAGAAGGAAGATAAAAAGCCTTCAAGGGAAATCCCGATCAGCGGGGCTGAAGCGCGCCGCTCGCGTCGGCCGTTACGCAAGTCAATTTCACGGCAATTGTCTCCCTTCGCTTTTTCAACATCCTTGTCGGCCGCGGCGATCGCAAGTTCTGCCGAGCACATAATTAGAGGGAGGAAAAGAATCCGGTTATTCAGATTCCAGATCGCAGGAGATTCGCGAGTCACGTCCTTCCCGACTTCCCCCGGAAAGTTGCAGACCGTTGCAGAAATATCGGTACTGCGATGCGCGGCTTTCAAGATGGCGGCGCTTTCCGGAAATCTTTACGAAATGTCATTTTTCAGGTTTTGCCGGTGGAGTTTGGAGTACTTACTGTAGATACGGTTGTATGCATCTGCACTGTCGACACGACGGACATCGCTTGCACCACTTACAACGCTGAGATGGCTGGCGCTGGCGCAGGGGACGCGTTCGCCGCGGGTTTCGATGACACGATCCTCCGGGAACACCGTGGCGACGTTCATAGCGCCGTTCCTTGCACCGATTTGCTGGAAAACAAAAGAAAACGGATTTAACCCCTTTCTCATTGACCCGACTTTACTCTTTCGACCCTCTGTAACCCAATCTTTCTTTCAACCCAAGAAGAAATCTATGTAATGTAAAATTTGCACATATTAACTCTGATATTAATTTACTATTTTTATAAATTAAAGAGTTCATAAGTGTACAATTTGTCAACCAATTCCTTGATTACAAGGGAACGTTACGATGATAAAGTATCGCGTTAAGTTTTACCGTCGTAACGCATGTTGCTTTCTTTTTGCTTGTGTAGCCCCCAACCGTAATCTTTTTAAACTTGGGAGCAGTTCAGCTTTTAGTGCCGTTTACTTTTATATAAAATGAAATGAATAGAAAGGCGGACGAGAAGCAGGACGAAGGGCAAAGACCTCGTAGTCTTTGGATTGAAAAATCCAACCCGGCGAGGCGAGTTCTTTACTCGGGTAATTGTTTCTGAGTCACGTATAACGTACTAGTCCAACTGGCATAACCTGCCCTCGCGATGCGATAAAACAGGCAGTGCTGGTAATTTATTGCGAGTTACATTATGAATCGAGCGTACAACTTTGTCCCGCCTTGACTCCAACTCCGAACATCCTACCTTATCTCTTCATTTAGGTCTGATTTCCTCCTTGGAGGTTGCCCACATATATTCGAGATATTTGGAATTGTCCTAATTTTCATTTACACCATCCACCCAATTAGCACTTTGTTTTTCCACTTTTCTTATGTCTTAATGCAGGACTTACGCATTAGTCACTGGGAAGTCCTATTACGCATATGCAATTTAAGTTCACTAGAATCCAGGGAGCTAGCATTAGCCGAAGACCTTCGACGAACAAGATTTAATTCACATTCAGGCATTTTCCTAAGCACTCATGAGAACGCGATTCCTTCGATGAAGCAACCCTTCACAGAATGGAAGATAATGGAAATGATTTACTGAAACTTGCAGAGTCCAATTACCTACTGGCACTCCAACGTCACGTAATAAATAAATGCGTGAGTTTACCGACTCGAGGGCCAATATTTCGCCGATGGTAAATTTCTACACAGGGTCCGTGCAGAATAATAACATCTTCAAGTACGAGGTGTAGAGTTTTATGACGTCGTGTCTATTTCACGGTTAATTCGAAAACAGCCGCTCCCAAGGTAGTCATTTCACCCCAGTGGCAATTCCATTCTACGGCAAGGTTAATCTATCCCGAGGGACGCACGTGGATCATTTCATATCTAAATAGTTGGTCTTCCAAGTAATCTATCCCATATAATCTACTATTACAAGATTGGGCCCTTTTGAAAATAAAAACAATGTCAGTTTATTTCAAATAAAATCCGTAGAAGACGTTTATACCTTGAGATTTAAAAAGATTTATTATACATATATCTTATCACTCCTGGTTTTAATTATTTTGTACGTTCATTATCAGACCCAATGAATTTTTTATGTTCACTGATTTAAGAAGCTAAGCAGATTGAAAGAGAAAAATGACTTACAGGGTCCTCTCGATGTAACTTTTTTGCCGTGTTCGCTCTGGAGGCGATGGCTGCGAATTCTCGCCAAAGTTGCAGATAGGAGTATCTTTTACCGACTGGGGGTGGCATCGCTTGGTCAAGCTGGCGAAGATGCACGTATGTTGGTCAACCCCGAACATCCCCTCCACCTGAAGCACACCCTTAAAGAATTCGATCCCGAAATGGGGTACAAAATGACAGGCACAAAACAAATTTTATGATGTACCTGACTGTGACCGTCGATGGTAACAGCTACCTCCCCGGCCGATGGCGTGACGACTTTTGTTCGTTTAATGCTAGTTGACCTTGACATCCAGCCGTGTTCTCTTGTGCGTGCGTGACGGAATCGCACGCGGAAAGATATACGAGATTTGCCTCCGCGATTGATACGCGAATGATACCCTATCCGAAGACGAATTACCCAACGAGCGCTCGTTTCCTAGGAGTCGGGTTACCTCGGAAAACAGAAGATTGTCAAGGGGATGAAAAAGGGGTTCTTGAACCTCTGCAAAGCATGAACAAAAAATCAGTAATATTGAATTAATACATAATATATAGAGTATAATTAGTAGGTCTAATGTGCGAGGAGCCATCTATACTTCCATTTGAAAAAGTTTGCATCTCAACAGAGAGCAATAATTTATGCACATTTATGGTAAGTAAAGTAATCAAGGTAAAATGCTAGTGGTTTTTAAATACCGACGGCCATTGATAGAAATCACTTCCTGAGAAATCTTTGGAGACCTCGATAAATGTATCCGATGGTCAGTATTTTGTAGAATTTTATAAAAATAGAGGGTACTTGGCTTGTCGTTACCTTTAATACCGAGGGTGATAATTACCCCGTGATCATTTTCTAACCGAATAGTAATCGTTATTTGTAAAATGTGGAGATTTGTTTAGATTTTTTTTTTTTAAGCGCTAGGCTGCAACCGCAGGACTGCAGAAGGTGGAGCACACCTCATTGATATTACAGCAATGGTGCACTCGCGTGCAGATAACGCCGCGACAATTAGCATACGTGAGGTCAGTGGAAGGGAAAGGTGAGGAAGTAGGATTATACTCTTTTAGTCGATCGATGTTCGACCGCGACCATCGGACTTGTACGGTACAGTGCCCGCCTTCTCGAGTTATAGGATCAGTATAGATCATATTAGAAACGCAATGCTGAAGATCAACCAACATTTTATCACAAAAGGCCGACACAAAAGGACAACAAAACAACCCAAATAAACGAATCCAATCCATGTCCACTCTATATCGTCAGCAGCAAGATGAGTTCTCAACACAACCTTCGAGCAATCGATGATCAGCTGGAACCCTTGACCCTTTCCATGGTCTTCATTTACATGTATCGAAAATACCTTTTACGGAGCTCCAAAGAATTCGACCTCGAGTCGCTGTCAGCTGATCTGCTCCGAGAAATTTCACGAAAGGACAATGGTCTTCGACCGCCTCCTACATCCGAATGGGGCTTCGTCGTTTACGCTTCCGTTTACCTCTAAATAGAAACAAATGTCCGAGGGATCTTCTTCTAAAAGATCAGCAGTCAAAATACGCATAGACTAACCTTCGATCGATTGGAGCCGCAAAACTTGCCACATCCTAGAAACTCTCTCCGAGACATTTTTTTTTTAACACAAACGCGGCGTCGGTCGCTAGGGACCGATTTGAAAAAAAATGATGTTAACGTGTTAAAAATGTAGTTAATTTTCTTTCACTTTCCATTTAGGCGGCATAATTTTTTACATATCTAAACACTTTGTCTGGGGACCAACATTGCCGAAAGGAAAAGTTTAGTTCCGGTCCCACGGGACCAACGCCGCGTTTAACTTGCTAAGGAGATAGTCAAACCGCGAATTAACTATAATTTTAGGTCTTACATCCTCGCCGACAAATCCCAGAAGACGCATCGACCACGAAGTAGTCTTCCTTTCCAAGTGGTAGAATAGAAAATGTTTGATCTTTATTGAAGCGATAATGAGTTAGAAGCACCTGAAGAAGGTCAAAATGTACCCGCACTCTGATCGATCAGTGCTGTGAAACTTACGGTATCCTAGAAATGCTCCATTTTCTTAAGAGCGTTCAATCAAACCACGAATTAACTGGCCATGATGTACAAGTCTTATATCCTCGCTGACAAATCCCAGAAGCCGCATCAGCTACAAAGTAACCATCCTTGCCGTATCTTAGAGCATAAATTGTTGTATCAATGAATGTCCGATACGTCTAGTAGGCCGATAAAGTGCCAGAAGCACCTAAAGAAGGTCAGGACTGAAAATTGGCCAGCTCTTCGAAGGCCCTCGCGAACATAAATCTGACACCTTCGCATCTTCCATCGGCCTTGGTGCCTCCTGCGCAGACGATCAAGATCGACAAATCGGTGCCGGGATGGAAAATTAAAAGTATGCTGATCGCCGACGTCTGGCCTCTCGAGAACGTCAGCCAGGATGGAAACCACGTGTGTCGGTTGTCTTAAATCACGGTTCAGTCCGGCGCTGCTGCTCCCGATCGTGAAAAAACGAGGGCAAAATAAGAAGAGGCAGAGTCGAAGTGTTAGAAATAAAGAAACGTGGAATTGGAGGTGTACGATCTGAGAGATCGGCCTGACGAGGCATTCTTAGAGATAATAGCCGCGAAGAAGTCCGTCGTAACGGTGGTGGTTTTGTTCGATGGTTTCTCGGAACATTGAATCGACCTGGTATCGATACTTCAGCGAGAAAGAACCAAAGAAGGCTTGAATTCTGATTCAGGTACAGTTGCTCGAAAACGGATTTCTTGTGTTATGGTTGGGATATTTCGATGGAATCTCACGCCACCTAAAACAATGGCTTTGTCGACTCAAGGAAGTGCAGCTAGATTAGTTTCGATCGCTTGGAGTACACTGTATTCTTATAAAAATGTACAAACTAATGTATAGTATAGTGAGTATAGTTTAGGATTTTATGACAAATCCTGAAGAGATTTCTCTTTGAAATTCAGTTAATACCCTCGGATTTCGAGAAGAGTGTTTAAATGACATTGTAATTAGATTCGGATAACGTGACATCATTTGTCGTGATAAAATGCTTTCCCTGAATCTTGGACTTCTGATGAGGGGGAGTGGTCCTAGGAAATAAAATACTGACTTGATACTGTCATGGACGAATTTGGCCGGTTGCGGGGGAAGTGTGCTTTAAAATGCTAATATCGGTCGCAATCCGACTCACTGTTAAGCGACTTGCTTGAAGCTTAATCATCCTACGTCATTGTTATACTCGGCGGTTACATCGTCTAAGAAGAACAGCTTCCATTATGTTCACTAACAGCTTAAAAGCTTGGATTACTTAACAAGTTCCTAAAACTACTAGGATAACCCAGCGAATAGAAATTCAACACTCATGGTCATTAATGAAAGACTGTGAGAACAATTTCTCTTAGAATGTGGACAATAAATTACTCAGTGGAAACTACAAAGAATTGTTATTTTTCATACTAAAGTGTACGTAATCTTACTAAAGTCATTTGCAACAACGTCACGGTTTCATTAAAAATCTCTAAATCAGCCGGTAGAAGAATTCCAAAAGAATTAAGATGTCCCCGGTTGTGCTTGGCATATTTGTATCCCCGTCAATTTCGCGGTTGTCCCGAAAAATATTTCTCTTTACAGTGACAACACGTAATCGGGAAATAATGTTTGACGTTCATCGGTTTACTCAGCGTTGAGCTCATGTAACAACGCATTGTTACCGGCGACACTCGCTTTGTTCAATCGGCTACGTGAAAATAGACGTTTTTGTGCGTGCTCGTTGAATAAAAGATTTTAGTCTCACTTCTACAAGTACTGCAAGCTGAAACCGCAATCTGCGTTTCCGTGTTCTCCAAACGCGAGATCCAAGATGGCCGAAAAAGAACTCGACTCGACAACCCCACATGTAATATCTACAACGCTGATGACGTGTATACGTGAAAATAACAATGCATATACGCTATAATAAAAATATACACAAATAATAATAAACGTTAAGTAGATAAAATCAAGTCAACCCGTACTTATTTCGAGAATAAAATTTCGTTAACCCCGAGTAGTCGTCGAGCATGAGTTTCGCCATCGGCTTACTCTCGAACTCACAAGAATTTCCCAGAGAAGTTTGGAGTTCGTGACTCTTTACGGTACCCGAAAAAACAATGGCGAAAGCCCCGAGAGCAGCGACTCGACTTTTTTTTTTTTCCTAACCTTTGAAACGGTTCCTTTTGTCGAGGGAGAGCATCGAGTCGTTATGCAACAGGAGACACGCTACTGGCATTGCCAAGGTCTCGGTATATACGGTTCATGTGTTTACCTTCGAGGCTGGACTATTAAATTTACAACCCCACTTAAACAACGACGAAAGAGCGATTCCAAACGTAAAACAAAACGCCGGAGATCGCCGCAATATTCGCGAAACTTGGCCTGAAAGTCTCCTTTCTCAAAAAATCCGACTAAAAACTAAAGGAGCATACATTTGATCGTAGGTATTCGAGGATTACAAATATTTCTCTTATTATCTTATTTAAAGTATGGATCAGGTTATTGCATTCAATGTGTACTTTACATGCCTCGACTTTTGCAGCAAAGGTGAGCGTACTCGTGTACACAAAGCCACATGTTACGCCGTCAGGTGTCAGGTTGCAAAGAAGTATTACATTCTAGGTACATCCGTGTCGACATGTACATGGGATATTTGTCGTACATATGTAGATGCTTGTATCGCAAAGGATATGCAGTTGTGATCTAGATCATAATGCATACAGGCTGGACTCTAGCGTTCATAATACCCAGATTGCAGATACCATTATCCGCACGGTCACTTATTACACAACTAGGTGCCAAAGAAGCAAGTAGAAAAAAAAAATAATAGAACGTTCATAAAAATTCAGAAATAGTCATTCGTATCGGCTGCATGCTGTAAAAATACCCTTCCTATAAAAGCCGAGTAATGTAAGTGAAATACATGAATACTCAAAATTGTACCGTTAATACTCACAGGAAAAAAAAATGGTATGCAAGGTTAGTCAGTACACGTGGATGTACTTCCACGGGTAATTACCCTGTAATTATCACGTTCCTGGAAAGCAACTCTTCTAAAATATCCGTTGAATATTTTTGCGAAAAAGGAGAAGCTTATCTTGGGAAGAGATAATATGTTTGGGCATCTTCTGCGTTATTTCTTTCTTTTGTTGAGAATAAATTTAAATATCTAGACAGGCATAGCAGAATATGAATCTGCTAATAGGTACAGCAATCGTAAAAAAGCGTCCCCAAGGATTCAGATAGTCACAGGCAACCTTGAGGATCCGCCCTATTCTCGCGTGCACGTTTCTCGATTAATTTACCTTCTGTATGCGAGGTCAGGATCGAATCCTTTTCCTCTCGACTTGGGTATCTCACTGGAGACTCCGTTTTATCCCCGGAACAAGGAAACATCGTTATCCATATTCGCTTGGATAAGGGGGACCACTGAATTTAATTAGGTTAAAACAACATGCGAGAAACACTCCTAAAACAAGGGGGTAATAAATGAAAATGCGAAATTATAGTCCTTGAAGTACTCTGAAATTATATTTTCACCTCGTGGTATGATTAAAAGGAGGAAACCTAGGGGTTAATGTTTAATAAATCATTCAATGGAATTAAAAAGTCATGAAGATGATTTTTTCATTTCGTACCAGATTACGGAAAAAGTTGAGAAGAGTCGCTTAGAATGTGGAATAATGTGGTTCACATACCTCGATTAATTTCCTCTCTGTGTCTGAGGTCAGGAATAAATTCTTTCCTCTCATAAATCCTTCTGGCCGGACTCTCTGAAATTGCCTACATTGACGCCAAAGATCATTAAAACTTTTCATCTCCGGCCGACCAATGTGTGCAAGACTACTCCGCCCTCAGCCGTCAATTGTTCAATTTGTTGGAATTAACTCGTCAATTGCAGCCGTTAATCCTTTTCGTTCCATTTTTCCATCTTCTGCATTTGTCGATCGGGTGACCGACGTCGTGTCGCAGTAGCAATCGAACGGATTGTTTAAAATGATTATTTCCCTCTTACGGCAACGTCATCGTGATTTCTTGTCCTCTTTATGCGTTTCATGCATCTGAAAATCGTCTTGAAAATAATTTTCTGGATCACATTTAACACTTTATCTACCGGAAGCCTATTAATCGGCTTTACGATACCGGTGATCGACATTGACTTTCCAATTCGTCGGTAGATAGAGTGTTAAAAAATTAAAAACAAAAAAATGATGACTTCATACGCGGGCGATAACACGTAATTATGGCGATTCAAGATATGAGATTAAAATAAATACGTAATCACACGCGTTTGAAAGGTAACAATTAAATTTAAGTAATTCGATTTCTTTTTAATTTTCAATTACTAAAATGTAATCTATAAATAGAATACATTTTTTATATTATGATATTTAATGCATGAACGTCATAAAGAGCAACGATTTTCTCATCTAACGGCGAAATCATTATACTTTATGGTTTAGTGTCGACAAGATCTTTTATAAGGCTTTCTCAACAACTCAGGAAACGAAATAATTAGAGGTTGCTGGAGCTAGTTAAAAGACGCGGATAACGCGCGAGACTAAAGCTAATAAGTACAGAGAGATGTAAGTGACAACTATTACGCGCGAGAGTGAAGTTAATAAGTACGGAGGTGTAAATTAAAACGATGACGGTAGAATCACGACTCCTGGGTATATTGATGCGAAAGTTTGGGACAGTGCCAAAAAAAATGACGTTTCACAGCGTGGATGAGCGCATCTCGAAAGCATTTAGATACGCCTGAGCGTATAATACGTAAATTACTATTACACTACTGTTGTGATTCATAATTGCATTCATATTCATAGAAAATGATGCTAACGGTATAATAAGATACACGGACTCATTCAGGCATTACATAAATTTTTATACGCGCGATAAATCACTCTAACGAGGCAATTTCCGAATAAACACTTTCCTATATGAACTGCAAGCACAAAGTGCACGGCAAGTGCATCATACCTAGCTGCAAGGAAATATAAAGACTGCCGCGGAGTTTCCCACATTTTTTGGCTCATTGATTTCTCAAAAGAAAAGGTCCAACTTTCCAAAAAATTGCCAAACGAGATAATTTTTCGAATAAACATATTCCTATGTGAACTGCAGACACAAAGTGCACCGCAAGTGCATCGTACATAGTCGAAAGGAAGTATAAGCAGTGCCGCAGAGTTTGTTACGTTTCTTGGATTTCCAAGAAAAAAGGAACTACCTTCCCAAAAAAACTACCTAACGAGACAAGTTTCGAATAAACGCATTCCTATATGAAATGCAAACACAAAGTGCACCGCAAGTGCATCGTACATAGCCAAAAGGAAGTGTACACAGTGCTGCGGAGTTTTCCATGTTTCTTGGTCGTTGGTTTCCTAAAAAAGGCGACACGAATATCGGAATCACGCGTGTCGTTGAGGTTGATTGCATCGGTCGGTCAGAACACGCGTGCAGTAAATTACAACACGCGTGCCCACGTGTGCCTACGTGGGCAAAGGATGCGAGAGAGCGAGACGTACCGAGGTGATACACCGGCTGCAGGTTGGCTCCAAGTTTTAACCGTGATATCCCTACTCTGGTGACTTCGGAGTGCGAGTCTCAGACCCAGAACGGACGCTGCTAGATACCTATATGAGAATGGCGGCTTCTATAGTGTAGCCCAGTTGTCGTCCAGAAACCCTGAGACGAGCAGAACGCCGCAGTTCGTCGCGTTAATTCGATACGATCGTTCTTCGCTTCGCATTGTTCGTTTCCGTTGTTTATATCGACTGCATTCATTTTCCAGTGACTGCAACAGGTCACTGGGGTTCAAGAATTGTTTAACTTGTGAGCCTTGCGTTGCCGATTTGCAGGGTGAGTTCCATCTTCGGCGTGTCCATATATTAAATTCGTGAACTAGCTTTAGATTGAGTAAGGGGTGATATCAAACTACTATAGTTTTGAAATTGCTCCGAGATTCCATCTTCGGCACGCACACCTTTTGCGAATATCTAAGGGCAATTTATAAGTCCAGAAAGAATTCTCTGTAAAGGAGTTATAATTTTGGAGTGATGCGTGACTTTGTAGAGTTCTGCAATCCAAATCTATGATTATTTATTTAACGTTCAATGGTTTAGTAGAGGTATTCTGGTGACAGGGTGGAGACCGAATCTCTCTATAGTGGATCCCTGTACCAGAATGGCGTCCTCTATAGTTTAGTCCAGTTGTTGTCCAGAATCCCTAAAAGGTACAGACTACCGTAGTTCGTGTCAATTCGATACGTTCTTTCCTTCGCGCCGTTTATTTCTATTGTTTATATCAGCTGCATTCATTTTCTGGTGAGGTCCTCGAATTTGAAGAATCTCCTAATTCCTTCGTCTTGTATTATCGACTTCCACGTTGAGTTTCATTTTCGGCGTGTCCATTTACAGTAAATCAGAGTAACTTCTAAGTCAAGTGAAAAACATTATTAAACCATTGTGGTCTTGAAATTGGACCAAGGACCATTGGACTCCATCTTCGATGCGTTCACATTTCGCGTTTGGATATATAAAAAAATCATTGTAAAATCGTAATGACTTTGACATTAGGTGTGATTTCGTACGGCTCTATGTTTTAAATCTTCTTTAATTGTTAAACATTTATTGTAACTATTCTGGTGACGGGGTGGAGAGGAAATCTTGGATACACAGTGGATGCTGCCGGATGCCTATATCAGAATGGCGTCTTCTATAGTTTAGCCCAGTCGTCAAGAAACCCTGAGAGGTACAGACTGCCGCAGTTCGTCGCGCTACCTTGGGTTGACTGGTTTCTGACTTCCGTTGTCCGCTTCCAAATATTCATATCGATTTTGTAATAATCCTATCGAGATCCCCGATATTCAAGTATCTCCCAGGAAACTCGCAACCCTTGCATTACCGGCTTTTAGGGTGAGTTCTATCTTGAGTGGTAAATCAGCTTTTCGGAATCTATCGAACGACATCGCCGCAGGCAACTAATGAAATGTATACATAATGAACAAAATATTTAGCAAGAAGTATGTGTTTTGCCTCTGAAAAAATATGTAACTGTATCGATTTAAGCATTGAAGAATAATAGGAATTTAATCTCCTTAATATGACCCGATAGGAAAATAATACATCTAATAATTTTCATGCACGTTGGTGTTTTTTATAGGCAGCTTAAACATTAGATTTATAACCGATGTACTTTTACTCTGGTGAATCAGGAAAACGTGTACGGCGGTCTCAAAATATCTTTGTATACTCAAAACTGTCATGTGTCTTGAGAATGTATGACGATGGAGGTGCTGATATAAACGCTTACAGGTAATCCGTAAGTCATTAAACGGAAGAACGTTCGCTTAACACATCGTTTATATGTAACCATGCGAAGATAATGGTACATAAATGGTGTAACGAGCAAACACTCCTCCGGATAATACGCGTTCTACCCGTTTAAGGTGAGCGTTTAATACCTCTTATTTACACCTGTTTGTGTCTGCTGGGTGTATGATCTTCAATGTCGGTTTCATCCTCGAGTATGGCTGTCATATGAAAAAGAGCCGACCAGTATAGAGTCAACAAGGACCAAACCGTTATTTATTTTCAATAGTCACCTTTATCGAATGGGTGATATTCACAAGTTACGTTTATTAAAATAGCAGTTTATAAAAATAAATCAACCAGTATCGTGTAAACAAGGATCGATTGGTTATTTATTTTCAAGTCTTATCTCTACGAAATTGGTGTCCACGAATACGCAGGTTGGCAGATAATAAATTGCTATTGTTCTCCACTCTTGGAAATAAATCTTAATAAATATCCATGCAATGTTTGTGATCGTTTTGAATGTGCAACCTGAAAAGAGACGGGCTTCAATTATTCCTCTGTCTAGTTTACGTAAAATCAAGTTTTGATTGACGCTTTGCAAAATTTACAATGGACACAGTCCGACAAAATTCCTTATGTCGACTTGGATCGATCGTTCATTTATTTCCGACTATTAATTCGATCAAATGGTATCCACGAGTTCCTTTCTAGCACGCAATCTCCGGCCTTCGGGGTGAGTTTCATTTTCATTCGAGACAGTTTGCTTCAAAAAGCATTTGAAGAAACCACGGAGGACGGAGCTGTGATTTCTTGCCTCAGCATAAAGTGTCGTAAAGTGTTACAACTTTTAAGTGGAAATCAAAACCGGAACGTTTTACTGGCATTTACCGTTTACTAATCAAAATTGACACCGAAATTAACCAAGAGAAATCAATTTTGCAAATGATTTCGAAGACCTTTTCTTGCGACATCGTTTATCATGGATCCGGAAGAGAGGAGTCAGTGTCGATTGCGACAATTTCCTCTGGACGATTTCAACCAGAAAACCCGCAAAGAGTCGTTTTACGGTATCAGACATTAATTGAAAAAAAAAAAACAAACAAACAAACATATTTGAATTTTTTCTAATTCTCTTTTAGTTCTATAGTTTGCATATAAATAAAAAGAAACCTAAATTCCATAATGACCGCTGAAACGTTCTCCAGGGACACCTGTGATTCGTTGGATAGCCGAGAACAGGTGCGTCTATATTTTCAAAAATAAATCCATTTTGTGAGTAAATGAATAAACATAGTTAACATCGGTATCACATCTCTGCGGAAATACGTACCCGGTACATATGGTTACCGTTTAAATGCACAGAGAAATTTATGAATAAAGAAAAGTTGATGGGCTCGGATAGCGAACACATTAGATGTGCATCTCTAAAAAAGTAGTCCAGGTCGACTACCGGTTCGCCAATTGCATAGCTCGACGAAGAGTTCGCGGACCTTTAGCCGCGATACCTTGCGAAAGATAATTGGCCGTGCGTACACGCGCAAGGTATCAGCACAGATATCTCAGGCAGTATTTGCGATATACAGTTAACCGTAATGCGAAGAACCCATCGAAGAAGCAAAGGTACAGTTTCGCTCTTCTGAAAAGTGGAACGAGTGGATTACCGGTTGGACAAGAGAGACTGGACGTCCGAGGTGGATTCAGCTCCTTATTCGCGGCATTAACTGGCAAAGAGTGAAAGAAAGCGTCTCCTTATAGGGCTAACGATCTAAGGAACCTAGTGGCTCACCTAGATCTTCGGTAAAACTTCAGCCTCAGAAAATAATTACGTCGAATCGACCGGCGGATGTAAGAAGTGCCGATTAATCGCAGCCAATCCCCCAGCTCATCATGAGTAAAAAATAATCCTTCGGAGATTACAACACGATATAAGTATCGAAATGTGGGAGAAATCTCAAGGAAAATACGCATAATTGTACTTACTTTTCTTTTCTTTTCTTTTTTTCTTCTTTAATTAATAAGGAACGACGATACGGATAATCCGAGGTTTAGAGTCACTACTCGTGGGCTAGTTTATGCGTCATTTATTAATGACGACCTAGATCAGGAGGAATTAAATATGCAATAACATAATACGTTCTAAATATTCTTCAGTGGGATAATGAACCGTTGATGTCGGGTCGAAGGATAATGATGTGATTTTTTATTTCTGTGTTTTTAATAACAATGTGTCGGTCAAATGAGACGATTCTTATTTGGGGTCGTTTACCTGAGAGTTAGAAGAAACATCCGGATACTTGACGGGCATTTCTGTTGACTCGACCGTTTCATAGGAAAGGCAAGAAATCGTGGAAGAAAGAGACAAGAGAAGCCATTGGACACAGCTAATATTCTCGACACACGTCCAGTAGGAATTTCTTCTTCCTCGTCCTTAAAATCCTTTAGGAGAAGCGCGACTCGCCTCGAGGCCAATGTGTCACGTTTTCTAATTTAGAGTTACTTTTCTTACCTATTCCCGTTTACGCCGAATTAGGAACTAACCGTTGAAAGCTGGCAATTTAAACCTCAATGTTAATATTATCCTACCCCATGAAATTGCATGGGCATCTCGTCCTGGAAACGGGATACCTCAGGGAATTGTCTCGGAACCGACCTCCTGAAAGTCATCCGACAGGGAAGATTTATTTTTCACTTCCATTAGTTAACGCCACCGAGCCATAACGAGAGGCGGAAAAATTCGACACCTTGATGGACGGTCGCGGAGCGTCTCAAAGACGTCCGGGTTTTTATGGGTTTCAGGCCTATGAAAAAGAGATCCTCGTCTCGTAGATCCACTCGAGCGAACCTCTCGAGGTGATCCGAAATGATGTAACCCCGGGACGAGAATTGGCCGCGCAACACCGTAAATAAACTCCGCGAAACGGCGGAGTGGTATTATTTTTACACGAAAAGGAAGAACAAACTCGCGAGTGACATCACTCCGTGGAACGGAGTCGCGTGAGCGTTCCGTGTTTCGTTTCCCTCGGGACCAGAAACTGCCATGACCGAGGCATTTGTCGCATTACCTTCGCTCTTAAAAAAAGAAACATAAGGAAAGAGAGGACCAAGATGTACGATTATTACTTTTCCGCGTGAGAGATTGAAAGTCTCGGTCACCTTTGTCTCCCTTGCAGCAAAGAAAAACAATGACCGAGATCTTCAATCGCCTCCACTTAATTTCGAGGGAAACGAAACCTGAAACGGAGAAAGCGAGACCTCTGCAGGATTGCGTTCCGCTCTAGAAATCGGAAGTGAAACAAGAAGAGTTCCTGCCTAGAAAATACTCCCATCTCTCCATTCCGATTGACATTCCTCTCCATCCCTTATGAAAAGTACAATTCCTTGTTTATTAAAAAAAAAAAACTACTCGGACATTTATCAGCGAATTCGGTTAATCCGGCAAGACGTAGCATGTACCTTCTGCCGAGTTTCTCCCACAAAGCGTTCACCCTGAAAATAACAGAAATCGTCATTGGATCCTTCCAAGAAGCCGCCTCGATGAGTTCTTTCGAAGGAAACGGCGCAGCTTCGTTTACGCGCCGAGAAAAGGAGAAATAAGTATAACCGCCGCCATTTAACTCGCCAAGCCACCTGTCGATCGCGCTAACGATCGTAACGCAAACCGATCGCCATTTCCTAGGAGCAGGTGCAGCTGCAGGCCACCTGTAAAAAGTAGAACCAGTAAGGACGGTCGCGGATGAGGAAACGCGCCACGGAGATTAAATAACCTCATGGCCTTCGGCCTTCGGGAGGATGCGCCGATCTGCATGCGTAATGAGAGCCCCGGAACGCGCTTCCATCGCGCGAAGCCACTCGTCCTCGGTCCGAATCCGTGATGCAAATCACCAGACCCGCTAAACGGTCCCAACGGTTCCTAGGCTCTCGGCACGTGGCCGTTGATCCGGTCGCGGAGGTTAAAACGCGTCCGGGACTTTGCAGTACCGTTCGCTCGACCTCTTCGCCTTCTTCACCTTCGACGTGCCCGACGGGGGCTGGAAATAGAACTAACGAGAGACTAAACGATAAATCCACGTACGATGATTAATTACAAATATTGACTTATTTTAGTTTGATTATACCAGAATATAGTTTGGGACTATGCGGTACCATTCGCTCGACCTATTCGCCTTCTTCACCTTCGACGTGCCCGACGTGGGCTGGAAATAGAACTAACGAGAAACTAAATGATAAATCCACGTACAATTATTAATTACAAATAACGTGGCTCCCTTTTGCAGATGGTGAATCTGAGGACGGCGCTGGGAGCGCACGAGCTCACCGATAAAAAGTCCGGCCTGTACAGAGCGTTGGTGGCGGAATTCCTGGGCACGTTGCTGCTCAACTTCTTCGGATGTGGATCCGTGATCACAGGAAATGTCGTTGCCATTGCTTTGGCTTTCGGCCTGGCCGTGGCAGGGGCCGTGCAAGGAATCGGCCACGTGTCCGGCGGACATATCAATCCAGCTGTGACATTTGGCTTGGCAGTGATCGGCAAGGTATAGAGCGCTCCTACCAAATAAACATATCAATAATTAATAAGCCCGGACACCCCGTTACTTGGGATGCATTAGCTCCACTCAATATTATATGCAAGTACTGAAAATAAATTTAATCGCAACATTAAGGTGCAATTTATCATGAGACCTTGAACGCCTCGACCTGAAGTCATTTAAATCCACATTTTCATTTCGATTAAAGTCAACTAACTATTGTATAATAACGAAATTCATCACTAAGGACCCCGGGGTCAATCTAAATTATGCAACGTTAAGGGACGGGGTAGCTCTGCTCGATCGTCATTCATCACTGTGCTTGTTTAGAAAACGACCCTACTTCAATAATTAGAGGCGATTCCGTGATAACCATTGTGATATTCCCCAGGTGCCGATCGTTAGGGCGCTCCTCTACGTATTGGCCCAATGCGTGGGAGCGATAGCCGGATCAGCTGTTCTTCGAGCACTCTCCGCGGAGAGTTCCGAAGGTGCCTTAGGCGTGGTATCGCTCGCCGAAGGTATCACACCTGTTAAGGGGCTCGGTGTGGAATTCTTCCTTGCTCTGATCCTTGTCCTCGTGGTCTGTGGAGCCTGCGATGCCGGGAAGCCAGACAGCAAGGGGATCGCACCGCTAATCATCGGACTTGCCGTCACAGTCGGACATATTGTCGGGGTAAACGCCACTTATGACTTGCCAAGATTTCCACTTATGTCAGTCCTAAACCAGTATCATGTAAATTATTTCCTAGCCGTTGACAACCTTAAGAGATTTGAACGTTTCATCAATCCTTCCCATAAAATAATATAACAACATATCAGTACCATATTACGTCTTATGTTAGTGATATATAATTGCACCACTTGTAGATTTATTACAATCGGTAACAATGTTGCGGGACGGTGATAACTAGATATTAAATAATATTAATGTATCTCCTGACTGACTTTCGTTACACATTATGTCATTTTCGTGTCATGTAACCAGGGGTCGGGTCCTTCTTTCCTCGCTCTGCTTATACGTTTTACAGGTAGCTACTGTACCTATATCACTTGAACGTTACTTTATATACAAATGGCTAATTATTCTAGGTACCAAGGACCGGCGCCGGGATGAATCCTGCTCGGTCTTTGGGCAGTGCCGTGGTCATGGGGATCTTCGATGACCATTGGTTGTACTGGGTGGGCCCCATTCTCGGCGGAATCGCAGGTGGACTGATCTACCTTCACGCCCTGGGACCTGCCAAGGAGCCGGAAATGCCGAAGAGTTACTCCACGGTCGCTACGGAAGAAAAAGAGGTATACATGAGTCGTACTCAGGCATGAGTTTGTTACGCCTCGGACGACGTACACCGGAAAGAGGATTGGTTTACCGCTAAGAATGGCTTCAAGTTACCTCACCATGCTCTCTCCACGCAGTATTCGACTACAATTACCCCTGAGCAAATATAAACCGCGTTTCCTCGTCATTTTTTACTGGGATCGCGTAAACGAGAGCACTCGGTCGTTTCGACGGAAAATGATTTCATCGTTTTGCTGCAACGAACATATTTTTCTTTTTTTTTCTTTTTTTTCCATTCAATGGGACATCAAGCTTCTTCATTTTTACATTCTCTCATCAGAGTAATTTGAAACCCACTCTGTGCACGTTAAATTCCCCTCGGCATAATCTGGTTACCACTTAAACGGTTGATTTTTTGTCAGATTTTAATTATTATGAATTTATCAGGGTTGGGGCATTCCTTTCTTTGCACACGGATGATTGATTGTTCACTGGGTCTAATTGGATTAACTGTAACAGGAGTCCCGCTATAGGTTAGAGGGAAATTTTATCGTTGTGTTCGGATAAACCGTTACTTACTTGGCTTTTCTACGAGCGTGGTTATCTGATCTTGAGGTAATTGTGGTAATGATATTCGCTTTTCGCGAGGGTAAATGAACCGGCCGTTAAGAATAAGACCACTGCGGCTTCCAGTGGGGATTCCAGTACACCTCATCGGAATTGCAAAGGTTAATGAAATGTCTGCCGAAGCCACGTTGAACCAGCCCTCTTTGCGGTTAATTAGAAAATCAACAGCAATGAATGTGATGAAAGGATGATACCTTATAATCTCAGGAAGTCGCGTAACTAAAGAAGTACGGAGTCGGAAACTAAGGAGAGATATGGAGGAAGGGAATTGAAATTGGTCTCGACTTTCAAAATCTGTAAGGAAACGCATCTTTGCCCCACAGCGGTTCGAGTACATAGACAGCGGACGGGGCGGCCTCTAAGTGGAGAGAAATAAAGGAGGAAAAAAAGATAGGTGGGGAGGAAAGCACCTTTCCAAGCGACAATGTAGAGGGCGCACTGTAAAGCCGCAAGGCGGGGGCCGGTCGGCTTAGACGAGCCAAAGGCCACAACCGATACGAAACTATTCTCGCTAATTATTTTCCAGCTCCAGCGGCTTACCAGCAGGAAGGGCAACCAGCCCGCTTGACGCTGACGCTTTAATATCCGGTTAACCGACCCGAGCGCTCACGGGAAATAACCAGCATGGCGCCTAGCGCAAAACCCCGCGGCTGCGTCTACTTGCATCGCCCTCCACTGTGCTTTTTGACTGCCAGTTTGCCGTCGCTTTGGCAACCTCATCCTCGATCGACTCGCCGAAATCCCCGGGCTACGTCGCAGGCGACCCATCGAATGCGAGATTTCGACTGGTTCGCGTTAACACATTTGCGATCGCTGACGTGAATTCACGTCTTTCCAAGTTCTATTCCTGGTTGCCGCTCACGTGAATCACGTCCATAACGTTACACGATACAAGTTTGCGGCAACCAGAATTTCATTATTTTCCCCGGTAATCAGTATTTGAAGCGGAAAAAATTTTCCGCTCGCGAATAGATGAAAAACGTAACGCTACACGCGGGTGTCTAAACCAGGTTTAAGCGTGTCGAATATTTATCTCGTATTCCGGAGAGAATAGATCGCCCAGCATTCTGTACCCTACATCCGAGAACACTCCTTCACCCTGGGGTCATACGCGCGTTTTGTTGACCTCCATATTACGATTATTTTCTCATTTCTCAGCCGAAAAGGGTAGCACATCACTTTGTACTTTTTGTCGATCATTTTTTCAAGTTATCTTATGGCAGTTTTCTGTGATACACGTGCAAACTTCAATTCATGCTGAGTTTATCTTTTTCTTTTTTTTTTTCATTGGTTTTATCTGTATAATCTGTAAGGCATCTTATACATAGTATGAGACAATGTGGTGTTAAACATCGCGTTTCAAATCTGCGCGCGTTGCCGCACAATAGGTCGTAATGTATTTTTACAATGAACATTACGTCATTTTTTATGCTCGCGTGGCCCCAGCCTTAATCCGCTAGTCGATTCGGTAATCGATGGGGCAGAAATTGTGCATTTTGGTAATTATCGGATGGCTTGGAGCGTAGAAAGGGTCGAATGCTTCGCGGTTCGGCGAAGGGTATTCTTCGGGCGCCATCTTGCAATTCTGAGAAACTAGAGAAATAAAAATGAAGAGCCGCTTTACGCGATGAAAGGAACATTTTTCTGGCGATACTAAGAGCAAACGAGTTTTAGTATTTCTACGAAATTATCAAGCGAGCCTTGATTTTTTCGGTTTTAAGGTTGATTAAAGAATCTTTTATTTATGAAATCGTTGATTCAGGACGCTTCTCGTTGGAGTCCGTTGTATGTAGTATCTTATCTCGAGGATACTTTTTGTAGTATACATGTCCACTTCATGCACGGAATATTATGAAGTATTCAAAAGCTCAATTTATAGCCGACTTAAAAGTGTCGCTATTTAATTGGAATACGAACGATTAATGGCGCAACACCTTTGATTTGGAAAGTTTATCCAAGGAATGTCGACAGGTTTCTCAATGATCGAATTGACGAAAATATGCGAGATTCAAGGATAGTTTTCTTCCTTAACAATGGAAGGCTCAAAAAATCGATCTTTTGAATACATGCATACGTAACATCACTACTAGTTACTCCATTTCTATCAACTAATCTAATTAATCTTTTATAAGCAACGATTTCATGACGATCATGTACATTATTATACATACATATATGCAATATTTTAATAAGTTATAATGGAATTGTATTCTGAATAAGTATAATAAACGATACGGAATAACGTATCTTACATTTTTCAAACGTTGTGTAATTGAATCCTTGCCTTGTGAAGCGTACCATTTGTAAATGTATTTATTTATTCAAATGTTTATACATCAGGTAAGATTTCCAGTGAGTATAGTTGTACCTTCAAATTACGGTTGTAATGTCGCTTAAGATGATGCAATAATGAACTAATATGAGCATGCACCAGAGATGAGTTGGAAGATTGCTCACGGGCAGGATCGTGCAATCGCATCCTGTGCTGCTCTCTGGTTTCGTACGTTAGCTTTCACCGTTTTTTGCCCCCAAGGGAGGCGCAACGAATTTCTGATAGGAGCTCGCGCACTCGCGATGGCGGTACTATCTACCAGTCGTCGTTGGCAGCTCACGTACTCGTGATGGTAATACCATGCGGCAGTTGACGCTGGTGGCTTACCTACGCTTACCGACACTGCTCGCTTTTGATGGTAAGGGAAGAACACTCGTGACGCTCCATTTGACTTTATCTACTTATCTACTACTATTAAGTACATTGTTGCCTCGAAGTCTACGTGATGCGGAGCTTTGGGGAACGCGTCGGTGTAACGTACGGAACTCCCATGGTATTACCATCACGAGTACGTGAGCCGCCAACGGCGACTGGTAGATGGTACCGCCATCGCGAGTGCGCGAGCTCCTATCAGAAATTCGTTGCGCCGCCCTTGGGGGCAAAAAACGGTGAAAGCTAACGTACGAAACCAGAGGGCAGCACAGGATGCGATCACACGATCCTGCCCGTGAGCAATCTCCCAACTCATCTCTGCATGCACCTTGCAAAGCAACAAGCTGCGAAGTAACGCAGGGTTCCCGGCATAAAGAATGATTTATTCCTATTTTCTAGTACATTCACACCACACTTTATTCGTTACAGAGTTGCAAATATTTACTGCTTATCCATTGTATCCTACGAACCTTTATTCTCTATTATAACATAATTCTGCATAAGTCAATTGAAGATCTTTACGGCACCGATGATCCTTCTAAAGTTAGAGTTCTTAAAAGGAATTGTACGCTGTCACTTGCGTTCCTATCATATCTTTTTCACACTTTACAGTAGATTTCATAACACTGAAATCCAGCGACAGTAATGAACCTTACACGAATAGTCAACGTGTGGAAATAATGTGGAAGAGTCATAAATCGAAATATAATCGTGTCGTCAGTATATAGATGCACATACATACATATTTAAAAAAAAAAAGGTCAGGAGAGCGCCAACAAAAAAAATATTTAGCACTCGAAGATGCATGTTAGTCTAGCCAATTCAGCAAATAGAAAAATTCATAATGGGATATGTCAAAGTAAACCCCAAAGAAGTTATCCATTTCCCGGTGTAAATTCAATGTCGATGTCAAGTGTTTCTTTTTTCTTTTTTCCTTTTCTTAGTAAATAATCGCCGATGAGTAATAACGTCATTGTTAATGCATTTTGCATAACTAGTTTCTTAACATATAAAACCCAAGGTTCCATCGTGAACATGGATTATCCGAAGAAGTCATGCTTTGGGAGGGATAATCGACACCCACCATCGAGTTCATTAGTCTCTCCTAAAGTAAGTATAATGTTGCATTGATATTTTACACGTGTATAGTAAAAAGTAAGTGAGGTGCATTTTTCGTTTGTAGGAAGCCTTGACAAGCATAAAATTCTGGAACTTGCGAAAGGAAATGAGATTACATAATTAAATGTAATAGTGGTATGCAATATATATACGAGCTATTCTTAATTCGGCTCTATGAGCTACCATTGACACGATCGAAGATCCTGTCTTGCTATGGTTATTCGCGACTATGATAATATAGTAAAAAAAGGTTTCGTTGCAGAAGCTCGAGTAAACTCCGCCACAGTCCTGAGAAGAACGCGTAGAAGAACCCTGTTCTGCCACCAAGGATAACAATACTTGGCCTCAAATGATAATTCATTGACACCAGCCTAACATTCGTGAATATACAATTCTCAAGTTCCAATATGTAACATCTAACCCTCCATTCTCGAAAGCTTATCTTCCAAGCTATCGTGGCTGTCATTGGTGTCATTCAAATTGATCGTGTCGTTCCCTTCGGAGAGCTCTATAACGGAATCTTCCAAGTTAACTTCCTGTTTCTGATCGTCTAGCGCAGTGTCCGATGGTTCAAAAATGTCCGCAGCCTCCGTAAGGTCTTGCCCTCCCAAGGAGAGGGCACTGTCATCCTGGCTGTCGTGAGACACCGCGTTCTCTTCAACGACTATCTGCGTCTGATCTTCCTCGGAGTGCTCCTGAGCCTCTTCACACTGTTGTATATCCATTTCGTCAGTCTTTAAAAAGTCATTGGCGTCCTGATTTTCGGCGTCGTTCTCATTGGCATCGTGTTTCATGGCTTCCATGGGAGTAAGAGTTTCTTCTTTCTCAGGCTCCCCCAAAGTCTTCGGTTCCGCCTGACCGATGCCAGATATCTCGCACAGATTGCTGAGAACGTTATCTTGCATCTTGACCACGTTTTCCGTGGAATCCAGAATGCTGCTCAGCTCACGACTCATCTCGTCTACCTCCGAAGCCTCCTCGGTCTTGACGACAATGATCTTTTTATTACCGTATACTTTGGAACTCGTTACCTGGGGTGGTTTGTAGTCCTTCTTGGGTGTTGGGATCTCTCCGCTGTCCGTCGACTCCTTCAGTGCTTTCACGACAATTTCTTTCTCCCCCGGCATTTCTTTCTCCTTCTCACTCACCTTATCGGAGGAGTCGTTATATTCCTGTTCCTCGTCATAGATACTTTGTTTTCTCTTCACGAAAACCCTCTTCAAAGGCAACTGTTGCTCGTCTTCGGATTCGTCGTGTCTCTCTGGAAGCATCTCGTCTACGGGTTCATATTCCTGTTGTTTCCTGGCCTGCAATTCTTCTATCTTCAGTCGCTGCTGCTCCACTCTCTTTTCCAGCTGTTCCAGTTTCTCCTTCGTCTCCTGATCACCCTTCGTCAAATTCGCAGAGGTCCCTTGCTTCTGTTCCGGTTTCTGTCCACTCGTTGTAGGTGCCATTTTCATGGTACCTGGAGTCGTCGATGACTGTGACGTTTTCAATTCAAATTTAGGAGACTCACCTAACAGAGGGTCCGTCGTTTTCAAAGTGGTGGTCTGTCTCTGGTCTACCGGAGATTGTAGCATAGTTTGCACCAAAGCTTGGGTTTTATCTATCGGTTTCTTCACGACCACTCTTTTAACAACATTGCCGGTTGGCAGCTTGGCCAGCTCCGCAGGATCGATTATGGTCCCATCCGGATTCATGATGACCTCTCTCGTTGTGTCGCCCTGTCTAATAATTCTGCGAACGATTACTCTTTTAGTTACCTTGGGCCCAGAACCTGAGAAATTTTGACTCGTCCCCGACGGTGTGGTTTCGCTCTCCTTGGCGTTCGGTGTACTCGTAGGGGTCTCCGTCCCACCTGGTTTCCTAACGACGAATCGCTTTATTACCTTCACCGTATTGACAGCCTTTGGAGTGTTCTGCCCAGATATCTCCGGCTTCTCTTCCTTGGGCAGTATGTTTGCGGAGTGACCGCTCTGCAAGGTTTGGGACCTCGAGTGACCCTGACTCGGAGGGTTCGCAGCCTCTTTACCCTGATCCTGTGGAATGTTCTGATGTTTAAGAGGAATTTTGTGTTTTTCAAAGACAGAAGCCACAATTTTCTGCACCTCTGCCTCGGTTTCATCTATGCGACCTTTGGGTGAAGCTTCGGATGGCTTTGATTGACTGACCTTGGAATTCGATTGGTTGCTCGGGCCTGACTTTGCTTTATTCTCTTGCATATCTCTGCGCTGGATGGGCATTAGGGTCTTGATCGTTTTCTTTACTACGTTGCCGTCTTTGTTCCGCACAAAGACTATCTGCTCCTTGCGGTCTTCCTTTTCGCTTCTGTCCACATCGTCGTCACTCTCCGAATGCTTGCTCTTGGGATATTTCTTGGCAACGTACGAAGGTGGCTCATAGTCGTCGTCCCCATCGGAATATTGCTCCTCTTCTTCTTCCTCTTCAGAATCCGAATCTATTTTATCCTTTCCTGCATCTGGTGGCAAGCCATCCGGTCCCATCTTTTCTCCCGCTTCAATGTGCTGCTTTATGTGAGTTACGTAGTCTGCTCTGTTCCGGCATGACTCTTGACAAACGTCACAGTTCAGACCCATTCCGGTGCGTTTTGTATGCGTCAGCTGATGGACTTCCAAACTTTCTTTTCGCTTGAAAGCCTTACCGCAGTCCTCGCAGATGTGCCTCTTCTCCACGGAATGGGAACGCATGTGCCTGGTTAAATGATGAGACAATAAGAAAGTGCGAGGGCAAAGCTTACACAAATATGGACGATGGCCTGCATGGCTTGTTAAGTGTCGAGCAAGTTTTGTGCTAGTGCGGAAGGCTTCTTTACAATACTCGCAGACAAATGATTTATCTTCATTGTGCAACACTTCGTGACGTTCCAAGCCTTGCTTATAGGAGAATCTCTTGTTGCAGATGTTGCACTGATGAGGCTTCGGTTTATGTACCGTCTCCTCATGTTTTTCTAGTTCCTCCGTAGTGAAGAATTCTCTATCGCAATGTTGACAAGCATACCTTAATTCATCCCGGTGTAACTTCTCATGGCGCTGTAGCATGCTGGATCGAGAGAACTTCTTGTGACAAATCGCACAGGAAAATGGCTTCTCTTCGGTGTGTGTGGTTACATGTTTGGCCAGATCATACTTTGTGAAGAACATTCTATCGCACTCCGTGCACTTGTAATCTCGATCTCGGTGGGCTCGCTGTACATGCAATTGTAGTGCTTGTCTTAAAGGGAAGGTACGCTCACACTGGTCGCAGGCGTGAACCCTGATTTCACCCGGTTCCAGCTTGCGATCTTCCTTATCATTGTTTGCTTCGTTCTCTCCATCGCTACCACCATCTTGTTCCTCCTCGTATAAATCGTGGCATTCTCCCTTTTCCCGTTTCTCTATTGTCCGCTCCCTGTTTTCTCTTCTCTCCCCACTGTCCACCCGTGCCTTCTTCAACTGATCATTTTGAATTCTCTGCTCGGAGGATCTCTTGGTGCCGGTCTCAGGTGGATCGTTGGGAATTGGAGGGAACGGTCTTGGTAATACTCCAGATAATGGATATGCTCTCAGTGCTTCATCTGCTTTCTTACATTGAAGCTTGAACTTGTAAGATCGATCCAAATTCCAACGGCAAGTTGAACAAATCATCTGCGGCATCCCATCTGCTGCATAAACCTTAAACAAAACTTAACTATTAGAATCTAACAAAATCTCATGGGGTAGAATTAGTTTTATAGAATCTAAATTACTTTCTGTCTACAATAAAAATATTTTGTCAATATAGAAATATTAAGGTTTTCATAAATATATTGTAACGAAGTGATGCTAAATTTATACCAAATTTTCTCAATTCTTATCATTCCTCATCTATTAAAGACAGAAGGAATAATATTTAAAATTACTGATACATTTTTTAGCGCACCGTAATATCTGTATATCTTTAATTTCAATATCAAATCATATGGTTTGGAAATTGATATCTATATTCAACCGAATACAATTATTAATGTTCTTAATTTACTGAATTTGATTTGTCAGATTTGTGATTTTTCATTCAGATCGAACGTAGCTTCTACATAAATACATTTTGCGATAAGATTATCGATTCAATTATTCAGAATGAAATTGATAGCAAAGTGTCTGTTTTTGATATCCTGCTATATATGCATTTCATAAAAGAATGCAAATCTTACAGTCATATCGATATTTAATCACTCTCGTGTTTCATACATGTGTTGGGTTCACTCATGGATAACAAGATCTCAACGACCTTCGAAGAATTAGTTGAAAGGTGCAACGTAAAACCAAGAGTGAATCTAGAGGACGGTTTTAAAGGTGTTCCTCTGCAATTAATCATTTCATGTATAAAAGTTATTGAACTTCAGTGATTGTATAATAAACATAAACATTATGTACTAATCTTATAGTTATAATAAGAATTTCATGGAATGCAAAATGGATCAACAAGTTGGAGCAATATTTCCTGGAACCCTATCAAGAGACTGGATCCCTCCTTCATTCATGCAAGCTGGTAGTATTCGCCACAGCAGTGAATCCAACACATGTAGTTTCACGCATGCACACGCAATAGATGCGTACCATGTGCCCTGTAACCCAATACATACAGATATGAGTTCAAGGAATGAAATCAAATTGAAAATCATAAAATCTGACGAACGTTTCTGATAATTATTTCAAGAGACTCAAGCTTCTTTATTCTGTACCAGAGGCATACATCGAAATACTCTTAATTCAATAAAACGAAAAAAAAAAATAGCTAGGTCCCCGGCATTGAGATAGCGGCATCCCCTTCAATAGCGCGACATATACAGCACGAGATATCCACGTGTGTGTATCTGTACAGAATACGAGCCGCAGCGTCATCCTACAACCGCGAAACTAACTACTAGACTAAAAGTCGAGCCGTCCTAGTCGCTCCGTTTTTTCAATTCTCGATTTCAAAGGTGTTGGCAGCAATGGCGGCCGCCATGTTGCCGCCGAGCTCTCCGGCTCCGCGATCGATGCACGGCGTTCAATGGCCTGCCCGCACGGCAAGATCGGGATCTGCGTTACCCACGTCAGTCAACGCTATTGACTCGTTCCGATGTTTTCCCCCGCGCGTGCACAGAGCACGCATCAATTGGACGTATCTTCCCGCGAGTCGCGCTCCTTAGACCCGGTTCCCGTTTCCGGCTCCCCAAGGAAGACGGGGACATCGCACGTCCCCCGGGCGCGGATTAACCAGAAATGGCGCGAGAAATCGGCACATCTTACCTCGATGGCGACGCACGACATAATCTGCAGGGTAAGCGGCACCTGGAAAGGCTTGCTGTGGTCCCTCTCGTAGATGAAGCTGAGTGGCTCGGACTCGGTTAGGCAGAACCGACATACCCGCCTGGAGCGGAGCGGCGCCGGCCTATTCTCCATTTTGTCTCTCGGCCCGTAGCTCGCGGTTCGAGACGACGGAACACTTCGGCTCGCGTTAGTTTACCCGATCGCGCATCTACGGGGAACGACGCCGTGCGTCGGTAAGCGTCGCGTCACGGGAGCGAGCGGGACGAAGTATACACCGCTATGGCGGAGGTGGACGAACGAACCGCGACCGTTTCTCTGCGTGGCGTCGCCCGGATGAGCTGCAGCCCCGCCGCGGCCTTTGCACTCCAGCGCCACTCGCCGCGTGGCTCCGTCGATAACAAGCCTGCGCGCGAGGGCGCCACCGGCTGCGACGCGTAGTTGGCGACGCCGCCGTCGAGTATCGCTTCCCCCTGACAAAAAAATATCCCCGCCAAAAACATTTTTGTGGAAAAACTCAACATTGAGTATATACATTCAAGCTATATTATGTTTCTAAATTCGAAAAGCATTGAAATCGTATTACAAAGCCAAGCAAAACTACTTTATTGTATACTTTTTCTGAATAAAGGAATTCTCAAGTTTGGTGTAATTTGTAATTTCATGAAATGTCACCATAGGATCGAGTACGAAATCCTTGGTACTTGTTTAAATTATTTTGACAAATCTACGCCGAATAAAGTACGGTCATTGTCAGAATGACGATCGAAAATGTTGACAGCGTCCATTTCTTGGAACTTTTACTTTCTCCGTTTAAGTAAGCTCTAATTAGAATATTGTAGACTTCTTGCTCGACGCCCATTGAAAATACGAGATTCTTTTTGCCCATCGTCTTGGATGGACATACCGTCCGCCTTTTGTAATTCGGGCTTCCAGTTTCGCATTAAGTAATACAGATTCGTAACAAATCGTAACGGCTCGAACATATCCGAATTAAATTACGAAATAAACCTTTGAAAAGGTTGGCGGAGAGAAATCATACAGGAAAAGATATTATTCCTAATTGTAAGAAACAATGATTGGTCGCCGAAGACGGAAAACAAAATGTCTCCGGCTCTTCGAGAATCGTGTACTTCATGACGCGGCCGAGTTATTTTACCCATCTTGGTTACCTTTCCACTTTTGTTAGGAAATTTTTAAGGACGAAAGTATACGGGAATGATTTTATTCGGACCGGAAGCGACGAAGAATCGTCGGTATGAAATTGAAGGAGGTCCTCAAGTTTCGCAGGCGACATCGGGACGGTGCAACTTTGGAGCATCTGCGACAAGACATCGACGTCGACGTGCACGTCTTAGAATCGGAACTTTTGCTGGAGAAATTAAAGACCGATGCCTCGCGAGGTTTATCCACGGCTAAGGCAAGAAACCTGCAAAGGGAGCATGGAATGAATACATTAACGCCGCCGAAGGAGACTCCGGAAATCTTTAAACTCTTGCGCTGCCTGTGCGGGGGATTCTCCCTTTTAATTTGGGTTATTAAAAATTATTTCCCACAGACTTCCCTTTCCTTAACTGTTTTAACATTTCTCTCGTATTCTAAAATATAATCGCAGATCCCTTTGGAAAGTGTCTACAATTACCTAAATGTATCTTCCCTGTAAATCCGTGATCTCTGCCGTGTTCGTTCACTTTTCTTTCATTTCCTTCTTGTACTTCTCCTGTACTTTCGGAAATATAATACAAATCGTGTTAAATAATTTTCAGGTGGGAGCATTGTTATGCTTCGGAAGTTACTTTTTGGAGAAACATACTTATGGAATAGCTTCCGACGACCATTTGTGGCTGGGAATGGTGTTGATCCTTCTGATCCTGGTAACAGGGATGTTCAGCTACTACCAGAACTCGAAGAGCTCAAAGATCATGGAGTCTTTCAAGGGGATGTTGCCTGAGAAGACGAAAGTCCTCAGGGACGAGTACATAAAGGAGCTGTATGTCTCCGAGTTGGTCGTCGGGGACATCGTCTTCCTCGAGACCGGTGACCGAGTTCCTGCTGACATTAGGTTGCTGGAATGTCAAGGTGAGTGCAGGCCAGCTCTCAGTTTTCTTATTTTTCCGTGTCCACGTCGGCCCTGCCTTTCTCTTGACTCTGTGCAGGCCCGTGTCCACAAAGGTCTTAAGGTGGATAACGCATCCATAACCGGGGAGTCCATGCCGCTCCTGCGATCCACGAAACCATCGCCAGGGAGTTTCATAGAAGCCGAGAATATAATTTTCTTCTCTACAAACATAGTCGAGGGTATGCTTAGATTTTGGGAAGCATCGAGAGAACGGCTTTCTCCCTAAAAATATAACCAAACGTAAAAGAAAGTAATGACAGCCTCCTAGAATATTTAAATTTTCCCCTTTCTCAAGAACTCCTTCCTTTGAATATCTTAATTAAAGGGGAGTGTTTTTATGAACCGAAAGTATTCTCTTAGGCTGTGCACTTATTCATGTTACTCAGATTCCTGTTCTCCAAAATGGTTCTTCCGGTACTAGGTACTGCAAAAGGGGTAGTGGTCGCTTGCGGTGACCTAACCGTCATGGGAAGAGTAGCAAAACTGACCTCGAGACTGATTCCTCGACCTACCCCACTTTCACGGGAAATCCATCGATTTATGATATTAATATCCTGCTGGGCTGTCTTTCTGGGCGTCTTCTTCTTCGGAATGTCGGTGGCCCTAGGATACGGTTGGATAGACTCGGTGATTTTCCTCATTGGCATCATAGTTGCCAATGTGCCAGAGGGCCTTCTTGCCACTGTCACCGTTAGTCTGACCTTGACTGCCAAGCAAATGGCCAACAAAAATTGCCTCATCAAGAACCTGGAAGCCATCGAGACCCTTGGGTGCACGGCAGTCATCTGTTCCGACAAAACAGGGACACTTACCCAAAATAAAATGACGGCACGCCTTAAAGACATTATTTTTAATTATGATTTAGAAATTGTTTTTATGTGTATACTAACGTTTATTATTGCAGGTACGTCATGCGTGGTACAATGGCCAGCTAAGAGAAATAATGGCGTCCGATACGTGGAGCAAGTACGCCAATAGTCGAGGGTTTCTAAATTTGGCCAGAGTGGCGAGTTTGTGCAATCGTGCAGAATGGGCGCCATTACCGGATGGTTTACCTGTTCCACCTCTGAACAAGCGAAAAGTGCTTGGCGATCCTTTGGAAAGTGCATTACTTAAGTGCATGGAGGTCCTCGTCAGAGGTGGTGCGCATACCTTCAGGAAGGCTTACACCAAGGTAAAATATTGTGGGCTCACATAAACATGTATGCATATAAATCGCAATATAAGAATACAGTACAATATAAATAATTAGTAACTACTTTCGACAGGAGACCGAATATTTTTCTCTTCCCCTGCAGCGTCAAGAAACGACGTAGCGTGTTAACTATATCGAAAGAACTTTATTCCGTATGATCGTATTTTATTCTTTGTTTGTGCAGGTTTTTGAGATCCCGTTCAATTCGACCGACAAATTTCAGGCCGATGTGCACCTGGGAAAGGAAATGCATTTAATATCGTTGAAGGGAGCACCCGAGAGCGTCCTCGAGCGATGCTCGACGGTGGCCCAAGATGGCGGCACGCGAGAACTGGACGAAGAAACCAAAATGGCGTACACGGAAGCGTGCCACGTCCTGGCGAACAACGGCGAACGCGTTCTCGGATTCGCCGATCGTGTCCTGTCCTTCTCCACCTTTCCAAAGGGTTACGAGTTCAAGGCAGACCCTCCCAACTTTCCCCTGAACAACCTGCGGCTGGTGCGCTTATTACATCATTATGCCTACTTAAGTCAATCATTATGTATACACGGTGGGCCACAAAGTGGTATAAGTAAGGGGCTCTAAATACTTACCACATGCTGAATTTCCTAATTGTAGCATAGCATTGTCACAAGTCCGCGCACTCCATCGTTATACCACGTTCGGAAAATCTGGTATTTAATTTTACCACCATTTTAGGATCATTAAACTAATACTGTAACCGAGGACGTAAACGGAGCCCGGGTGCATTACGACCAATGATTCAGATACACTTTGCTCCCAAGTTAAAATGCATGCTGGGAATAGTTTCACAGAAAATATGCCTGAAAACAGTGTATTTTTAGAACGATGACTGATTTTATATTTATTATATGAATATACGTATGTATAATAATTATCGTAGTGGTTATAAAAATGATGATGACAGTACAGGTCAACCCGTCGTTCGATATAATTGCTCTGAAGTCAATACAGATTCTTTTTCGTTACAGGTGGGATTAATATCCATGATGGACCCCCCGAGGCCGACTGTGCCCGACGCCGTGTACAAATGTCGGTGTGCGGGAATCAAGGTGATCATGGTGACAGGAGACCACCCTGACACTGCCAGGGCCATCGCCAAGTACGTCGGTATAGTCACCGAGGACCATCAAAACGAGGCTACCAGGCACTCCATTGTGGTAACTGGACCCGAACTTCGGGATCTGCAACCGGGCCAGCTGGACAGCCTGATCCGACATTACCCTGAAATTGTTTTCGCACGCACATCACCGGTGCAGAAACTGCAGATTGTAGAAAGCTGTCACAGGTTGCACCTCATCACTGCAGTGACCGGCGATGGGGTCAACGATTCGCCGGCCCTGAAGAAGGCCGACATCGGCGTCGCCATGGGAGTCGCTGGTTCTTTTCGCTTCTTATACTCATACGTGTTACATAATTCTACAATACCTTGTGTAGAACTACGTAATCGCCTTTGCGACCTAGCGAGGACAGACTAGAATAGCGCTAAAATGTCTGATGGATATTATGAGAGAAGAGGAAGACATTATTTTATATGATAGGATGTCAATACGTTTAGGCGATGTGAAATCGACAGTGAAGCTTAAGGGAAAGATTGTAATTATTTTAAGTAGGTATCGGCGTTGCAATTGGTAAACATATTCTGGTTTCGATTGCAAATGGTATCGAGTCGTGATATTTTATTTATCATTTAAAGAAATACGTACGATGTGTTATTTTTTTTTTTCGGATTTACCGGAGTGAGAATGTCCTTTCCGATTTGTTAATTGAACCTGTCTGGAAGGGCAGAGTCCTTGCAGAGCAGAAACTCGTTTCGCATCGTCTTTAATCCTTTATGAGACCGTATGACGTCAAAGGCAGATATTCACGGATCTACAATATTTTAATTCAATTTTATCTCTGTTTTCGTCATTATCCGAGTATATAAAGTGTTTTCAAAAAGGTACATCAAGGATAGGGTAATTAAAATCGTAGAAAAAATGCATCTTCAGTATTCACGATTTAATCGGTATTCGTTATAGGCTCCGATGTGAGTAGACAAGTTGCTGATCTGATTTTGTTGGACGACAACTTTGCGACTATCGTAACGGGGATTGAAGAAGGCAGAAGAGTCTTCGACAACCTGAAATCCAGCATCGCGTACACTCTTGCCAGCAATGTTCCGGAAGTGACGCCATTCCTTGCGTTCATTGCCCTGGGAATACCACTTCCGGTTGGCATCATATGCATTTTGTGCATCGACGTCGGTACCGATATGTGGCCAGCAATTTCCTTAGCATACGAGAAATCCGAGGGAGACATAATGCTGAGGCAAGCTCTATAAACATTCAAAGCATATTATACAAATGAGACCGAACTTCTGAGAAAGATGAAATTCAATTACACTCCATCATTGGCGAGCAAGTTCCTAAATCTATTTAGATCTCCCCAAGACATTAATTAAAATTATCGATACTTTTCAGGAAGCCCAGAGTCCCGCACACGGACCATCTCGTCAATCGCAAATTGATCTTCATGGCCTATGGACAAATTGGCATAATCGAAGCAGCAGCAGGATTTTTCACCTATTTCGTAATCATGGCAGAGTCCGGATTCTTTCCTGGCAAACTGTTGGGGTTGAGGCCCTACTGGGATAGTTCTGCTGTAAACGACCTCGAAGACAGCTACGGTCAGCAATGGACCTACAAGCAACGCAAGATCTTGGAACACACTTGCCACACCGCTTTCTTCGTCAGTATCGTCATCGTGCAGTGTGCAGATGCTATAATTTGCAAAACTAGCAGGACTTCCATATTTCGCCAGGGAATGAACAACTGGATACTGAATTTTGGATTGATCTTTGAGATCGTCATGGCTTCTGTCGTCTGTTACGCACCTTACATGGATGTGATCCTGAAGACATACCCCCTGCATGGCGAGTGGTGGATTCCGGGCATACCTTTTGCCTGCTGGATCTTGATTTACGACGAACTAAGGAAATGGTGGATCAGGAAGCACCCCGGTGGATGGTGGGACCGAGAAACCGCTTATTAATCGTTATCAATCAGTGTCATCAATAATGAGTTCTTTGAAATTGCATGTATGTACCGATTTAGATGACTAGGATAATTAACGATGGATTATAAACCTGGATTATAAACGGGGAACGAAGATTGAATGTGCCAATATGCTCTATACCATTAAGGCCTAAAAGCATCGTTGGATCCGCAACTCTAGGGGGCCAAATATCATCTTATCACCTTAATAGCTTCGCGAGAAACTATAATGCCTCGATCTGCCGAAAGGAACATCGAGCAGCTTTTCAAATACTATTTTAAGATCACTGGAAGAGAAACTTTCTACTTGCATTTTAATTACCACCAGGTCAGCGTCTAGGTTTACATCTTCTCAACGCCCTGAGGCTCGTTACTCCACAAAGGTTCTGCAAAATGGCTTGTTAGCTGTTCCGTTAATTCACTCCATTTTGTGATCCCCTTTTCTCTCGATAATTTCCATCTTTCTCCAATTAAGTGCACTTCTTAAAAATTACAAATGGGTACGTAAATCGAATGCAATTCTCTTAGACTTAGCCATCCTTCGCGGATAATATCTAGGTCTACACTTAACGAGTCATTCTACAGACGTGCTGGCGAAACAAAAAGACTTGACAGCATCTCAGAAACCGATAAGAACATCAGGAGAAATTTCCTTTTCACGTTTTCCACGACCCAAGGTCAGGGTGCCGGATTCCATTTCAGCGCTCTGGAGGCCCGTCGAAGCTTTGTTCACCCAAACTTGTAGATAATTTCTCACCGTTATCGTTTTTTTGTGAAACGAACACCGATGCACCTCCTAGTGATTCCCAGTATGCAGAAGAGCAGCTCTCCTTAGGCCGCGTTTGTCGGGAATCGGGTGTTGTAACCCGTTGCTCGAAGGAGCCAAAGTGGGGGAGGCATATAAGACCCTGAGGCTCCGTTGAGGCTTCAGTAGTCTCTAGTCATCAACTCGAAAACCCGGCAGACACTTCCACAGGAGCATTCCTGATCTGCCAGGAGAAACCAGGACTACGTTTCACCCCATCGGACCACCTTGGGAGTCCCCCAAACTTCCTGGCCGCCATGAAGACGGGGACCATCCTTTGTCTTCTCGTGTGCCTTGGTAAGTCCTTTCTCTCGACGTTTCTCCACGAACCTCCTTCTTGGGCACCAAGGATACCAAGAGAACAATCGCTTCTGCATAGCATTACAATGGGGTCATGCAGCGAGTAGCTGCTCGTTAACTTCCACGAAGAAGACTATGATGAAGAACGCCGACACGGCTATTTTGCCCCAGAGTAGACATCTTGGTTCCTTTCAAGGCGTTTACTGTGAATATAAATTCTCAGGCTCAACAGGTCGCTGGATAGTCAGTGGATAGTCAGTTTGTAGAGGATTGTTTGTATCTTGCTGCTCGTAAACTGGGAAGAGACTGTGATAAAGTGCGTCGGTACTCTTGCCTGGGGTGGCCATGTTGGTTCTCCATGCATTTGTACCGAATGTAAATCTTGAAGAGCATCAGGGAGCTGGATAGTTTGTAGGGGATTACGTGTGAGTTTGAGGTCATAAACTGTATATAAAAAGGTATGATTTAGTGCAGGGATGTTACAGCTAGGGGAGCTGATGATCAATAAATAAGGTGAGGTGAAGTTTACATTTTGTAGGATATTGAGAACGTCGTTTACAGGATGAATTATTATTTGACACCTACAACTTAATGCAGCGAGTTTCTGGTCGTAAATTGTAATGAAAAGGATCTAATGAGCGACTTGTTACACAATGGATAAGTGGTATTTTTACGTAGCATTAAGTGCAACTTTCTCTTCATGAATTACATTTTAAGGATTAAGGTTTAGGATCGCGGTGTCGCGATCAGAGATAAAGGCATTGGTACTTAATAATTATTTCTTTATGAATAAATATTTTCACAGGTTCTATACGACTTATTACACAATGAATCACTTAGTTTAATATACCACAAGTTTTAAATTACGGGCGTTGCTCCAATTTATCTGAGGGTTTGCCGAACGCGCATTACCTAATGAGTTGGGTAACCGGGTACTCACTTTCTTGAAAACTTGTATTCATTGTGGAGAAATTAATTGAATGAAAGTTTTCCTCGATTCCAACCGCCATTATAGTAGACAGATACGGCGATGTATTGGACAAAGCACTCTTAAAGTATGTACCGTGTAAATGAATGAAAGTGAAAGAATAAGCGGTTAAATCTTAAATGGTACAGAAACCGTGACAGGAGACATTTTTTATAAAAATGTCCCTTTCTCAGATAATTCAGAACGCGGGAGAGTAGTCGAATGACTTTCACATTACTACCAGTATCGAAGGCAAGTCTAATTATTTCTCTCGGTGCGTAAACGGGTCCCGCACCTTTCTACCGACAATCGACCAGCTGAACTTTCCGAGTGACTGTCCAGGATCTTTCAGCTGGAATCCCGGAGCTAATTTATGACAACCCAAGACATTTTCATTCTTCCATTACTAAATCTCTGTAATTTCTGGAACACTTTCAAAATACTTTGATAATATGTTTCCAAGACTTCCCAGGCAGCTGCTCTCTGGAACGAAGAGAGAGGGAGGCGAATCGCGGTTTCGTTCATTGGTGTCCTCGAATTTGGGATTTATCACTGAAACTCCGTACGGAAATCTCAAGGAATACTGGAAAGTGAGTTTCGGAAGGTCGAGCGACTTTTAAAAACGCTCTTCCGGGCGTCGAAGGCGAGTCACCTCGGACTTTCTCGCTTTCTTCCGATCGCGAGGTCGACCGGCGTCTATCCACTCGCTGGTTGTCACTCAACATATTCAGGGACGTATAAATTCTGGTTTCCTGAATGTCAAAAGTGGCCCATATCCCTCAACCTTCTCTCTTCGAAACGTTTAATCGATTTAAAAATATCCTTCCCTGTAAGTGGAATAATTTAATTAGCTGCAAACGTAATTTGCTTAATATCCTGCTAAAACCACGTATAGTTAAAGAGTAGGCGTAGGGTAGGAAATAATTAGTCTTTCTACCGAATATAAATATATTAGGACTGGGTTTTTTCTCGAAGCATCGACGCGTGTGAGGTCCCATTGTATGGAAATGCATCTGCGAGTTGCACATTGTTGCAAAGAGGCGATTGCGCAGCGTTACATCGTGGTTTCGCAATTCTCATAGTCACTTTCTTTTTCTACCGGATTCATCAATGGCACGACATCTTACATATTTCTTCACTGCACGCGTAAATTCATTAGTGAATCGAAATAAATATATTTTGAATTAATTGCAGGAGCTGCAAGTGCGTTGTCGAGGAAACAGGAGGCTGCCGAACAGAATCGCAGGAAGGTGGCCACGCCGAGTCAAAAGAAGGAGGTTCTTGATGAGGAATACGAGGATGATGCGGAATTATCCGACGAGTGTCCAGAATCTAATGGCTACTTTGCCGATGCCGATCAATGCGACAAATACTACGACTGTCGGAACGGCAAGCCCACGGAGAAACTTTGCCCGGATGGTCTGGTTTTCAACGACTTCAGTCCACAGCACGAGAAGTGTGATTTACCCTTCGGAATAGATTGCTCGAAGAGGCCGAAACTTCGTAAGTATGATTCCTGTAAAGTAGGAAATTTCATTCGAGTACGTATTTCATTACATGATTATAAAAGATATATAACTAATAGTATTAAAATGGCAAATTTCGACAAGTATTGCTTCACCCTCTGAAGACCCACGATCACCTTACAGTAGCATAATAGTATAATCAACTGTTATAAATTATTTCTTCCTTATTCGTAAAACTTGGATTATCACTTGTAGTTCCTAAAATTCTAGGTAAAAAATTCTATCTATCAGCTGATATTATTCAGGGCTTCCTTTTCAGAAAAGCCTCAGCCATCGATGCACTGTCCTCGCATGCACGGATACTTCGCTCACGAAGACCCCAGAATATGTGACACGTTTTATTACTGCGTGGAGGGTAAATTCAACATGATCACCTGCCCTGACGGGCTGGTCTTCTCTGAGAAAACAGGAATCTGCAATTGGCCTGACGAGGCGCAGAAGAAGGGCTGCGGCTCGAGGGAACTCTTCAACTTCACCTGTCCCAAGGTTGACGATTCCGTGGCTGCGACTCATCCTCGGTATCCGGATACTGAGGATTGCCAATACTTCTACGTATGTGTCAATGGAGAAATTCCAAGGAGAAGTGGCTGCAAGCTTGGTCAAGCTTTCGACGAGAGTACCGGGAAATGCGATTGGGCTAGGAAAATTCCTGAGTGGTAATCACCTTGAAATTAATGTTCATCTATATGCTCGTATGAATGTTTTCGTTCATTTCATGAGTCGATTATTTATACTCTGAAGTACGTTCAAAGCAATTCTCAACTTTTCATAATGTGATTAATTTGGAATTATCCTTTAGTGTAATTTAATGTATTGAAAAAGCGAAGAGATGGAATGTTTACACGTGTTTGGAAAAGCCTTTTTGTAATTCCGATTTTTTTCAAATTGCAGCAAAGACTGGTACAAGGGTCAGTTGACTGACGAGGAGTTGGATGCTTTGGAGAACCCGCCAAAAAAACCAAGACTCACGGGAGGACCTTCAAGAAGGAAGGGCAACAGACCCACCTAGATCAGAGATCAAACCTAATGTATATTAAGTGCGCGTAATTTTAATTATATTTCTATAATAAAGTATGTTTACAGTAAACTGTGAAATACCCTACACTGAACATTTTCAAGAACCCAGAAAATGATGAAAATTTTTGTAATATGGTTGAAAAAAAAACGATACGATGTCTAGAGGACGGCAATGAAACCTCCTCTAACATTCTTTTTAATGAATTTATTTATAAATTACCTTACCTGTGTAAAATTTATTTCGGAGTTAAATTTTGACATCAAGGCACCGATCCGTCATTTCGAAATCTTATGATTTTGTTTGGGATCATTTTCGTGACCATTTCCACCCTGCCGCATTGACTTACCTGAAATTAATAGTAATCAATACAGAGAGTATCTAAGCGGTAGTTTAAACATTTTCAGACGAAAATGAACAAATAGAAGTAAGATTCCGTCTTATCATAAAAATGATACGAGTTTACTACCGAACATGTGTGCCTTCCATTAACGACGGCAGTTCATCCACAAAGAAGGAGCATTCATATCCAGTATATACATGTATACATTAATATATACTTGCACTTTCCTAAGTGCATACATTTATACGTTACATTCACCAATTTCACAAAAGGATCAATTTGATAATGGATCGGCCTCTTCAGGCGAGCTTCAAGGAACAAAATAAATGTCAAAAACTGCGTACAAAATACTGCATACTCTCTGGAGAAAGGTATCGTAACTAATCACGGTCAAATAAAATCACTCTCCATCCCCAGGGTACCATTAATTAACAAAAAAAAAGAAAATACGAGGAAATCCCATTAAAACCCCATATTCTCTCTTCACGGCCGTATCGTTTAACCTTGATGCGCAATAATTAATGAAGAAAGTGTGTCTCGGGAGATCAAACCCAGCCGTGAAAACGCCGAAGGAAGACCTGACCCTTGTGATTTTCTCCAGAATCCGAGAGCACGTAGAAAGGGCTCTCGGATAAGCAGGAGAGAGCCAGGAATGGAGTCGAACGAGAGGAGGTAGGGTGTGACGTAGCGCCATATTCCATCTATACCTATACTGTATGCCGAAGAGAGGAGCAAAGAGAAAAGGCAGGGTAAAAGTGTATGGCCACTGGCCTCTGGTATAATCTTAATTCTTGTCGGCTACCGTGAGCATAGGTACCCATAGTGGGGAAATGGCCCGTAGTGGGGGAGGTCTGGGTATACCCTGAGAAGAGCCGTCGAAGCTGCAGTCTCTCGCGACGAGACGCCATTCCAAAGAGTCGCCAAAAATTACGGTTTATTTTTCTAAGTCTCATAGTTTATTTAATCTCGACAGCTGCCAAGCTCCTCTGAGAAGCTGAGATAATGGCAGGCGCTTGCCTAATTACGGTGCTGGCTCTGGTCGCAGTTGCATGTGAGTATTCCTTCGCAGCCTCGAAGAGAAAGTCGAGGACCCCACTTTCCAAATTACAGAGAACGAAAGTTCGATCCGTGATCATCTGTAACGTGAAAAGGGTTTTTTTTAGTGTCCTTTAATTTAAAATTTGGGGATCGTGAATACAATAGCTTGTTACTCTTAGTTTCCGGATTGTAGTTTCGTTATACAGGACTTTTTGGTTTACGTGATTGTATCGGAATTGAGTACCTTTGTTAAAGGTAAATGTTGCGCATTTTTTAAGCGGCTTCATTTTGTCTCCTCACTTTGATATCATTGAACAATGATCGATAATGCTAGGATGTCTCTTCTATCCTGGTTAACCGGGAGTAGATACCACAGCGGCCATTTTGAATATCGGTGAACGACGATGTTGAAATGAAATAATTCAAAGTAAAATTAAAAATGTAATGTTGTACTCATGTCTTAAATCATCAGTGGAACGAGTTTGTTATTTTATTTATTAAATCAATTTGCTATTTTGTTAGGAACGTAAATATTTTTAAGAACAATCGGAATCGACGTGGCCTGATCGGTACCTTCGGAGAGCGAATACTCGGATACAATGTCTCACGTATACAGACATAATCGAGACAGTATGGCTGAACTTTCTAAAGTGTAAATGTCAAAGTTGTCTCTACGTTGCATAATAAACCTCCCTACGAGCTCTTGCTACTGATAATTATATAACGGAGGTAGTAAAGTCGACGTGGAGAAATTTAAAATACACGGTTCAATGTACGGTGCAACCCTCGACGCGTTCGGCTTTTTATTTCCTTCATTGTGCTGGTCGGCACAGTTTTTCATGTCTGTTTTGAACAAAAAATTGGCTTATCCCATATTATCATTGTAATTTTCAATGCCCTCAGACGGAGCCTTCACGTGCCCGAAAAAGGATGGACAATACGAGGACTCGCAACAGTGTGATAAATTTTACGAATGCTCGGATGGCGTCGCAAGAGAGAAATTTTGTCCTGACGGTCTGGTGTTCGATCCTTTGAATCGTAAAATCAACAAATGCGACCATGTCTTTAATGTCGACTGCGGAGATCGTCTGGAGCTACGTAAGTAAATTGATACTGGATCTGAAATTTGAGAATCAATATTGCTCACATGGGGTATTATATTATATAGTACGTAAGAGATTTTCTGCACGCCATCATGGATAGTTACAGATCCTAATCCGATACTTGTTTTATTTTTTAATTAGAGCCTCCTCAGCCAACGAAAAAGTGCCCACGTCGGAATGGTTTCTTCGCGCATCCTGATCCTGCGGTTTGCAATATTTTTTATAACTGCATCGACGGTGAAGCGATAGAAATTACATGCACAACGGGACTTCATTTCGATGAATTTAGCGGCACTTGTGTCTGGCCCGACAGCGCTGGTCGTCAGGTACTGTTAATTAATAATTAATAATAAGTAATACATATAAATATTAGAGACATCAAAGAACTATTCCTCACGTTTGAAACCTTGTAGATAAAAATACGTCTTGTAATTAATTCTGGAAATTTTCTGACTTTATTTGGATTCGCATCTTCAGCGCCGAAAAAGTAAAGTCAGTCAAACAAGATTTTCAAGAAACTAATTTTATGAACATTTAATGACAATAATTTTGTACTCTTACCAATGAAATTGTTACATCTAAATGTTACTTTTTTCGAGGGAATTAAAATCCTCCTATCATTGTTACCGATATATCCTGGAAAATAATTAGGAATGACTAAAAAAACCAAAGATTCTGAACTTGCTGCGTAATGCATTTTAATAGTTTTTAGATTGGGCAATAAATATTTAGATAGACCATGGAACATGCAAATGGAAATAATATGTGGAATGTCTCATTCTAGGGCTGTGGAAAAGTAGGCAACATCTTAAAGGATGGTTTCGAGTGTCCGAAAGAAGGCCAAGTCGATAGCAGAGGAATGGCAGTGGATCATCCTAAATTCGCTCATCCAGATGACTGCCAGAAATTCTATGTTTGTCTAAATGGTGTAACACCTCGAGAACAAGGTTGCAGTGATGGCACCGTTTACAACGACGTCGAGCAACGATGCGACGCACCGGAGAATGTTGCTGGATGGTAAGAAATCGAATGATTGACATCGATAATTTTTTCAACGATCGGGCTTTATATGTCTCAAAGATTATATCGAGCCTTTCTTTTAATTTTCAATGTTGAATCTTTCTGTTCATTGATTTTTTACTTCCAGCGAGGACTGGTATAAAGACGACGAGAGGAAACCCTAAGAGCTTCCGCGAAATTTTCCTGTCCCGCATCGGGACTTACCTTCGAGCGCGTTACTTTTCGTTAATTTTCCATTTTCCATCGGCTTTAAAAACGGTTCAAATTTCTTGCAATAAATGAAACTTCATCCAGAAGTCTGGTGGATTTTCTCGGTAGTTCCATAATCTTCAAGTTTGTTAAGGAAAACGCGTTGCAAGACCGATGCACCTCGTACCGATTGACAGACATTGCAAAACATTTGAAGATTTTTCATCCTTATCGTTTTACGAATGAAAATACATTAAATTTGGATAAGCGTTAAAAATAGAATTTTTTCCTTGAAGTGCAATCTCGTTAATTCTGTGTCTGTGCAACTTCTTTCCGGCAAATCGCTGAAAATATATATTTCAAAGTTTCATAAATTAATGATTATTCATTATATCTCAATTTTCATTTAGTCATTCTGGGGCTAAAATTTTTAAGTATCTAAGAAAATGGTGGACGACGTGTCCTTTCGGGATGTTTCAAGGGATGGATTTCGCATAGAAGGAAATAATTGTGTAGACAATGAGGAATAAAAATGAAGTTCGAGGTGCATCAGTAATCCAATATAGACGGCAATTTGTGCAATGTACTTTTTCTGCGCTCGAGAAAATGGTCGAGGCTCCTTTCACTTATGGACTCAAAGGAACGCGCTCGACGGCCTGCTTGGAAGGCGGAAGCTCATTGAAGGATCCAGACCTTTCATTCTCCAGTCCATGGTCCTTGCGAGTTTATGCTAAGTATACGTGCCTAAGACATAGGCGGAATTCTGGCTGATCTGGATTCTCACATGGAATTTATTCCGGAAGAACTGACTCGTCAAGCAGCGGCCGGAGTAAGGACGAGTGCTCGTGATAGGTTTCATAAAACCCTGAAAAATGTCTCTCTCATACAGGCAAATATAAGTTTCTAGGGAGAAACGTAGAACTAAGTTAATGGATAAGAAACATGTTGCGCCGGAATAACGAGCTTATCGAGACTGAAGTGTATTTGACTCGGTAATAAAGATTTTCTAGATAACCCTTATACGGCTTTCCATTATCACTTTTCATATTTCAATACGTTCCATCATACATGGCGAATCTGTGAAATATAAATTAACTCTACGAACATGTAATTAAAATTACTACGTAGATGGGACAAATATTTCATTAACATTTCCAGCGAGAATGTTGACTTTTTTTTTTATTAAATCGATGTACATTTTTAAATGCGAGTGAAAGGATCATTCATTTCAGGGAATTATTGTATGTCGAAATCGGCATGAAAAGGGCTCTTGAACTAATGTCAAGGACCAAGATGCGCCTACTCTGTCCATCGGTATATTCCATGTCCGGAGTATGACAGCATCTTCCGTCATCCTTTCCTTCTTCATCGAGTCTTGCGCAAACCGGGCATTCCTGAGACGAATTTTCTTCACAAGATCAGGATTCCGGCTGGCGAGTGTGCCCGCTCGACGAGGCAAATCGCGACGAAGGCTTTCTCCCTGTTTATAAAACACTTGGGTTACCTTTCTCGTTTTTCTTTGGGGACCAAACCCACCGGGCCGGTCGCTTTCTTGCTTCGATTGATCTTGAGTAAGGTGCGACCGAATCGGTTCTGCTCGCCTGGGTATCCGTCCAGGAGCGGATCTCTCCTTCGAGGTCCCCTGGACTTTCTTCCAAGGCACGTGGAGTGAATAAATCGAACCCGGGGCAAGGAGTTATCCTTCTTAACGGAGAAATTCTTCCAAGTGTCTGTATTGTCTTCGGAGAAAGGGACTATAAGTAAATGAAAATACAGAACGATTTCACGTTCCAGAAAAAAACAAAAATAAAAATAAATTCCTAATGTTAACAATTAATTTTGCCCTGGAAAGTGGTCTAAGAATAAATCTCGTTTGGGCAGAAAAACTCAAGAGAAATGTAGCAATGACACGAGAACTAGTTGCAAGCCGATGATGAATGAGTACGAGGAATGTTGTAATGACTGTAATGGGTACGCTATTTTTGTCTCGGTACTTTGCCGGTCTTTCAGAATTATCCAACGGTCGTAGAACTGTCCCCGTACATGTCACAATATCTATTAAAAGTACTGTATTGATGGCTACTGTTTATTGACTTTCAGATATTTTATGTACTTTTAAATCAAAGGATCATCGCATTTCATGACTGAGGAATGAATATGTCCTTGGTATACGGATCATAATAAAAATGATCTTGTATTATGATTATTACTGGTATGAAGGAGACTCGCGGATGCGTTTATGTGGTGTCATAAATTTTGTACTATTTACAAAGTTATGGCATTTGTTACGTAAGACTGCTCGATCCTTTCTCTCAGAGTATTCTGAGCTAATTGCTTCCTCGAAGACCGTCTAGAGATGCGCTCTTGGAGGTCTGACGGATGCTGCCTGGACCACTGCAAGTGGTAAACCGCTGTACAGAGATTCTCAAATCATCTGGCATTAATTTCTCGACTTGCAACTCCAGTCTGGGAACGAGTAATCAATTTCTCAGCCGGTATTTCCTGAAACGATCGTTCTCTTATACTTTCTCGGGTCCTGATTAATAATACGGATTAAAGTTAAATTGAAAACCTGACATGCCAATTTGTTTTAGGAAAACAATCCTGAAATTACGGTAAGTTCATACTTGAATGAAAAAAAAAATGCATGTTTTATTACAAATTGTAATTCTCACAATTAATATCTGTGAATGTACTCTAAGATGTTGATACTCAAACGTGAGATTATTTTTCAATTTTAATGACACCATGAATTTTTCAGGTACATTGAAGGTACGTTGAAGATACGTTCAAAATGTAAGAGGTCGAGAACGCAGATACTCGCTTACCGGTCGGTATCGTTGACATTCAACGAAATGGAATGCAAATGTCGACTTTCTCGAAAGGATCATTGCTCGGGGCGAGTACGCAGGAGGCATGGCGAACGCACAGAGGACACTTACACGGAACCTTCTCATTTTGATTTATAGTTTCCATCGAAGAGGAACAATTCCGCTCCCTCGTCCATTAAATTAATCCTGAATTCCAATAGTAAGTGGACATTTCATGTACATCGTTTCTTTTTTAATTAACCAAGCATGATAAAAGTAATTATTGTGCATTGACGGAAGTACGATTATATAAGTAAGGTTTTAAGATGAATAAATAGGAGGGTTAAAAATCCAGATCCACCGAAAACTACTTGGGCAAGACCCCGACCATATGCTGAAGAAAGTCGTCCTAAGGAGTCAAGGACGTCGACTATCAGCCATGACACTAAGCTCAAAAAAGGAGGAACAAATCTTCGTGAATCTCTGCTAAGAAACCTGAAATTTCGAGGCCACGCATAGATTTCCTCCGAAGGGAGAATGGGTTCGTTAACTACAGGGAATATAACTTGGCATCAATGTATAACAAATATACATAGATCACGTACATACAATGGTGATTAACCCTAAATATATTCAGCAAATCAATTATATTTTTCCAAAATCCTGAATTTGAAAATTAAATGTTCTATGAATAAAATGCGACAATAAGTTAAGAAAGAACTTGGTGTCGTTTTTTTTTTCGCCGAGAGAAACTTCTGATGCAGTTTCATCACGAAGATGGGAGAATTTAAGTCTGCACCAGGATCCACCGAATGCATGCCATGGAAACTCGCTTTTGGGAACCAAGACGTGTCGACATAGCGACTTAGAAAATTAAAAAATTAAATGTACTACAATTGAAATGCGAGTATAAGTAAAGAAAGAACTTGGTGTCGTTTTTTTTTTTCGCCGAGAGAAACTTCTGATGCAGTTTCATCACGAAGATGGGAGAATTTAAAACTGCACCAGGCTCCACCGAATGCATGCCATGGAAACTCGCTTTTGGGAACCAAGGACGTCGACTTAGCGACGACACTAGCCGGAGAAAAAGAAAAGCAAGTTTGGGAGGACCTCGGCGAGGGAACCGGGAGTTTCGAGAGCCCTGAGGAGACCAGAGAGGGGTTTTCTCCAGAGAAAGGGGACGGGTTCGTGAAATGCATCGGGTAGAACGCAGTCGAGCAAATCGGGAGCAGGAGTCCAGTCACGTCGTGTAGGCTCAGAGTGAAGAAGAAACCGAATCCCACGTCAGGATGGTACCGACGACGAGCATCCTCCTCCTGGTCTTCGGAGTCCTGGTGAACCTGGTGGCGGCCCAGTTCCGGTGTCCAGAGTCCAAAGGATTCTTCCCAGACCCGGAACAGTGCGATCTCTACTACGCCTGCGTAGATGGCCAACCGGAAGAGAGGCTCTGCAAGGACGGGCTCGTCTTCAGGGACGACAACCCGAAGAAGGAGTTCTGCGACATCCCTGCTAATGTTCCCTGCGGGGACCGCACGATTCTCCGTAAGTCCTGCCGATATTTCCTGGAAATGGGATTATGAGTAATCACGGTTTTTACGGCAGCCTAAATTACACTTAACTCGGGCAAATTGGCTGCAACGTATTGGATGTTGAAACAGGGTACCGAGGTATAGGTACACCAAGACTGGACGAGATAGGATATTTTTACACGTTTTTACACGTGTTTGTTAATTTTTCATATGGTTAGTAAAGTAGCAAAATTGGGGTTGGATTTTAAGGAGAGCTAATGAGAATTTATGTGCTCTTATGTTTGCGAAGAATGGTTGGGTGTCCGATGGTTTTAATGTCTATTTCGGATAAATTATTGTTACCTGTATTAAATACAAGGAAAGTTGTTCACCGGGTATATAAGTACATGTTTGATTAAGTGCTTTAGTTTCATTCGTTTGATTTCATCGCGAATTGGTTTTTGCTCAGTTTTTAATAAAATCTTTATTTCAAAGTCGCGAGTGCCATGTGAGCGTGACTAAATCAAGTGTTCATCTCTTTGTATAAGATACTATTAAAAAATCAAATTTATCGTTACAAGGAAATACCATAATGTAGCAGTACTAATTACGTTTTTAACTTTTCTTTTTCACAATATGCGATGTTTAAATTAATTTTCTTAACGGTATTACAGAGGAACCTCAGCCTAGCAAGGGTTGTCCACGTTCAAATGGATACTTCAGAGACGAGGATCCCACCGCTTGCGACAGATTCGTGAATTGCATCGATGGTATCCCCCAAAGTATGCCATGTCCACCAGGACTCATCTACGAGGACAAAATGGCCGCCTGCGTTTGGCCTGCAGATGCATCTCGTACTTGCAACGACGTTAGACGCGACGTCCTCGACGACGGATTTTCTTGCCCCGAAGGAGATGTCGCAGGACCTCTCGGCAGGATTCTTCCTCACCCAACCTATCCTCATCCCGAGGACTGTTCCAAATTCTACATTTGCAGAAATGGAGTCAGGCCGCAAAAGGGCCAATGCGAGGACGGGACCGTCTACAATGAAGATAGCTTCCGGTGCACCGAACCTGATAACGTCCCAGGATGGTAAGATTTTTCTATCATTGTTCCTTCTACATTCTTAAATATATTTCTGTTACAAAACTATTTATCTTTATCATTAAGCAGATAATATAGATTTTTCTAATTCCTTCTCTATCCCCGGTGGGTAAATATCCACACCTACAAGCTAATGCAGTTTATTAATAATTTCTTCGACACACCAGTCTATTCCTTGGATTAATCTGAAAATGTGTGAAAACAGTTTCATTTTATAAAATCCGTGGAACTGGTATTCTGCACCAATAGGAAATGGACTTAAAAATAAGATTGTACGAATGCAAAATTGTACACGATGATAAGCATATGTCTGCGAATTAGTGGAAGAGAAATTCCGTGGGCTTCTCGACTGGCGGTAATGTTTCAGGAAAAAGAATGAATGAAATGTCACCGGATAATCAATCGACTCTGACCGTATCGATAAGGCCTAAGTATTTCTCTTCACGTAACACCGAGTCCACGTGTAGCGACCGTTACATCCTGATCTGCATTCTGCAGTTGTTTCTAACGGTATAAAAGCCAGAGTTCGATGAGCTCTGACGAGAATTCTTGCTTCTGTTTCAGCGAGGACTACTACAAGAAAAAGAACTGAATGAAGCTCCGCTAAGCAGTGTAACTCATATCTTCTAGAGTAATAAATAATCTATTCTTACGTAAGAACCAGACATCCGTGTTGTCGTTTCTGGGCGGGAACCCTAACCTCTCAAAAAGGCGTCCTTGCCAGGGCGGTTCTTCGGGGTACCTCGTCCTTGTATTCCAGCAGGGTCGCCTGTAAGGAATTATTGCCATAGTTAGTCTCTGTCGACGGAAAATTTCACTACGTCTTAGGGGGACATAATTGGAGCCTTTCTCTTTGCATAAATCCGAGTTTACAAGTCAAAGTGGTCAAAGAGCGAAATCGGATACTCCTTATCTGAAGACGCAGCCACGAGGTGCAGAGGTCGAGGAATCTAACCAGTAATCTTATGGGCGATGTTTGTATTGTAAGAATTTTCTTTAAGCGTTAAGTATAGTGGTCGAGTCTATATATCACGGCGGGAAGATTTAAGGTCGAGTCGTGCGGAACATCTCGCCCTTGCAATGTCGCCGATAAGGAGTAATAGCAATTATTTCCCCAAGACGAGCCTGGCTCTTTTATCACCGTCGTAACGTGTAAATTAGAATCCACCTATCTATACGATTCTCAATTCTCAATGTACCAAGTCCCCTTAATGGCGAACATTACTTTACACAAAAGTTTCTAACGACCTCACAGTATTCACATTCGATTAGTAAAGGATCCAAAAAGTGTTATAGGATGGTTTTGTCAAACTGACAAGGGATTTCATCACTTCTGAATTACCCGTGGGACGTAATTGGGACCTTTCACTTTACATAAGTCCCGGTATTCATGGCGACGCCTGGGAGGCATCGGAGATGCTCTGCTCGTAAATACCTCGGGGAAAGCAAAAAGCGGTCTAAGAAGAACTTTTGCATCATCGAATGTTTTACAGGCACTCTGGACGATATCAAAATGGCAAATCGGTGTCAAACAATGTCGAAACTCTTGATTTTAATTACCCTGTTCGGTAATTGTAGCGGTTCCTTGTACATATCTTCGCTACAATACTTTTAAATCCTGTCGGATGTCGGAAAGTAATCAATTGCAAGGTTTCCACGATTCCTGCCCACTTTGTACGTAAGAATTCGTATCAGTACTCGTGCACATGTCGGCAAAATCGAATCGGCGGCTTTCACTATCGTCGTAAGTCGTTCGACTCGAGATCTGGTTCGCTCGTCGAGTCTTGCCGAGATCTTGCGCAAGGCTCGTCGAGGTCTCCGGGCCTTAACCGTGTAAATGGCTTTGTTCCTGGTGCCCTGCAACAATTCGCGCTCGTTCACACGTTAAGCATCTTACGTGTGCGGAAGAAAGCGCCAAATCGTAAACGTAAACCATCCGGACGCCTTCCCCGGAAGCTGCGGGTTAAACGGAACGTTTCCGCCGTAGAAACGCGAAATTCGGTCTGCTTATTTTTCTCTTTCCATCTTTCACGCGTGTAAAGGAAAGTGCCGCGGGATAAAAATGAGAAAAGGTAGAAAGTCTTGAATTTTCCCCCTTCTTTAGACAACCCTTGGCTGAAACATTAAGTGGAGACAAATCTCGGTATTGCACACAATTTCAACATTCAGCTTGGAAAATGAAACCGTTGGAATAATTGTTTTAAGATAGAGAATGCTTGTTGGAACATTTCCGAGCTTTATTGTCGCAATGAAGCGTTAGGGTCTTTAACTGTAATCAAAGTGTCGTTGTGAGAAATATGTACAGAAAATTTCTACCAATTATCGTATCCTGGGAAACTATGAAATGACGAAATAATTGTACAATGTATAAATAAAGAAATGTTTCTACTCAAATCGTCTTATTCCCTTTATTGTGAACAAATGTACTTTGCATTTGAAAAATCGTACCACGGTATTTGCGGTTCATTTAACTTCAGTAGGTACTTCAATATTATTCCGAATTAATTCGGAAACGCAACTCGAGTAAAATGTGCAAATGAGAAAAATATACATTGCACAGTGGATCATGATACAATGTGTTCCCTTACCTTGGATTACAGATTAAGAAATGAAATTAAATATGAATTTTTATTTTACATTTGACAGTGCAACGAAAACAATTTGCTTCTGTGTACACATAACCGATCGTAAATATTTTAACTGATTTAAGGTATATTGTAGTCTTCATACGACATTTCTACACAAGAGTGCGTAAATTCCCGATAATTGTAGAAACAGAAGGGTCTATAAATATAACCAAATTATACGTATCTGCATGGTGTCACGTAAATCTACCTAGGTGGAGTTCCATTAAACAGTCTTCCGATGTCGCCGCAGAAATGAAAATCTCTCTACGTGATTGTCCTCGCAAATAGCCGCGCAGGAAACGCTCAAGGTTTCTCTCGGTTTGCGGGAAGAAAGTAAGTATGCAATTATTGGCATCAGCGACGTGTTCAACAAATACATCTGGAAATAGTCTGAATTCTGATTCCGACTTTCCCAGAAAACCACCACCGAGAAAAGCGTTTCGATGTTGCCTTGATCGTTAAAAGAAAAATCTATCGTTACCGCCTATAGTTTCACATTCTTCCGCCTCTCGTGATTTTAAAAGCCTTTCAAATCAGGAATCTGGTAAGAGGCATTTCTGACATAAGTGCTGGGTGGGTCATTACAAGTTCGGTCGTTCGTACCGCATTTACATGCAGAGTGTTTGCAGAGTTTACACGAAGTGTCTTTCCCACGCGATTACTAGCAGGAACATTACAGGTACTTTAGGCTGTACGCAAAATGTCTTCGCGATACGTGTTCTCGGTTGTCGCGTTTCGTTTATCACTTCCCATCGGAGATAGTAAACCCATGTATCTACTATCGCGTTCGTGAATTCAATGTTTTGTTATTTGCTCTTTAATGGTGCATTAGATCTGCCCGACCATAATTTTTTATGGATTGCTGTATCACCGTGAACGAGGTGAGATGTTGGATGGACATTAAATGAAATATTTTATAGACAGACCGTCCTTAAGAATATCAAGAAAAAGACGACAATTCAATTAAAGGAATAAGAGGTAAAATGGGAGCGGAAATAAATACCCGCTCGAATCGGCGACTTCATACATAATTATTACATTATTAAAACAATTACGTGAGTAACCGGTTACCCGACACTTGGCCAATTACCTAACGAAGCTCGCCAGCAACCACATCAAATATGAAATCACTCCGGCCTGAAGCTACAAATCCGTTGACATAACGTGCGAATACCTTGAAACGAGTACCCATTAAATTAACCACATACTCGCAATCCTTAAAATCAAATACCGATAGCCATCATAACTAGCTTAGTTTTTACAACGAATACCTCCATTGATAACATAAAACTGCACAACTGTAAACATTCCACAATACTCAGATTTATTTCCAAAATCCCACGAAGGAATCTTAAAGTACTTCCGAAAATACAATAGCGTTTTGCTTAGAAATTAAAAGTCACGCAGGAATCCCATTCCCGCCGCCATTTCCTCGTTTCCAGGGAAACAACCCCCCAGGAATCCTATCGAGGTTAGTTCTTGCCTGAGGAGGAAGGAGGCACGCGTCTCGGCGTCGAATCCGCAAAAAAAGCGATTGTTCCCGTCTCCTGGAGCAGGGAAAGAAAGCGCGACAGACGCCGAAAGACGGGCGTCAGCGTCGATCACGAGCAGAGCCCAAGTCGTGGGCAGACAGAGAGGAGGCGAGCGGGCGCCGTGGGCGAGCGAGAGAGAGAGAGAGAGAGCTCGCGGGTCCGATCGGCCCGAGTGAAGGGACAGGCGAGTCGGGAGAGCCGAGGCCAATAGGCGCCGCTCGACTAACTTCAGTAGTCAGTCCGTTCCGAGAGCAGACATGAGCCGTCGTGGCAGCCTGACCCTATTGGCCCTGGCGGGCCTTCTGAGCTCCGGTGAGTATCCTCCGACTTTGGCGACGAGCCGCGCGCGTCTAGTGCATCCCTCTTGCGGCGCCTCCCTAACCGTGCCCTGATTGGTCGGATTCGCCCTGCGCCCCCCGGCGGGAATCTCGAACCTCGCGCCGCCGCGACGCTTGCGACATCTCCGGAATTCTTGCACGGCGGAACCAGCTTTCACCGGGTCACCGCGCCAACATATGGTCCGCCGATGACCTGTTGCAATACGTAGATGCGCCGCCACTCGGAAGTTCGCGCCGCGCAAGCTCGAGTCCTTTCGGCGCGCGCCATTGGTTGCGGAGATGCGCACCATGGATGCGCAGCGCGCACCAATCGCGAGCCGAGAAAGACTCTGGAACGTCCAACGAACATTCCCCATGGACGTTGGATATATGGACCCCGACCGTGCAATCGCTCAAATAATATTCCTGTAACCGCAATGAGATTAAAAAAGGGCGGATAAGGGACGATCCTTTCTCTCTTGCTGTCGGATTGTCTCCATATGCGCTATCACTATCAGAAGGAAAGAGAGAGAAAGAGGACGTTTCTTGTTTTTTGTATCTCAATGTTTCTGCCGTCACAGTCGAATCGGCATTCGGAGTCCATGTATCCTGCATATAATGTACTCACGTTTCCTGTTTTTCTGGTTTTTTTGAGAGAGCAGATTAAAACGTAGCTTGAAAACGATGCGGGAATTTAGATCGAGAAAGATTAAAGTACGTTAGAAGTATGTTAACATGTTTGCACCTGGGAATTTCCACGCTTCTAATGCCGAATGCTGGTCCTTGCGGAAACCAGAAATGATATTCGTGAATTCGAGTCAGCGCCAAGAAAGAGGATTATAAATTACGTAATTTTACGTCAGCAACTGTGAATGCGTTAAAGGCTTCGGCAAACCTTTTTTTTTTACTACTTACTATTGACTTCAAAATAAAATTTACGGACAATTTGAATAATATAGCTCATGAATAAACAAGTTAAGTTGTATTCGGCATGGGATTGTCCTAATTTGGATAATTCATTAATTGGTTCGTTTCCTTTATGCAATGGGGACAGGTGGTAAGGACCGAGAGCAATTTGTCGAATTCCTCGTTGGTAGAAAGCTTGCCCGAGGGCTTTTTACGCCACCCAAAGCATGCCGCTGCTTAAAACTACATTCGAGGATATGTACGACTTATGAAGCTCCGGGAGTTACTTAAACTCCCGAGGTAATTTCCATAATTAGACACGGCATGGATTATGTAAAATTCTGCCCGGTGATGCGGCGTGGCAAAAATGAATCTTCCACAAACGACTTGAAAACCCGCGATCGAGAGAGTACTCATCATCCAATCTTACTTCAAAGTAACATTAATGTTACGCTGAGAGTTGCGCGAAAAAATGTCATACAAAAATGTTATTTTATATTCAGGTTAACCATTTCTTCTATCTGGTGATTTCATTTGAATCTGTAAATGTACTAATTTATATTATTTATTTAATTCAGCTTCGGCCGCTGCTTTATTTGGAGCACCCTCGTGCCCGGAACAACATGGAGTGCAGGCGTATGCACATCCTGAGGACTGTAACTCCTTCTTCTTGTGCACGAATGGCACCCTTACCCTGGAGCACTGCGAGAATGGTCTGCTTTTCGACGGCCACGGTGCAGTGCACAATCATTGCAACTATCACTGGGCAGTGCATTGCGGAGAACGCAAGGCTGATCGTACGTATCGAGTTACGCTCTTAATAGAGCGGCCCTGATTTATTTCATAATCCATCTAATAGATCGAAGGTGACCCAAGGATTCATTATCGAACTGCACTGGTTCTCAGTTAAATCCCCTGCATATTCGCATAATTGTAAAATCTTTCATAAAAAGGTTTAGAAAAAATAATCCAGCCTATGCAACTGTTACCTGCTGAATAAAAAATGTATTTTTGTTTTCAGATTTCAGAGAACGTTAATTTTTTGTATGTGCGGAGTGTTATTCACTCCAACTCTTGCAATAATCAAGTGTTCGATCAATACTGACCACAGGGTTTGTAATCAAAGCATTCTCTATCGAATGGGTTCAATGCGGAAACCACATTTTCGAATGATCTCTTCGAGAAAGAAGTGCACAGTTGCACTTCCGGAGGAAAAACTCCACTGAGAGAAAGTAACCGCGGAACGATCGCGATTAGCTTCACGATAAGTGCATTTTCTGTCTTGTATCGAAAGAGGAAGTTTGAGGGAAAAGAGAAAATTTGCATCCACGACTTGACGAAGACTTCCTAGGTGGCGAACGATAGAAAATGTATGCTTTCTAGTCGCTTATTCCCTGAAGTTACCATTTTTTCCAACACTTTGAAAGTAGTTGCTCCAAAGTTTTTATCGTCCTTGAAAGGCACGCGTGTATTTTGTGCAGACTCGTATTACGTATACTAACGTACACTTGTTATTCTTAAGATGCAAATTTATTTGCATTAAAGTTTCCGTAGAAATTCCTATCTACGAATAAACAAATTTATTTTACTTTCCAGCTTCCAGTATCATTATGTTAATTCCATATGTAACATTTTATAATTAAAGAACTTTTGTAGAAAGGAATTATTTTACCAGTGGATCATTGCGGCAGTTGTAATTTACAGTGACGCCATATAGCTCGCCAGGCTGCGAGTACCAATTCGGTTTATATGTAACATCTTATAATTAAAGAACCTCTGTAGAAAGGAATTATTTTACCAGTGGATCATTGCGGCAGTTGTAATTTACAGTGACGCCATATAGCTCGCCAGGCTGCGAGCACCAATTCGGTTTATACCCGGACAGCGATTCGTGCAGTACCACCTACATAAAATGCACGCATGGAGTGGCTCTCCAGGATCATTGCGATCCAGGATTGGCTTACGACCACAAAACCCACACATGCGTCTGGCCAGACCAGCTTCTGCCATACTGCAACCCTGAGGCTATAGTGGGCTTTAAATGCCCCCAGAAAGTCCCAGCTCATACCCCTGCTGCGAAATTCTGGCCCTTCCCGAGGTAACTGCGCACTAAAAAGCCGCAAATTGCTCTCAACGACTCATACGCTTCTTTTTACAAGGAGAAACCGAACGAAAGGTGACTCTTATTCAATGTAACTTTCCAGGTTCCCCGTGCCAGGTGACTGCGGTAGGTTGATTACCTGCGTGGAGGGACATCCTCGTCTGATCACCTGCGGCGACGGCAAGCTTTTTGACTCGGTCACTCTCTCCTGTTTGGACCCTGAGGAGGTTCCTCACTGGTTCGTATCACCTCCAGTTTGCTTGAAAAAAAAAAAAAAAAAAAAACTCGAAAGTATGCTCGATCCGAGCGATTTTATCTTTATTTTCACTTCCACATCCTGTCGCCTCGAAGGTACTTTATCGCTATGAATTAAGTTTCTTGACACCACTATAAATGGTATGCACGTTATAGGCAACGTGATAAATTCCGGCAATGTGCACGAGATTTTATAGATTGCCTGTAACGTACATTGAACAATCTGGATGAAACTAGTCTCATGCCTTGAACGAATTACCTTGCTGTCTGGGACATATTCTGATAAGTTCTAGCCGCCTTTTCAAATGATAATTCTTGTTAAAAGTCTATTACAAGACGAAATGTTCTTTACAGCGCCAACCATCTGTAACAAGCTTCGTCCACAGCGATGCAAACTGAAAAGCTGGAAACGAGGAACCCTTACCGACACCTTTGACATCAGTGACACCATCGACACCTTTCACACCTCAGACTTCATTTACATGCGACGACAGGTGCAGCGTTTCTCAAGCCGATAGGTTCCACATTCACGCCATCGCGGACAAAATCGCTCAATTTCGTAAAAGCGACATGCAACCGACCTACGGGAAACCGTATCCGGGGGATCCCCATTCCCCGCACGTAGGTCCTATAGGATCCGCCATCGAATCGATCCAAGAACCCGCGTCGAATTAGTTTCACTGTACAGCACCCCATCGCGAGACGAGAGGGCCGAGAGGCGTAAATAAAATGATACCCCGTTTAGACGTACGTATAAAAATATACAACGACGCTTTATTGCACGAATCTACGTAAACTTACGCAGTACAATATAAACACCACGAGATGCGGACGCGAGCGAATAGAGACGAGCAAGGGACACGTGGGGGGAATATTTACACGTCGACAGCGAAATAGAAAGGAAGTAAAGGGAAATAAACTTATCGGGGAGGTGCGAGGTTCCGGAGAGCGGGTCGTCAAACGATAATATTCTATAAAATAATATAAAATAATATTAATAATTAAGTAGAGACGAGATGTCATCGGGCACGCCAAGAGGAGTGCGCAGGACGTCTCTCGCGGCAGGTCCACCTGGATCCTGGTTTGCAGGACTCGTTCGACTTGGCTCTTCCTGAACTCGAGGACTCTCGGGGATTGGGATTAACTCGAGATTGAGTATAATAAAGGTCTTTTAATTTCTAGCCCTCGCTCTTAGGGGAATCGGCACCGCCCCTGATGGCAGGGGAGGCACTCCTGGTGGCAGGTTCTCCTCTTCGGGCTCCTGCTCGTTTCTTCCGTCTGGAAGGTCCCCGTCAAGGTTTGGCGGGGTTGTGGGCACGTCGCAGTCCTCCGTCGGTGGCACCACGCATCTCAAAGATCTCCTGTCGAATACCAACATGGCGGGACATCTCTGCAGACGAGGGTAGCCTCCCTGGCACTGCCAGTATCGGTTGCAGGATTTTCCCAGAGGGACGTTGCCGTTCGCGTCGTCGTTGCACAGAGCTGGAAAAAACACGACGAATGTGGAAATATCTGAACGAGTGGATGAATGAGGGATGAGGATGTTTCGCTGGAAGTGAAAAACGCGTGGGCGCGTCGAATAACGATTACGGGAGATCCTTTGTACTGATCATCGCAATCTGGCTTGATGGGACATTGTGGCCAGGGTTAGGCGTGATTATACTGGTTTAAAATTTCATACAACCTGTAGGATGTAATTTCTTTGGGATCGATCGCATCGTAATTACTTAACGATACGATGGAGGTTGTCGTGGAGTGATTATGGAATTTTTATCGGGGCTTTTTCGAGAAATTATTCGGACAGGCTCCTTCAACAAATAGGACGTAATTGTGAGAAATTGGGAGAACGTAAATCGAGGTGGTGAACGATCGTCTCCTGGTTTCTTCAATATTAATACAAATGTCCTCGAGGAGCTCAGGTATGACTGCAAGGTATGTACTGCTAGTTTCCGAGAAGGTGCACGTGGGTTGCACATACCTGGGCGACAATGCGCGTCGAAGTCATACCTACGCTGAATACCAATTAGAGGCTCACCCAGAGATCCTCGGGGCCATTGACTTCGACAAGTACCGACTATTCGAGAAACTGATTGCACAACGAGTTCTATTATTGAGAGAAAAGAAAAGAAAAAAGTAAGACCCAATGGCACAGGAGATACGAGGGAAGACGCTCTCTCTTACGATAGTCAAGGGTTGAAGAACTCGTAACGACCGAACGTAATGGCTATTGTCTTCAAGTACCCCAGTTCACCGGATGGATGGAACCAGCGAAGAAGAAAACCACCCACGTATACAGTGTTTCTTCACTCTCGTTAAACGAGTTATACTAATTAGATAATGACCTGCACTTTACTCGGAACGAGGTCGTCACTGACTCAGACAGGGAGGAGTAAAAATCTATCGATGCGTAACCCGACCGATAAAAATGAAAATTGCCACCGACTTGCGGGTCCCATTAACGATCCACATTGACTCGAGTTTTATCGCAATGATAGATATCGTCCTTATAATCAACGTCATGGACTACACCTGCACATCTTGAGATCTCAATCCTGAACCAAGAGACGCATTTGGACCTACCCACCTCCAAGTAGCACATTTCTTCCAGTTAGAGGGTCCTAGAAAAATCATTATAAATGAAAAATGTTTAACTGTTAAGGATCTTACGGTGCTTTTGGCATCCCTCCACGTTTTCCGGCCAATCGCAGGACCTGGCTCTCTCGTTGTAGAGGAGACCCCCGATGCAGAGCTGTTCCGTTGCGGTTCCGTTCCAACAGGTCCAGTACCTGGTGCAGGAGGTCTCGTGCCCGAAGATCCCGTACAACCAGTCGCAATGTTCCGCACCTATGGGGGGATTAGCTTGGCGTTTTCCATCGCAGTAATTGGCTCGCCAGGGGTAATCGCATCCCTCGGTCACGCCTCGGTGTTTTCCAGCAAAGACCAGTCCATTTGGGCAGTCGAATAATTCGGGACGTCCGTTGACACATTCCCAATACCGGTCGCAGTATTCGATGTCACCCACCACTCTCACTTTCGTCTGGCATGGGTCATCCTGTTGCTCCTTCTGTGCGCCTAGACCTGGGGAAGCATCAGATAGGATCCCATTAATTTCACTTTCAAATTTCTACTTTCACTCGAGCTAATGCGCGCGATAATGCTGGTATTAGTTAACTTATGGGTTAGGTGGAAGGATAGGAAACGAGTATTGGATGCAGATATGACGAAAGGAGTTAAAAGGGGAAACCTTTCTGGAAATGTCTTATCCTGACCTCTGTATTGAGTATGGTCTTGAATTTTCAGAGATTGCCATAAAAAAAAAGAACATGCTTCGTCTTAACGGCAGTAACTTTGAATTTCTTAAATTTATGTGTAATGCTCCATTAATTTGAAAAAAAAAATGGATTTATTGGGAAGTATCGATACTTCATTGAATATTTTAGAGTCGCTCTCACTTTCTTAAGGCCACTTTCATCTACGACCATGATGTTCTTAGTCAAACACGACCTCAATTTTCACTTTCATATTTCCACTTTCGTTCGTATCGGCGATAACTCCAGGGAAACCAGAAATAAATGTTAGTATTTCATAGGTTACCTTTTTAAAAAAAATTCACCACTGAATCGAGCATTTTACGACCGCTTCCGATAAGGATGTGTCATTTTAGGTCGAACTTGCCCAAGAACATGGACATTATAAATAACGACATCGTCGAAGTCTGACATTTTCATCCACATAACGATTCCCGGCAGCGAACAATTAATTCATATCGATATTACAGGCTCGAAGTATTAATAGTTTACTGGATACTTCAGGTTTGTAATCTCACTTTCAGATTTCTACTTTCACTTTCGTTAATGATAACCCTATGTAAATACGACCCGACTCATTGAAACTTACCAAGGAAAATGCCCACCCTTTAAATGAAAATAATTTAAAAATTAATTTAGGTATCGAGGAATTGATTATTTCACTTCTGGTGAATCTTCTGATACGCATTAGTAATAATATCCACTATTACTTAATATTATCAAATTACGTAAAGCCAGGAATAAGTGTTAACTAACATCTCGAAGCAACTTTCTCGCTTCTATACGCGCATCCTATGTTGCATGTCATTTACACCTTGCACAGCGATCGGTGTAACGAACACGTTTGCCGAAGCGAATCGACACATGATTGGCAAAGAGTGATGAATTTATCGGTTTTCGTGGAATATAGAAAGCGTTTCCACAAGCTGGGAATAAACGAGTTTCTCCGCCTCTTCGATGGATGCTGTTCTTGCCGGGGCAGAAAGTGACCGTATCAAAAGGCATGGATAAATTTCCGACACTTTGAAATTTTTACCCCATTGTTTCTGACTTTCCATAAACTGCCGTTCCATTACATCCGAAAGACTATACAACGAACATTGGATGCATTTTGGCGAGAGGCCGCCATTTTCGCGCTGCTTGATATAATTTCCCGACCTCCTTTTTATGGAGAATTACGCAAGTATGAAGCAAATAGTTGTAGAGAGGCGATTGCATGTAAGCTTAAATGGAATGGAGAGGTGCTCGAGTCTTCGGGATTGCGAGAAAACTAGGGGAATGCCTTTACGATCTGGTCATCCATTTACGATCTCGTGGATCCAATGGCCGCCAAGGACGTCACTCTTGCTCGTGGAAATGTGATCTTAAGTGAGATGGAAAATCTGTATCTGGGTACGCAAGGAAAGATACAAAAGAAGCTAATTCTTTTCTCTTCTCTTTTCATCCCATGTTTGATTTTGTCTCGTTGGTCGATTTCTTCAACACTGATCTAGAAGGTGACAGGGAACGGACGTTACCCAACGGTGATATTCCTAGGACCGATAAATTCCTTATTACTCTTCCAGGATATCGCAAAACCTGGTTAAGAAAAAAGTGATGTTGCTTAAATAACTATGGTTACGAGCCCTCGTCTTCTTTGTTATGTTTTTCTTGTTCTGCATATTGACGCCTTTTTGTCGCTTACGTCACTGTTCGATGTCGTTCTTCCGAAGTTTGACTTCCGGTAGCAGCGGTTTTCCCGGTCTAATAAGACGATTCGGTGTTTTAGTTTCGCACAGGCATCGCGAAATATCATATCGATACGATCGAACCGATACATCCGATCGGCTCCCTTCTGGAGTATCAAATCCGCAGTACTTTATAATGCTCCAAATAATTTTTGCAAAGTACAAATATTGCTAAGAATAGTACCAATCCCATCCAGAGCAAAAATCTCCGTCTACATTACAGGAAGTTCCCCTAGATAATGAGATTCCTTAACCCTTTAGTACAGAGTCTTTTCGACATATGGGCGAAATTCATCAACACGTGCAAGCAATATTGGACCAAACGTTGGACACCTTTAGACGCCTTTTGGAGGTAAAGAGTTAAAGAAAATCATAATTCGTCATTCCAATGTAGGGGACCGCTTTCTTTCCTCGAATCTGCACTTGAGGCATCGTGAATATCTTGTCGTTTCCTATCGATACGATCGATCCGATACATCCGATCGACTCCCCCTGGAGGAACAGGACTGCACTGCCCTGAAGGTCGTAAGTCAAGGCTACGCACTTTCACTAGCTCGCTCTCTTGGGAGCGTGGTTCCAACATACTTCCCAGCTTACTTCGGATTATTACACGGTTCCATAGCCGCCAGTCTCGTTCTTAGCCGCCTCTCGAGTCTCCAGAGATCGCAACGAGATCGGAAAGGCATCTTATCCGCTCCTTTCCTGCCCACTTTGTCCCTAGAAGAGTCTTCGGCAGTGCTCCATTTATGGATCCGCTTCGCTTCTCAAAGAGCAATCGCGAAGTCCAACGGATTCAAATTTTAACGATAATATAATATACCATAATTATTGAAGATTCTTAACCCTCGGCTCATATCAGTAGAATCGTGCTCGGCCGAAATCTGTTATCTGTAATATTTCCACAGATTCTTTCAACTCTAATTTGTTTAAATAATTATTTAAACAGTGTTTTTCCTATTCTGAGATGATGCCCCCTAATCTAGAAGGCTCAATGAATATTTCGGTACAAATTGATCTAATTTACATAATTTCAATGTTATTTAGTAAACTTGGGACAGGAACAAGCCATGAACGTGAGCTACGTTGATCGAAAGCCGCGAACTGAAGCAGAAAATAAATATATTTCCGGAAATTTATAATTAAAGTAAAGTATCAAATAAAGTACAGATTGTATTTCGAACAATCAGGAAATGGGGGAATTTTTACAAGATTTTGAAATTTGCAGGGTAAATAAGGAATCGAATTTCCCAAGAAAATTCTGATAAAATGGAACTGTACTTTAGGGTTCTTTAAAAATTGTCTTTTTATGTAGAAATGGGTGAATCCATCGGATTATCCTCACATTTCTGGTTAATTATATTTAAGATACATCGACAAGATCTCAGAACATAACTGTGTCAATAGAACGAAGAAGCGCATCTTGTTCACCTCGCGATTCGCAAACCTTCGGTTGAGAAAGAAATGCGGAATCTCTTTATCTAACGGTCCGCTGTCTTATTATGCATTAATTTATGCCGTTATTGTGTCGCCTAGTCTAATCGAAGGAAATAACCGCCCGTTGCAAAATGGCTGGTGGGGCTTTGAAATAAATTACGGCCTGTAGGTGAATTACAGCGCGAGGGAGTGGGCTTACATTTCTCTCACCTACTTGTTAATTTTTCTCTTCACCGTCCGCAGTTCGCGTGCTAATGTATCCGCACATTCGCGTGAAAAGACGTTCACTCGTGACGTGACTGTCAGGCTTTAGAGAATATTTATGATCCAGTCTTAACGAGGAAAAAAAATCACCGAGCGTCTGTAAACTTTCAATCTGGCTTATAGTAAGTCAGGGGCGATGATGATTCAGGACAGTTTTATTGGCGAGAGAAATGTTTCCTTGTGAAAGTAAACGCGATATTTATGCATTCAGTGATCGTCGGAGGCTTTCAATGGCGTGATTCTCCCCTTTACCGGCACGAAATAATTCAATTGACATACTTTTGCCACGATTTTCCTGTAAGATAACAAATCTTACGCTTTGCACGTGCACTGTAACGTTAATACCATTTACGATTCACATAGTTAACGTGTTTAATATAAGATTTAAATACTATAATGCAGGGGGGAAGAAGAGATCGATATTTGCTAATTATGAGTAACTATGAAGAATTGGAATTATTTTATGTACGTAGTGTGGGAGTGCAAGGAAATGAATGAACGTGAATGAAACTCTTTGCGGTGTTAGGGTCACATAATAATTCGTGCGTTTATTAATTCGCGGAAGTAATGTTATTTATTTCCACCGACAGGGCTACGATTACACCGTTAGTATTATTGGCTAGGTTACCGGTGTTTATGATGCCACCAAGTGCACGTTAACGAGTATCTACAATTACGGGGAAACGAGTGATTCTTTCACCCGGCTTCATTACCCGGCAGATCATAGCATACGCCATTTCTGTATTTAATAGCTGACACTAACGGCGGTAAACCCCAACTACGCCGACAATTTCTTGCTCCTTAACACCTCGAGTTAGCAATTAAATGAGATCCGTTTCCACATATTTCAATGGGATAAAAGTGTAATTGCAGGCGTGCTGTTCGAATGTTTCCGGGATTTTTTTACGGGCTAGGGTAAATAATCCAGAGGAATCGAGTGTTTCGCTTATTGTGGGATGAATTTTTATCATTGAAATCGGTGGCATTTAACGATGTTTTTTTTATGTTTAAAATTTACCACTGCACGTGCGTACTGTATTCCGGGATAGTTATGTAAATTATGGGGAAGAAATTGCTCGTGTGTTGCTCATGCGTTGCCGCCATATTGCCTCTGGTCAACGCCGTGAGCGAAATCGGAGACATCGCAATTCCCGTTCAATTACGTAAAGCCGGACTTGTACCGGCTCTCGGTGTCTGAAATCAGCTTAGCGGCATTTACACCTGTTGTCGAAAAGCCGGAACCGTGGGGTTTCCATTTGACATTTACATGCTTTTAGTCTAACAGGTTTACCCGATTAGACTAAATTGGATTCTTCTCTTGAAATGGCTTATAACTATCCGTGCCCATATTTCACTTAGAAAATCTAATGACGTAGGTAAAACCGGCAACTACCTCGATCTTTCCCACACGCCTATTATAAAATATTCTCCTGACCTATATCTCACGAGATTGAAAACTTCATTACGAAAACATGATTAGTTTAATTTAAAAGAAATCCAGAAAACCTAAAATATCAAACCTACCGTTGGTACAAAACTATTCCAAGTTTTTACGAAGAAAAAGCAACGTGGGCCGTTTTTTTCCCATTAATCGAGGAAAGATAAATGTATTTCGCAAGCTTTTTTACCCCAAATGTGTTTCTTGGAGGAAACTCGACAAGTACATCTGCAATGCCGTAAGTAAATAGTACATAGTAACCCCGTGTACAGGGCCGGCCAGGTTAAAGGGGTAATATAAAAAATAATACGGAACCAGAAAATGACACCTGGCCCCTGAACATTGAGTTACCGCACCCTACATACTAAATCTGTAACGCCATATTAGCGTTAACGATATGACTTAACCACACTCATCTAAATCTGAAAATATAACTCTCCATTTAATCGAATCAAGTTCCCGATCGGTTATGTAAACCTCGCTTAAAGTTGCTCCGCAGTAACCGCCTCGTGCAGCGCAGAGATCCGGACGCGTCCGGTGCACCGGGGTGAATGCGGTGCCGCCTTCGCGTTGCCTGTACGTCGCCGCAGCGTTGCCGCGGTTGCGGCGGCGCAGGCGCAGTTGCCTCAGCGTTGCCCGCACTTTGCCTCTGGCCAACGCCTCGGGTGGCACCGCAGAGACATCCCGGCTCCCGTCCGGTTATGTAAAGCCGGGCCTTACGTCGGGTAAGCTGCGTTCTCGCGTTCGTTCTCGCCGGTCACCGGGTTACTTTCCCTTCCTCTTTACGACTCCGTAAAGAGTAAATACCTAAGGAGCCCGGTGCGGTGTTAGAGAATCTAATGGCCCCTTAATGTTTACGTTTCTCGGAAATGCACCGGGCCCGACCCGGCCCCGACTTCGACTTCTTCCGCGAATCGGAGGTCGGGCCCGGAACCGCGAAAGCAAGCTCTCGATTCGCTTTTTTCACTTTCACGATTCCGACGCAATTGCGAGGGAATATCCGCGACGCCGATTAATCGCCCTCTCGATTGGCCAATACCGATCCGAGGAGTTCGAATCGACTCGTTCCGGGTTATTGCCACGAGAGTTCCTGCGCAAGGAATTTACCTCGATTCGATAGAGAAGTCGAATCGTGGTCTTCATTAGCGATCCGATACGGAAGCGCCGGTCGAACCGTAATGGGATCGATTTAATTCACTCGAGGATCTGTAAGCGATGATCAAACGAAATTTCACGCCCGGCATGTTCATTCGATACGGAGCAATCGGGAGGCAAATTTCAGAGAGAAAAGAACGATTTATCAGTATAGTACGTAATTAAGGATGCTTGCACTTTTATCGCCATTTTGATGCATGAAATACTCAGTAATTTCTAATCTTTCAGTTATGGCAGGGTCCTTTGTCGTAATGGGTGGAATTTTCCTATCATCCTTTGTGCACGGATTATTTATCGATTTCTAATTATTCCCCATTTCGCGATTACGCTTTAGTGTTGTCGCAGTGCTATTCTGAATGAGAATTTAGGGATTTATCATTTAATCTAATTCATTAATTTCTTTTCTAATATCGTCACAATTTGATTTTAGGCGGAGACGTTCATTACTAATGCGGAATCACATGGGAAAGAAAACGACATCTCGGCGTAATTAAGTTTAATTACAAATGGGAGACAGAAAGGGAGAAACCATAGGGGGAAACGGAGACGGAGAGGGAGAGAGATCGAACGAGAGAGTAAAATGCCGGTCGAGCGACTTTCATATTTTCACTTGGGAGACACGGGAGAAAGTTCTCTCGGGATGTGTGAAACTTCTCGAACCGACGACTATTGTTTTCGCAAAATTAGCCGCAATTAAGTAGTTAGACGTAAGGTGCAAGGCACCGTAGCAACCATTCAACGTCGAATGTTGCTTCTGTCACGGAAAGTATGGCCGAAGTAGTGAAGAATAGAAAGGATGAATCTTCCTTCCTTATATTGAAATCAGGTCGATCGATCTCGCTTCTTCGGCGTAATCGGAAAGAAAAATCTGAGCTTGAAAAGCTTCCATAAAAGTTATCAGATCCGATTTAATTAATATAAATATATATTCGACAGATATTGATATCTGTACGCTTATCAAGTACTTTCGTTAATTGTGCAAAACGAAACTAACGAAATTACGTGAAGTTGAAGACGGATAAATGACAAAAACCGCCGCATTAAAAATATATAACAAAGTTTCAGATCCAGATCTAAGAAGTGTATTTTAATTTAACGTTTTTGTTTACATCTTCAATGTATTCCCTAACGTCGTGTAGAAAAAATATCCTAATATTGTTACATTATAATGGAATAAGTCTAAAATTTAAAATGGTGGAAAGAAAGAGACATTTGCCTCTTAACATTACGGGGCGATTCGTAATTAGCATAAGTATGCGTCACATGCTAGAACTCTTGCTTTCGATTGTAAAATCAAAATGATTCTGGTGATTAAAACGGCGAGACCATTGTATTTTTTTTTTTCAAGTTCGGATCCTTTTCTCTGGGCTTTAAGTACGCTCCGTAATAAAGAAGAAGGCAGTTAATAAATCCTTTCTGTCCCGCGTCTAAGGAATGGATTGCGCGAAGAAAATGGCGAATAACAGAAGTACTTTTTTCAACTCGATTTCTCAAACCAAATGTTTTTCAACTACGTCGGCAATACATATTAATCAGTCCCTTTAAACTTTCCCTTTTGCCAAATTCATCATTTTTGCACGTGTTCAATTAATTGTATAATATAATTCAATCCGCACTACTCATAAATTCAGTAGTTTGTATTGCGAAATCCAAATAAAAAAGAAAAGAATAAATCAATCTTTTCAAAAATGTGCAGAAACTAGATATTTAAATTAATTCCCTCCACCCTTAGCAACTTACCCCGCTGAGAAATATCTTCTAATAAGATTGGGACTGTTACAAAATGCATACAAGACGCGTAAGATATAGAGTAACGAAGTCACAAAAGCAGACGAGACAAGCGCACAGGGATGAATTATGAAACAGGAAGAACTGCTCGACAGGCGACGCAAGAGCTCATATTAACGGGAGAGTCGCGGCAGGATGCAATGCCAAAAGACGGACGAGCTCGGAATGGCGATGAAGAAGAGCGAAGTCGCCGGGGAGGAAGTTGACGAAGGAGAAGAGGCGCGCAAAGGACCAAGAAGAAGGCTTCGAAGGACTCACCTTGAGCGGTCAGGAGCACCAGGAAGAGGGAAGCGAGTCGCGAAGCAGATCCCATCGTGGGTCAGTGCGCGATCCTGGACCTTGGTGTCTTACTCGACCTCGAGCTCCAGCGAGGGAGGAACCATGAAACGTGGGGAACGTGGGCTGGTGGCCAAAAAGGCGACGAGAGCTGAACCGAAGAAGCTCGGCTGATGGGTTTTCGTGTCGGGACTGCTCACTGGGAGAGGCCTTTGGCTTGGGTCTTATATGAGCTCCCCACTCTCCGATTCCGGTCTCTGCCGTGCCAGGAAGGCCTCGAGGAGAGCACGCTTCTTCCACGGAGAACCTCGACCACCGGACCACCTCGTCTGGAACCTGGCTGGAGTCATCTAGGCTCTGGAAACGACCTTTCCCTGAAGAAAGATCCGTTTTGCCTCGTACTTCAGGGTGCTTTTTCTAAAAGACTTCTTCTAACGGCGATCTCCACCAGGATACTTAAAACTGCACCTGGACGGTCACGAATAAGTACAAGAATTCATTTTCAAGCCTTCATCAGGATCCTTACGTGACTTCGGGTACAATCGTTCCGTCGACGAGGACGTGATGTGAAGGCTGATGAAAAGGACCCTGCGCTTCGTGCCAGGTTCTTGGTTAGGTCTTTTTAAGAATGGTTTTTCAAGTTGGTTATACGAATCGTTAAGGACTTCTTTTATACAATGTGAAAGGATTCCTGGGTTTCTGGCCTGATCTAAGGGAGATGTCCAAGTTTTCCTTAAGGGGTGTCAGAAGTTCAGATGAGACTCCTTGAAGATGTCTAGAGCTTGGTTTTGAAGATCTTGCATTAGCTGTTGGTACTCCCAGGATAGTTCTTCAAGATTGTCCTCTTGACGCCTTCGGGTATTTTTCAAGGCTTGGGGAGTGTTTCTTTAACGAATTTCTCGAGGGACCCTTTTTCCTTAAAGGAAGCCTCGCCAGGAGGGTGGTCTTGGAAAACATTCCTACCTTGTATGGGGTTTCGTGGAAACGTTCACCAGGATGTTGTTGTACAAACCTGGACCCCAGTTCCAGAGAATTCACGATTGTATGTCTACTAATAATATTCGCCTGCCTGCAGGACGAAGGATATTCATGAGACATCCAGGCACCCAAGCTCACGATCCGGATGTGGTCGCGTATTGAGTCATGCCAATATTTTAATTCGAATTTAATTTAATACTATTTATAATCTCGAGAAACAATCTCCACCGTGAAATCAGGTACAGGATCATCCCCAGACGCTTTTGTAAAATTAAAAGCATATCCATGATTTAAAGGACCGTTTTTAAGTATTTTTAATATCTCCACGTGAGAACTTTTATATATTTCAACCTGGGAGGTCCTCGGATCTTCGTCGAGGTGTCTTCCACTGCCTCTGGATGCCTCTGAATTTCGCGACGAATATCGCGTAAGCCTTCTATTTTACTCATCTTTATTAATCTTTTTTTCGCGCGAAAAGAAACCGAGAAGTGACGGTTGAAAGAGAAAAGGAGAGCCATGAGAAAAGCCTCATCGGACACGCATATTCGATCTACTTAGCGCCGCACGCCAATTATGGCGATCGATTCGCATTATTCACGGACTGCGCATCTCTCGGCCTCGAGGGCTCCTATAGGATAAAAGTGCCAATCGATCGGGAATAAATTATGGGCCGACTAGCACATGTATTACGAACTAGCACATTTTATTCCACCGACAAACCCTGGCCAAGGGCCCACATAAATCTCGAAATAATTACAGAGCGGGAACTTGGCACTGGCGTAAGTGTTTCCGATTAATTGCGATCTGACTAGAAAATAAATAGCCTTATGTGCTCATTCATTACTCTCTTTTCCGTTTAATATTTTCCGCATCTCTCAACTCTAACCATCTCGATAATGCCATTTCTCGCCATCCCTACTCTACATGCTGATTTTATCCCCCGAACTAATGGATCTCCTCTTTTCTTCTGTTTTAGTGCATCTTCTTTCGAAGAAATTCTACATGCTCGACTAATTTAACATTTTCATTTTTCATTTTAAATCTTCTACGTCCCTTTTCTAGGTGTTCTCGGTAAACATATTTTCCGGGATTTTTGTTCTCATCCGCTGATTTTATTTCTTTCATTTACTGTATCTCCTTATTTTCTCTGGTTTAGTGCATCTCCTTCTCCACTCCAATTTAGTACATCTCTTTTTAAAAAATTGTGTATTGTTATATATCCTTTCTCTATTTTATATCCTCTAGCTCCTCTCTTCTCGCTATTCTCGATAAACTCACTTTTCGGCATTCCTGCTCTCACTAGCTGGTTTTATTTTCCAGTTTAGTGCGTCCCCTTTTCTCCGGATTGCAGCGGGAAGATCTTTGAAGGCCTCGGAGGAAAGGCCCGAGCTGGACCTAGGAGAAGCTGCGTTTTGTGCCTCGGAGAACGGCGAACGGGGCTGTGATTTTTGCTCGTTAAGTTTCATCCCGACGATACATCTGCTTCGGCCGAGGCGAAGTTCATTTTTTCCCAAAGAGAGCCGGCCTTCACGGTTTCTTTCCCCCTAGGAACGCATTTTCGAGCGATGAGTCGGTGAAAATAAATCCTGAAGTGCCCCGGGAGAACGAACCGTTAAATTCGCGAGATCGCCGGCTCTTGAGCGATTACACGCGAGCGATTCGCCGGAACTAACGCGAAGCCTCGTCCATTGAAGAGCGAGAAGGAAATCGAGGAAGAAATCACGATTTTAGAATTTTCGCAAATTCACCGACGGTGAATCGAGAAGCGATCGAAGCGTGTCCGGAAAATAAATTGCGCTCATTTATATCCTTTCTGTCCTGTAATCAAATTTTAGTACGTGGGAAATAGCTCGTGCTTGTGATTAATGGCATCCATTAATGAATGGAAAGGTGATCGTAAAAGAAATGAATTTTTAATTTCTTAGGAATCTTCAATGGCCCGATTGAGACATCATTCATCGGCAGTCTTCTAAAAGACAAATTACCTATTTTACATAGAGATTAAGTTTCCGTCGTAAGAGAATCATATGCATTATCATTACTCTCAATTTTTAATTCCGTGGATTGAGATCTTTCGCGTTAATTTTAGTCAAAGTCACCGAGACATACTTTTTGCAAAGGGGAGAGTGAATGATAAAAACCACAAAAGAGCCTTTCAGAAATGTTGAAATCCTCTTCGTTATTGATATCAAGACCACAACAACAGAGAAACTCGTCGTAGGAAGTTGTCTCTGACCATTTTCATTTTAGAAATTTAGCCTTGAGTAATTTCGCTAATTTTTGAAATTCCTGAGGACGGTCCACAAGGTGCGCTCGTTGCGAAAGGAAGTCGAAGAGTCGCGCGTTCGACTATCGCGACGATCTCCGCGAGCGGTGAGAACGGTCACGAGAGAGGAAATAGGATTTAAGAATGAAACAATACCTCGCTCGCTTTCGAAAGCCTCACTGCGAAGCGCGGGTCCCACCCTGAATTACGAAAGACAACTCCTAATCGTGCCCGAGTACCTTAACATGACGTCGCGAAATTGTTTCATCGCCTTTTGACAGTAAAGGCGCCCTCTAATAAGCAGAATCCTCGAATGTGATGATTTTCTAATTTCGGTTCTAAGACAACACTATTTCGAGGGTTTCCCGGTGTGCGTATCACAAATTGTGACACCTCGAGAGCCCTTAGATAGCAAAAAGTCGTCACACTTCCTTCGAAAGTAATTACTGAAACCTTCGCTAAAGCGCTCCCCTTCATTTTGCGCAGTTGCATAATGACGGAGGAGGCAAAGAAACAAACAAATTGTCGATTCCCTTTTTTCACTTTTAACTGTACATAAGAGAATAAGTTCAAAGAAAGCGGTTCGAGAACTTTTTCAACCTCAGTTCGGAAACAAAACGGACTTCCAGCGATCGTTACATCGATTGCACCGTTTTATGCCATTTTTTACAGTTTTCCTCATCTTGGATACGGATGACTTGTAACTAATCGAGGACACAATTAAGGAGAATTTCATTTATTTGGAAATTTGGAAAGTAAGAGAATGCCTTTCATTGGAAATGTTGAGTGACAGCCTTCGCAGGTGATTTCCAAAATGAGGATTTGCAGTGAAGGTAATTCCTCGAGTTTGGAATTTCGAAAGAGCACTTTTCTTGAAAACGACGTGGACTGTATAAACGACTCTCGAATATGGCACCACCCAATAAATAAAAAGCTCCATCTTTGGATTTGTCTTAATAGCCACACATTTTATCGAAGAACATGTAATAATCCGTGAAAAATGATTGCTTATCACGCTACCTTTAGTCCTAAAAATGTCTCCACAATGGCGCGCTTCGTTGGAAGATCCTGAAATCGAAACGTCGAAAGTAAAAGCGGCTTTCATCAAAGACCGAAGTGATAGTACCGTTCTATCGGGTTTCTATGTCTATCGGACTTCTTCGAGACTATACCATAGTGAAACATTTCTATCTCCGTCCAACATTTACCCCTCTTTTACGGCTTTCCTTCCATCTATTCTGCCCCTTGCTCCGGCAACCCGGCGTACACCGCGGTATATCCGGCAGCATGTAGTCACGAGCCGCACTCATACATATTACCATAATTCATGAGGGGGCTATCTCCACTCGGAAAGTCTACTTATAAACTTTTAGTCGTGACAAGGTGCGAATCTGGCCGCTTATGATAGGAGCGAGTTGTATGCACCGGTGAATCAAGATTTATGTTCCACGGGATAACAACATTGTATCACATAATTCCACCTGTCAGTTCTCGTACTCCCAGCCAGAAGGTAAATCACGAATACAGCTAGCCATCCGATACGAATAATTTTCTGAAAGTAAAGTTGTAAGAGAAAGATCTTCCCGACACGTGAAAGAATTTTCGAGTAATTTCACCCTCGATAAAAGTCCCTCGAATTTTGTCTAAATTCATGGGGACCATTTCAGCTGTAGTCTCCAATCGAGCCGTTCCATACCGTGACAAGGGATGGATATATCACCGGTTTGGTATCAGTAAAGTGAATACATCCCAGGGAATGAAGATTTAAGCCTCTTGAGATATCGTTTCGTCGTTTCGTTGCACCTGTCGGCTTGGGTACTTGCTTCAGGGACGTAAATCAAGAATGGTACGGCCCTCCGTTAAGAATGGGTTACAGAAGAGAGGGATCTACAATAACTTCATCTAGAAAAAAGGAGACATGGGATCTCGATAAATTTCG